ATTCTAAACAAGATATCGGAACTTAGAATTCTTTTTAAAAGAAAAAGGCTGTCTATTATTGCTTTCACTGAAACATGGTTAAACAATTCCATAAATGATGAAGAAATTGAAATAGACGGATATAAAATCATACGCCATGATCGATCCTCTGGCTCTGGAGGTGGTGTATGTTTCTATATCAGAAATGATATTGCATTTAATATTATGGATGCTATAAGTACTGGAGATACGGAATCCCTGTGGATAAATTTGCTTATACCAAGATCAAAACCAATTGTTGTTGGTGTTCTGTATCGACCTCCGAAAAACAATTTGTTTATCGAGAAATTGTCCAATATTCTTGATACATTAAAGAAGGATGACGAAATAATTCTTTTAGGAGACATGAATATTTGTCTTCTTCGCAAATCGCCACTGGCTAAAAAATATATTGACTTGTTGAGTCTTCATGGGTTTAGTCAACTCATTAAAGAGGCAACACGCGTTACACCTACATGTTCTTCTCTATTGGATCATGTTGGTTGTACCAAAGAAAATAAAATAAGTCAAAGTGGTGTCATTGATCTAGGTATTAGCGACCATTATTTTACTTTCTGTACACGGAAAAATGTTAGACTGGCTATAGGTCATCACAGGACTAATGATATCAGATCCATGAAAAAATATACAGAAGAGTCTTTCAATCTTCAACTATCTGTTGTTGATTGGTCACGAATAACTGACTGTACAGATGTAAATGAGGCATGGTCAATATTTCAACATGTTTTTATCTCAAATTTGAATATGATAGCGCCACTGAAACGGATAAGAATAAAACAAAGATCAGAAACTTGGGTGACTAAAGATATTCTTTCCCTAATTCAAGAGAGAAATATAGTATACAAAAAATGGAGGAAAAGAGCAAAAGATGAGAAGCTCTATAAAAGATACAGAGTATTAAGAAATATGGTCCAAAGAGAGGTGAAAAAGGCTAAACTCGATTACTTACAAAACAAGATAGAAGAAAATAAACAAGATTCGAAAAAACTTTGGCAGAATCTAAAAAGCTTAGGATTGAAAAATAAGAAGCGAAAAGAACAAGAATCTGTCATTAAAATTGATGGGGAATTATGTCATGATAAGATGGCCATCGCTGATGAATTCAATTCTCATTTCACAAATGTGGCTGCCAAATTAGTAGACAAACTCCCCCCTTCCAAAGACTTTTTCAGCGCAGACAATGATTGTATTCGTGACTTTTACGAAAGAAAAGGTGTACGTGAAAACAGCTTCGAGTTATTACCAATCAGTGAACAATTTGTTTTCAAAGAGTTACGTAAGTTGAATGTATCAAAAAGTACTGGGTTAGACTTGATTCCAGCTAAATTTCTAAAAGATGGTGCGAAGGTTTTATTTAAGCCTCTAAGTTACTTAATGAACCTATCTATCTTGACGAGTACTTTTCCAGAAGATATGAAAATAGCAAAAGTGACTCCACTTTATAAAAAGAAAGATAAAACTGATGTTAGCAACTATAGACCTATTAGTGTTTTAAGCGTAGCATCAAAGATTCTAGAAAAATCGGTCTGTGTTCAAATTGAAAGATACTTCAAAGAAAATGATATAATTTATGAATTTCAATCTGGTTTTCGACATGATTATTCGACTGAAACATGTCTAATTCATTTGACTGATTATTTGAGGAGAGAAACTTCCCAAGGACGCTTTGTTGGTATGGTGCTCCTTGATCTGCAAAAAGCTTTTGATACAGTTAATCATTGCGTCTTATTGAAGAAGTTACAACTAATGGGTTTTGATAAGGCAAGTTTAGATTGGTTCAGATCCTACTTATCTAATCGGCACCAAGTAGTGGCCATTCATGATATTCGTTCCAAACTAATGCCTATAACATGCGGTGTTCCTCAGGGAAGTATTTTAGGCCCAATTCTATTTTCAAGTTATATAAATGATATGTGTATTTGTATAAAAGACTTCAAACTATTATTGTACGCAGATGACAGCGTACTACTCTATTCAAATCCTGATCCTAAATATATTGAGGAAAAGCTCAGTGAACAGCTGTCTACGTGTGTCGATTGGATGACTGATAATAAGCTTTCTTTACACTTGGGAAAAACAGAAAGCATTTTATTTTGTTCTAAAAGTAGTTCTAAAAAGTCATTTGAATTCAAAGTGACACACAATAATCAAGCAATCAAGAGAAAAGAGTCAGTGAAGTATTTAGGCATTGAGTTGGCTAGCGCAATTTCATTTTCATCTTTAGTAGAATCAGTTGTAAAAAAAACAAATTCTCGTCTGAAATTTTTGTACAGATATCAAAGTTGTATGGATTTAAAAGCAAGACGTACACTCTGTTTTGCTCTTATTCAATGTTTATTTGACTATGCTAACCCTGCATGGTACAGTAACATAAACAAGTCAGATCAAAAGAAGTTGAAGATTATACAGAACAAAATGGTGAGATTTATCAACTGTTCTGGTCCAAGAACTCATGTTGGCTATAGCGAACTTTCTAAAGCTGGTTTTCTTGAAGTCGACCAAAGATCAAAACAACTCGCATTGCATCACGTGCATAAAATATATCATACTAGGGCGAATCATTATATTCGATCCAACTTCGATCTTGTTACTGACGTACATGATTATAATACAAGAAATAGACGATTCAACTTTAACTTACCAGAAAGAGTAGGTAGTATTGGAAATTCGTTTTATTACAATGCCATAAAACATTGGAATTCCCTTCCCAATGGTGTAAAAGAAATAGGAAACTATGATCATTTTAAGAGGAAATTAAAGGAATACCTAATACTTGACAGTCAGAGAAGAGAAGTGAATGACATGTTATATGATTGAAATTGTTATTCTTCTGTTGGTTCATACTTTTTCATGTTGTATATACTTATGTTTTCGTACGTTATAGAAATTCTACAAATTCATCATTATTTTCCTCTTCTTCCTTCTCCTCTTTTTCTTCTTCTCCTTCTTCTTTTTCTTCTTGTACTTAATATCATTTCTATCATCAGTTTAATGTTGTTATTATTATCTTTAATAAGTAGTTCTTTTAATTTTCTTATCTGTCTGTAAATATTACTATTTTAATTTATTAATTGTATACATGTCTGTAAGGGACCCCACTGGAAATAAGCTCTCGAGCTTTCGTGGGTTATCCTGTTCAAGCTGACTTATTTTTGATCTGTTATTATTGTATATTATACAAATAACGCACGTCCCAGAGTGCAATAGCGGTGAATGCAGTACGCGCGAGGTTTCTTTAGATTGGTGCCGCTCTGTGCAACGAGCCGCTTGCGGCGAGTTGACAGTGCGAACCATCTGAAGAAACCGAGCGTTTACTGCATTTACGTTTTGCACAACAGGGTCAAGTGCGTTATTTGTTTTATAAAATAGCGACACAAATAGCAAAAACGAAACTTTAGATCTAATAAGTTAGAGTCTACGAGAGTTCGATCTAGATCTAACTTAGAGTTATGTTGGTTCTACTTCTAATTAGACTAAGACCTTGCAGGCTTACCAAAAAGTCAATGGGATTCATTGCCTTGATTAAAAATAAAATCCATACAGTGGGTCTAGAGACGAGTCTACATCAGACAGCTGAAATTCCTGGCTTCATTATAAAATCCAAAAGTCAAAACAGGCCTAAATCCAAGGCAAAAGTGAAATAAAAATTTGCTTTTTAATAATACCCCGCTGGCCGCTCTAGCTAGCTAGCTAGCTAGAGCTAGCTACGCGTACGTTGCGCTGGGGATCATGGTGGAGCGTACAATATTAGCTACGCGTAGCCTACAATAATTGCAATGCAACTCGAGGGAGCGCGTACTACACGTACGCGCGCGCACTGGATCTCCATGGTCACGCGTACGCACCGTGCAATATAACTTTTTACTGCGCTTTTTCTGCACTCATTTCTGCAAAATCGTGCTTGCATCAAATTTTTTTCAATGTCATGGGACGCGTATTGACCAATCACGATGCTTAAAATACTAGAGCCATTTTATAAACAACATTATAAAATGGCTCTAGTATTTTAAGCATCGTGATTGGTCAATACGCGTCACATGGCATTGAAAAAATTTTGATGCAAGCACGATTTTGCAGAAATGAGTGCAGAAAAAGCGCAGTAAAAAGTTATATTGCACGGTGCGTACGCGTGACCATGGAGATCCAGTGCGCGCGCGTACGTGTAGTACGCGCTCCCTCGAGTTGCATTGCAATTATTGTAGGCTACGCGTAGCTAATATTGTACGCTCCACCATGATCCCCAGCGCAACGTACGCGTAGCTAGCTCTAGCTAGCTAGCTAGCTAGAGCGGCCAGCGGGGTATTATTAAAAAGCAAATTTTTATTTCACTTTTGCCTTGGATTTAGGCCTGTTTTGACTTTTGGATTTTATAATGAAGCCAGGAATTTCAGCTGTCTGATGTAGACTCGTCTCTAGACCCACTGTATGGATTTTATTTTTAATCAAGGCAATGAATCCCATTGACTTTTTGGTAAGCCTGCAAGGTCTTAGTCTAATTAGAAGTAGAACCAACATAACTCTAAGTTAGATCTAGATCGAACTCTCGTAGACTCTAACTTATTAGATCTAAAGTTTCGTTTTTGCTATTTGTGTCGCTATTTTATAAAACAAATAACGCACTTGACCCTGTTGTGCAAAACGTAAATGCAGTAAACGCTCGGTTTCTTCAGATGGTTCGCACTGTCAACTCGCCGCAAGCGGCTCGTTGCACAGAGCGGCACCAATCTAAAGAAACCTCGCGCGTACTGCATTCACCGCTATTGCACTCTGGGACGTGCGTTATTTGTATAATATTGGAAGCTTGTCGAATAAAAATCAATTGAGTAGCGCCACCTTGTGATGGGTTTTTTGTGTGTACGATCCATAGAGATATTAAGTATATATCTCTATGGTACGATCGTAAATGATCAATCAAGTGCAAACGACATGTAAAGACTACTGCAACTAGCTCGAAAGACGATGACGCGACGCCGCGGTTGTGGGGGTAAATCAAGATCAAGATCTGCTGTATTCAATTTCATTCAATTACCGTAAGTCGGTTCTACGTAACATTTATTTCAATTTTATTAGAATATTAGATTTTGACAGATAGTGGTATGGTATGGCGTGAGTGCTCGAGTGTGCTTGAAATGAATCATCAGCTTTGAACTAACAGAATTACGGTATGGTCACTGGTGACATACGGACTAGATCTACGCCCGGGCGCGGCCGGGTAACCCGAAGCGATGGACATGGACGCGAAGGAGCTGAGCTGAGCTTGGAGTTGGACGACCACCACCGGCACCAGCAGCAGAGCTATGATTGTGATTGTGATTGAATGATGCTTGGTAACGCCATCAAGCGTTAGTTTAATTTAGGCCCTTGTATTATTATGTAGCTGGATGCCTGGATCTCATGGACGCTGTACAATTACAAAATCAAAATGTAGAGGGGTCTAGGCGAGACCGAAAAATTGGTCCATTTCATGATTTTGTTTGGGATCATAATCATGGGGAAAGTCTAGAGTCTATGTAGGCCTACTACTAGACTATGTATTCTACAGCAGTTCTGCTCAAATTTTGTCTAACTTCAGCTTCACTGAATCCTTAAAATTTTCTGATTCTTGGACCGTCTTAAGACGTGAGGCCCCCACGCGATCGATGACGTGATAAAGAACTCACCAAATGCAAGGCCAGGCAAATGAGACCGATTTTTCCTACAGTGACCTGTACTGTACAAAGGTTTATATTGTATTTAGCGAAGAATAAGAAGAAGAAGAAGAAAAATGGAGCAACTTAAGAATTAGAAGTCTATCCATTAATAGGTTAGACGGAAAAGTTTTTTTTTTTTTTACTTGTCTTTTTGAAGCTCTTCTCTAGCCTCTAGGAGAGGGATTCTGCGAAGCCAGATTTTAATCTTGGGCTCGGCCAGTTGGCAAAACATGTAGACCTCTTCAATCATGAAGTTCTATCCATTAACAGAATAAACTGATTAATTTTGGTCTACCGTCGGCCATCTGATCTGGTTTGAGGTAGACAGAAAAATCTGTGTCTGTGTTTGGCAGGAGGATTTAAAAACCCAATTTGGTCTCCTCCAAGACATGTTTTTGACAAATGAATGATATTTACATGAATGAATATGTTATTTCTTTCACAACAATTCAGAATGAAATAAGTGATGTTACTATTTTAGCTTAGTTTAGTTCATAAAATCAAGAGAAAACAAAGATGGTCAATTTTTTTCTTTCTAGGGTAGATCTATATCTAGTTGGTTGGCTGGTCGGGTTACCTAGGTTTGAGCTGTCATTTGGTCGCACTTCCACAGAAGTTTATTAACTAAATTTCTTAATAAAGGAGGCATTCATTTATTTTGTACAATCAATTTGATAAAAATGCATTATTATTATTTTTTTATTTCAGGTTAATGATCATCATGGACACAGCAATCTGAGATGGATATTATCTCCAGGAATTAAACATAGACTCTACTCACATTGACAATCTTTTATTCTGCGGTTTGGTTGAGGATAAAGAGAGCCAAGATGTTCAAGAAACTGAAGAGACAGAACAAGGATAAGGAGGTAAGAACAAAAACAACTAGGGGCATTGTTTGGTGACTGATATATAAATCTACTATTAATCATAAATTGGACTCAAAGAGTCACAAGCTTAAAGATAAACTTGAGTTCTGGTCATGCGATTACATTCTGAAAGAAAAGGTGTGGAATGCATCAGAAAAAGTTGATCATGTACATGTATCATGAAAGTTTTGGTGTTTACTGCAAGGTTCTGGAGTCATCAAATTCATAATAAATTTGGCTCAGTCTTGGTAAAGTAACAAGCACACTACACAGAAAGATGTATATGGGACAACACAAATGGTGTCTGGGCTAGTACTACTTGATTTCCTTATCGTTTTCATGCTCATTACTTAGCCAGTATACATTTTCTTCCAAAATTGTTTGGCACATGACATTTATTTGTAATCTTGAACATTCAGTGTAAGTTTCGTTAGATTCTGTAAGAATTGATTTTCTCTTTTTAACCAAAACTAAAGTTTATCTTTAATACGTAACCAATTCTAGTGGTATTCAGTATAAATTTGCAGTCAGATCACACAGACTTCAAATTTTCATTATTGAAATTATTTTGTATCTCTATGCATTTTTATTTGTATCTACCGTACATGTACAGTATCTCACTAACAAACTAACTTTAATGAACTTGAAGGTAATACAAAGTCTTGGTATGGGTTCATGAATTTGGTTCAAATGAACTTATTGGAAGCATACAATATTCAATGTTCGTTGTCGCGGTGGAAATCATGTCTAAAGTGATGAAATTGTAAATAAACTCTTTGTTGTATAGAGCTCTCCCTCTCAAGACTGATATTACCTTATAGCTTTAGTAACAATGTTTCTTGACTACAATCAACTGATTTTGCTGTTCCCGTTGAAAATTATATATAGAACTGCATATTCTGAGATTTTCAAGGTCATGTAGCATGGAACAGCCTTAGGCGCTATTTTAAATATTTGATTACCGGTATTCAATTCCTCATAAGCAGAAGTGTCTTACGGGCTACATTTTCTTTATTATAAATCCACAGGGGCATCCAAATATATCAAAATTTAAAGAATTACTATCCATCCAATTTTCAAAACTTTCCCAAACTTTGCATTACCTAACAAATTTAAACTTAGTTTACTTGTATGAAACATGCTCAGTCTCCTCTCGTCTACCCTTCATCTACACAAGAAAATGTCAGTCTGTGCTGTTAGTGAAGTCTCATAATTGAATAAAAAAAATGAAAAAGTTGATAATAATCTATGCCATGCCTACATGTACATGTACATGTCCTGTATGTACATGTATTGACTGCTAATTGAGGCCCGGCTTGGTTAGAACCATTGCCTCAATCTGTTCATATTAAAGGTAAAGACCAGTATTGGAAACGCCCCAATTTCAAAAAATGAAATGGAAGCTCTCATTACCAATCATGTGAAAGAATATGTTTTGACTAATATATGATGATAAAAAATTTGCCAGGAAACCGCTTACTAATTCATATTTGGTAAATTTGTTTCTCTCATGGTCTGTGAGAGTAAAGGGTGGTCCCATATACATCTTTCTGTGTATAGTGCTTGTAACTTTACGAAGAATGGGCCAAATTTCGTATCATTTTGATGATTCCAGAACCTTGCAGATGCTAGATGCTAGATGATCAACCTTTTCTGATCGATTCCACAACTTTTCTTTCACAATTTAATCGCATGACCATAACTGGTCTTTACCTTTAAAGATGTCGGCATTACTACATCATGCAGGTTGACGTATGCTGTGGACTACACATTTGTATCAAGCATGTATCAAGCATGTGGCAAGAAAACATTGATTTACATGACTGTAGATTACATGGAAGCTGAGGATACATGTAAATGGTAGTGATTGTTAGTACATGCTTACTTGTCTTGGAGATGAGTGTGATAGTAATTGTTAGGAAATAACAGTAAATCCCTATTGTATCCTTACAATATAGTCACCACACTCCCTTTGGCTAAGGGTGGCTAGGTACCATTGTTCAGCTATAAAGAGTTTATTTCGCCAGAGTGGATGCAAACATCAAGAGGCTGCTGAGTGTTGACTACAACTTGCTAAATATTACTGTACATTAGTTTACACAATTTTGAAAGCTACATGTATACATGTGCATTTTATTTTGCATTAATGTCACTTTCATATCGCTCGAATAGACCATTTTCTTAATGTTATAATACTATTTATTTTATGCATTTAAAAATCTGTTTTAAGTGACAATGTGCCATGTTACAAATAATTCACCTGTCTTGTCTTGTCCTACCTAACAATATGCAATTTGCATTCTGACTATTGACATGTAATTATAAGTAAGACCTTGAGAAGCGGATTACAGTGTACACATGTACATGTAATTTGTTACAAAGCACTAATACCAAACATTTGTGCATTAAATTTGATTTAAAAAGTGGCCAATACACTGTATACATGTATGTACATGTACTGTAAATTTTTATCATGAATATTTATTTGTTAATTTAACCTACATTCATGTAAAATGTATCTCTGTTAATGCCTGATGCATGAACATTGGCATACATGTACGTGTTGACAGCCTTATTGAACACAGAATTAGCCTACCGGTAATTGTAGGTTGCCAATTAAACCATGCATTTACTATTAATCACAATGTAGGTCTCCATGTTAATTGTTTCATCATACTTGCCACTTCGGAACATTGTTCACAAAATGAACAGTTCCTGTGGATTTGCCCTATTGATCTCTTGTTAGTTGTTACAAACTTGTGTCTTTTTGTCTTCAGTACCAGGTACTAGATTCGTAGTGTTGAAGCATCTGTGGTTAGGCTCTTTATTCTTTAATCTTATGTGGATCCAGTGATTCAGCTATGACAAGCTCTGTGAACTATTGTATAGGCCTGAGAGGATTAGGGTTAAGATTAAGAAGATTGTGTGTTACTTTGTCTCCTGCTAATCCTCACTGTAAGAAATATACAGGTAACCATTTGTACACACGGCTGTCCGCTAGTCAAAGCTCCTTTATATGTAATGTACGCATTGTACAACAGAGTTTTCCATACTTAATTTCGTGGATTCAGGTTTAGAGGATAGCCATGGATGGGATCTGATCTCATCTGAACCAAGTTTAGTCATACTAGGGAGGGTTTTATTGCTGTGGTCCGACACTGTCGGACAGGTCAGTGCCCTACAGTGTACTTAATAAGTCTACATGTAGGCCTACCTATTTTATGCTGAGATCCAAAAGGGCAATTTACCCTGTGTTTATACCTAAAGGGAAATCAACTACTCTAAAAGAAGGCAGATAAATCAGAGAAGTAGACCACTGAAAGTTTGACTTAAATCTGACAATAAGAAAGTTATTGATTTTTGAAAGTTGTATTGGATGGATTTAATGACCCCATATTTGAAACATTCATAACCCTCTCATGATTGGTCTGATTCGTTTCAAACTTTTGCCTTTCCATTTCTCTTGTTTTTTTTTCATCTCATGCCAATGAAAATATTACAAGGGTTGGATTGCCCTTTAACATCCTACTGGCTTTTAACAGATGATAACTGATACTGTACACATCCACAAGTCAAGAAGTCCATGCCATTGACCCCCCCCCCCCCCCCCCCCCATCCCCCACCCAATCAAGTTAATCAACATATATCCGGAATCAAAGGAATGTCTTTAGTCGTAGTCGTTCTAAGAAGAGCAACCTTCTTTCAGATCTACCCATGCATCTTTCAAACTCCAGCATAGTTGTGTCAAACGTACAACAAAACAGTCCATTAGTGAAGCAAAATGCAGGCTAATTGCTGGTCTTACTATTCAATTGATATTGATGAATTGGTAGTGTGGAAGTACCAGTAGTTTCAATGGCTATTCAATGCTGCAGTCCAAGCACTATTGTCCTTGTTTTGTTGATATACATGTACATGTACATGTACATGGTAGACTACCTTGCCCTCTTTTAATGATGAGAGAAGTGTTAATGTGTATTAATTTGATACTCCACATTATTCGAACAAATTAACAAGGATGTACTCTTTCTCATGTTGTTGTAGCTCCTTCCAGTGACACAATCACACACCATTAACACTGCTTTAATGAATATAAAAGTTTGAAGACTTGGCAAGGGCACTTTCCATTTCAAAGAATACAAATATTGATGTGGATCAACGCTCACTTTCCAATCAATACAAATCAATATTGTGTTCTTTAAAGCCTGTGTCATTATGACTTATTGAGTGGCTTATCATAAACCCATGCATTGATGTATCAAGGACCGTAAAGTGTAAGCATCCTTGGAAGTTTTGACTTTATTATTATTAACAAATGGTAAAGAGATGGCTAATTTTAACAAATACTTTATATTGGGAAGGTTGCCCTAATTACAGGTGTAGGCCTATGGATGAGTCTGAGATCTACAGGTACATGTTGTATTTCTGTCAGAAATGATTCATTGAGTTGCTTCTATCACATAAACCTATGCATTGATGTATGTTTCAAGGACTGTAAACCAACTAACCATCCTTGGAATAGGTGACTTTATTATTATTATCAACAAAATAAAAGAGAGATTGCTAAATTTACAAAAAAATAAATACTATTTAGTTTGGACGGGGTGTGCTGCTCAAGCCTCAAATTTTTAAGGGTCATTTGGATTTTTCTTCTTGAAGTAAGGCCCATTTTTCACCATTTTTTGGTTGGAAATTTTGAAAAAACAGACTCATGCTTAGTGATATTTTTGTTAAAAATGGGACCCATTAGAGCGGCATACCCTCACTTGGGTGGAAGAACACAAAAGTAAAATGTAAATGCATTTTTTAATGTGCTGAAGGACTTTTCATGTACATGTACACTGCACATCTATTAAACGAGTACTGGTGTATTTTTTCCTCAAAACTTTAAAATGCTTGAATACAAATGAACGTAAACCTACATGTGCACCCAGAGACAAAACTTGTACAGTACTGTATGCCTACAGAGTAAAAAGCATCAGGGCTGTATGAAGCGTACTCCTCTTCTACATGTATGTACTGTATGCACCTGCTTTATTTTTCAACTCATGTCTCTCAATCATATTCAATAACAGGTGCTCTAGCTCTCTTCCATCTGGAATAATGATTATAGAAGGATAAAGAGAAAAGTACACTCTGCTGGGTCAAAAATTTACATTGCCAAAGTATTTTGTATATATCTGTACTTTTATTTTCCCTATCTTTATGTCTCCCTGTACTTGTTTGTATTGACTATTAAAGATTAATATTGATAATGGTATTAATGATTTAAATCCATTTCTTTAATATAGTGTGATGTTTTGAAATGTTATTAATTTTGTTTTTTTACCACCAGGGGAACTCTTTCTAATTTGTCATAGTTATTCCTTGTACTGTGCTCCTGCAGTGTGTTTATTTTTTTCTAAATCATACTTTTGACAGTAACAATTACTGGCAAACTACATGTACATGTACATGTAGATATAATTATAAAGAGACTCTATCTCATTTCTTTTAAAGTTTGAATGGACGAAGAATGATGACAAGGTGATGCATGCTATTGAGGTGGGTGATATCGAGAAGCTTCAGGTAACTCTCGCTAAGAAAGGAACATCACCTACCAAACTAGATGGAGATGGAAGAACACCGTGAGTATTACTGTTCTCTAACCTTTCGTCTTGTACCAAGTTCTACTCAAACAGATTACACATGCCATCCAATTTATATGTAACCCCGTTATTTTGAATTTTCCATAATATCATAGAGAGGAATTCATACATGTACATATAAATTTGTATCTACCTACATGTACATGTATCCACAAATATTCACAGATCTTTGAAACATGAAGAGGTCCCACATTGTACATTTTAAAATAATCACTCCTACAGCGATGGAGGTGCTGGTTGCCTTTTAGTTTGTTTCCCCTTTACAAAGAATACATACTTCCATCTGTGTATCATGGAGTGCACTGCTTGTGCATAAATGAATAATGATTACATAACTTTCGTCATCACGCATCCTGTACTTTGTCTGTGTATTTCACAATTTGGTCTGCAATGATTATCTGAATGCTTCCACTGCAACTATGAACTGGCTTACATGTATACTCAAAGGGCAACGTAATGGAAACAGTGTAAAACATGCAGCAACACAAACCACCAGAAGTACAGTATACATGTACATGTTTATTAGTTGTGACAGGCAAAATATTAACATGTTTTTAACATGCATCTACATAATGGGAAACATTATACAGTGCGTCCCAGAAAAAATGAAACCGAGAATTATTGATGTTTTATCATAACTGAATCTGATGATCGGGGTAATAATATACGATTGCAGGGCCCTCAGCGAGAACAGTATGAATACTGATGAGGCTATCCTGGTTAAACAAGACATATAATTAATAAATGACACATATTTGTAAAGCTTACAGTGTAGATGCTCCTCTTTCATCTGATGCAACTCATATGATGCATACATGTACATGTATTTCATGCATGCATGATTAAAGACGATTTGTAATGCTGTTCTTTTTCTTCTTTGATATGACAGCCTTCATGTGGCAGCTCAGAAGGGGCAGTATCCATGCCTTGAAGTCTTGCTTCAGCTAGGGGCTAACCCAAGGGCATCTGACGGCCAAGGTAAGCACTACCAAGTCAAGAGGATATTGATTAATAGCTCACAAATTATCTCCCAGTTCTACAATGCAGGCCATCTTTAAAGGCAGTGCTTAGTTTTATCAGGAACTATTGACTGAGACTATGCCAGTGGTTGATTAACTTGATTTGTGTGTCCATCTTTTGAAACATAACAAAATTATGAAGTTTTTTAAAGCTTCAAGCAAAATCTTGGGATAAAAGAGAGATATAAAGTAGGCCTCTGTCTAATCTCTATCAATGAGATTAATGACCGATGTGCATCTCTTTTTTAGAAACCATTTCCCTAAAATGTTTTTTTGTTTAAAGATTGAATAAAAATATTCCTAAAAAAAACCCAAACGAAACATAAATGAAAAATTGTCTAAAGACAGTATTAACCTGCCCTTACAACTGTCTGGTTGTAAATGCAGATTCTGCCGCTGTTTCATTGACTGCTGTCATTTAGAAGTACCTGGGGAAGAGGGGTTTTTAAGTACCTCTAATCGGTGGGGGTTATTAGGGGGTGTGTGAGAAAAGGTTTCATTAGAGAGGAAGCTGATGATTGATGGCTTGGCTTGGCTAGATTTGGTCATGGTGAACTGTAATCAGTAAGAGATGCATTCAAGTGAGTTTCACTGAAATATAATGTAATTTACTGGAACTCTTAAGTACATTGACTATGGGAACTGTTTGGTTAATACTCAGCTGCGACTTCAAAATATGAAAAACAAACACAAAACGTTCTTTACTACAGCCTGTAGTTTGTAAAAGGAAACATAAAAAACTCTTGGAAAATGGAAATTGTTAAACAAGAATTTTCCTTATTGAATCTTTGTGCTAAAGAAAGTAGCAGACTTTCTTTTTAATAGTGGAGTCAAATATGTATTTTATATGTGTGCCTTGTTGAGTGGCATGGTCTGACAACATACCAGTGTTGGTTTTATATTATCCTAAATTATTATTCCAATGAACAAGATTATTCTCGAGTGTATCAAGAGCTTGTATGTCTTGGTAGGTTTCTGTATTGCCTACATTTATTATTATAATTTGTTCATTATTTTTTTTCTCCATTATCTCTATACTTGCTGTAATATTTTTTTTCTCATTTTCTCCATTTTTCATTTCTAGAGCATTTCTGTACTTCTCCCTCTTTAATTGTGCTCTTCTCTGTCTCTCTTTTATCATTATTCTTCATCACCTTGCGTGGATATATTTTCCTCTGATTTTTTTTTTCTCCAGGCAGTATTCTTTATTTTGGGGTTTCTCATCAATTTTCTCAATCTCTGTGTGTCTCCTTTTCTGTGACTCTGTCTGACTACATTGTGTATACACTCCTCCCTGTACAGTACATGTAATGCCCTTCCTTGAAAAAACAGCATAAATGATGTTTCTTACAAAATTGAGTTATTTAGTGTGGGTGACTCAGAACATCAAGTTCCACATGTTAAACTCAAATTTAGGGTTTAAAAATGTTCCATTGTTAAGATATAAGCATGTCAAAACAGCTCAATGTAATGAATCTAGCAAGAATCCCAGAAACACTAAAATGTCAGACATGCTGTTTTGTCGTGGAAGGGCAGGACAGTACTAGTCTCCTTTGCTGCTCCTAAATCTATTTTAAGATTTCATCAGAAACACGTGTGAATATGTCTAGAATGATGGAATTAAATATCAAGAGATTTGTAATCTTGTGAAAGAAAATGCATTTATGACTATCTTTACATACATGTGCATTTCCTAGTTGTCCATTGGGAGGCTGTTGAAGTGCTAGAATGTTTTACATCTCATCCAGAGGAAATAGATGATTGAATCAATCCAACAAATTAGATCGAGAAGCTTAGCATGTGTTAGAACATTATAGTACCGATTGAGCCTACTTTCAGTATGGGCAAGTGTATTAAGGGTCATGGGATTCTGGGATATGGGTACTAAATTTGTTAGATGAGCATGTTAAACTACATATGGTGTAGATGACACCGGATGATTTGTATAGCAGTTTGTTCATGTTACAGTGTAACTATATTTATGACTTGTCTTGGACATTAACAAAAAAAGTTAATGCATAATTGCATATTATATATATATGTACAGTGATACTCAACCAATCTACACATTGTTTCTGAGAAGTTTTTATGACCATTTACAACTACTCACATTTCATTTTCTACACAAAAGTGACAGTTAATGTAATAACATTCAGAGAATGAAACTTTCTGTGTGGGGCCATTTTTTTGTAAATCCAATTATAGCATTGTGAAATCAAGCATGAAACAAACTCTTGAATGATGAATTGATTAATGGAGTAGATGTCTACATTGATGTTTTTGTGCATCTTTAATCAACCGTTCTATCGGTTCATTATGCATCTGATTTTAACTTCACAACCTAGTAAACAAACAATGTTCATTTACATTTTGAGCTGGAAAAGTTTCTGATAATGAATGTAGCTTCATGAACCTACTCATGCACACAGCTAATCAAAATTTAAAAGTGAAAAGCGGAATATACCCCCAAGTACGTTTTGCAGAGCTGCCAACCATTCCGTTTTTTCCTCCAAATTACGGTATTACGTTTTTTCTTCATAAAATACTTTTTTCTTTTTTTCTTTACATACCGCACATCAAACAACTGCCCTAAAATGGTGATTTGATCACAAATTCAACAGAAAACAAAATTAAAAACATGCTTGAAAAGAAAAATGTTCTCAAAAAGAATGAAATGCCGATAATTATAATACCAATATAACCACCAAAAAAAATTCCTGCTTGTATGGAAAAAACAGCATGATGAATGAACATTTCTGCATTGGAAGTGGTTGTAAATTTCGTTTTTATGAATTCCTTTTTTTTTTTTGCTTGAAATTCCCTTTTTGGCAGCTCTGGTTTTGTGTTTTGTTAAACGTTAATTTGAATTGCAATTTTCTTTGTATTCCATTAATTGCATGTTTTATCTTCCATCAGGTTGTACTGCATTACACTGTGCTTCAAAGGGAGGTCATTTAAACTCCATGCACAGGCTGATAAAGGCTGGAGTACCCATCAATGCACAGGACTTCAACGGCAAGACTGCATTGCATTTCTCTGGTAAGCCTGGCTAGGAGTCTAATTCCAAAAGTGTGCAATTTAGTCCAGTACAATGACAATAAAGAAGGAACTAAGGGCGATTTTTGTGAAGTTTATGGTGCTTGTAAATTAATAATAATAAAAGTGGGTTCTTAAGAATTGAAAAAGTGATCCTCCAACCCCCCCCCCCTCCCCCCCACCCCCAAAAAAAAGAAGAAAAAAAATAGAAGAGAAAGACAAGTTAGGGTTAGAGTTATAATCCATAGAATTATTCACCAGAAACACACTCTAGAGGCAAGTCTAATTTGAAGTGAATGTAGCTCTTGAGATTTAATTTTTTAAATATTTTTTAAAATATCAGTTGCAAGTTATTTCCTTCCAAACCTTTGAACATGTATGTTTCTATTAAAAGCTAAGATTGCATTAATTAACTGATAGCCATACTTCAGCTTGATCAGACCAAATATCAAGAAAATTCCCTTCAATATATTATTGATTACATAATAATTTCCCCATGATACCTGTGACACATGGAACACAGGAATGACTGCATAGCTAAGACTTGCCCTCGTTCATTTAACATTATGTTCAGTCAGTGTAGTTGGGGTCACTTATAAACTAATTGAAGCCTTTATAAGCTTTACATATGTGCATACGATGTACATGAGGTTACATGATGTTTAATGTGGTTTGTGTTGTGAGGGTCACCTAACCCATTGAGCCCTGCATAAGCTTAGACATCCTGTCTGGGTATTGGATTGGACTGAATGCTTGTTGAATCATCTTGAACACACATGGTGATCAGTCTACCTCCATACACATGCGTTCATATGTCCAAATATGATGGGTAACATTTGCAAATGATGTAGGCAATAATCACTTGACAAACATAAATTTGACTGATTAGCATCATGTGTTCTCTTTATGTTCTTTCTTTGCCTCCATTTTGTGCATTTTTATAAATATCTTTAATATTCCCACACTCCCCTATATGTATTATATGAAAAAAGGATACATTTATTAACGATAATTAAAAAAGTAAAATATTGAGCATTATCATGAAAAGAAAACCAACAAAATGATTTAATGGTGTCAAGAAAATGCATGTAATTAATTCAAGTTGATGCATTTTAGGTCTTGTTCAGCATTTTAAAAATTTCATTCATGTACAACAAGGTGTGAGGATCGAAAGACATAAAAAAGGGGAAAAAAGCTTTTGACGGTTTTCTCATGTGACATAAGGATCATCCATGACTGAAAATCTTTATTAAAGATAAACTCCAGTACTGGTAAAAAAAAAAAAAAATTCTCACAGAATCAAACGAAACTTACACTGAATGTTCATGATTACAAATAAATGACATGTGCCAAACAATGTTGGAAGAAAATGTATACTGGCTGAGTAATGAGCATAGAAAGACAAGGAAATCAAGGTAGTACTAGCCCCGACACCATGTGTGTTGTCCCATATATAGCTTTCTATGTGAGTGCTTGTTACTTTACCAAGACTCGGTCAAATTTATTATGATTTTGATGACTCCAGAACCTTGCAGTGCACACCAATACTTACTTGCTACATGATCAACTGTTTCTGATCCTTTCCACACCTTTTCTTTCACAATGCAATCACATTACCAGTACTAAAGTTTGTCTTTAATCACAAAATTGTTATTTCCCTTGTCTATGTTACAGCTGGTAGTGGTCATATAGAGAGTACCATCCTGCTACTGCAATGCGGAGCTTCTGTTGATATACCCGATGAGGTGAGTACAATGAACTATTTTACTAGACCTAGTAGGTACAGTGCTTCATTCACTGGACTCCCAATGAGGAGGTCTGGGCCCTGTCTTATGAACAGTAACGTAATTAACATATCTTTGTTGTTGTATGTATGAAAGAATGTCAAATGGGGGATGAGAAAAAGTATGTGCGCAAAACAAAGGCCCCAAAGTATAGTACTAACTTGTGATCTACAGTCGACGACGTATCTACTAGACCACTCTCCTAATGTGATATGGGATTCCCATCTCCCAAGCATGCAGTGAAATGTCCTTGAAACAGTTTAGAGGGGATATCTCAGCTGACTGAAAGCAGCGAGCCTGACAGGCCAGGAGACAGGATCAAGAGGCCAGAGATCTTTAAGACCAAAGGCCTCCGATCTGTGACCGGAATTCATGTGTGTTTCACCTTGTGTTGTGGTTTTGTGAGCCTTTGGTCAAGGAGATCTTCAGGCGTACAATATATAATACTGCTCCCTTGGTCAATTACTCAGCTCTAGGAAAAGGATAGAAATGGGTTTGATAGCCTTTAGACTGCTTAAGTGAAAGGAAAACAGAAAATTGAAAGCAATGGCAAATCATTTAGGGCAAGGCTGAAAAAGGATTGTTTCATGATGAAGGATAATCTGATATTATTAAGTCATTCCTTAATTTTCAGAGAGATTTGAGGAAATTGATCATCTTCATTCACTTCCCATGCTTTCTGGCCATTATATGATATAAAACGCAACACCGTGGGAATGAAGATCTCTCTCACTCTCTCTCTCTCTCTCTCTCTCTCTCTCTCTCTCGTGCCTCTTGCTCACTCCCCTTTTCCCCCCATCTGCTCCCCTTCTCCTCCCCTTACACGTTTACTAGATAACATGTGCCTGTAAGTCATTGATCAGCCGTGGTAGTGGTTACCTGTCCTGACTGGCTGTGTATGATTGAATGTCTGCACCATGCCAATTTTGACCCATATCTTCTTCCTGTATCTATCATCATCACCTAAGAGGTCTGGGTCTACACCCAATGGCTTTCAGAACCAGATGTTAAACTCATCTATCACAGTTTTTTACCTAAAAAGGCAGCACCGAAGCTGCCCTTTAGCTGCTGCACATGCCGAGATATGGCTTGAAAAAAATAAAATTGAATTACATTTTGTTCACATACATGTTTCCAATTTCCTTGATACATGTACTAAAGAACACCTGCTACAGTCAAACCTGCTTTAGTGACCACCTGTCTATATTACAAAGACCACATTTTTTGTTTCCCTTGAAAATGGTGTCTCATCGAAACATCCACTATAAAAGGAACCTGTCTACAAAGGCCACTTTTTGTGTTTCTCTTTGGCGATCGCTATAGACAGGTTTGACTGTACAGTCAAACCGGCTCTAGTGACCACCTGTCTACAAAGACCATCTGTCTACAAAGGCCACATTTGTTGTTTCCCTTGAAAATGGTTTCTCATTGAATCATGTACTAAAGGAACCTGTTTACAAAGACCACCTGTCTACAAAGGCCACTTTTTGTGTTTCCCTTGGGTGGTCGCTATAGACAGGTTTGACTGTACCATGATGTATGCCTGTTCGGTTCAGTGCAAGTTATTATTATAAAAGTTCTTAAATTAGACTTTTGTAATTCAAGGCAATTCATATCATCAAACACGAGTACTCTGTCCTTGTTTCCTCATATATGAACCGGTTTACTAATCCTGTGAGCAATCCCCATACCCAATCATGTTCGGTGTATAATAATCAAACAGTCCTTGTACCAGGTCTCTATTGGATTTTAATAAACAAACTAGTTAGTAGCTGAATTCCTAACTGTGACTCGAATTATCTGGCCTAATTATAGGTCCCACCTGGGTGGAAGCGTTTATCAGCCGATTAAGTTTCCCCTTCACTATTAATCTAACAACTTCCCCCCTTCCCCTTCACTTCATCACCCTCCCTGGAAATGAGTTATAATAGCTCTACCCCAATTCTTTACATGCATGTACTACATGTAGTTGAACACAATGCATTAATTTGATCATACTGTGATACTGCGTTCACATTTTGAGGTTAAACAAAACCTATTTCGTTGGCCGGCTGGTAGAAGGGCGTTAGGGCGCGAGCGACTTGAAAAGTACTTTTCAAATTATTCACATTTAAAGATTTGTTCGATATTTAAACTGCTTTCCGTCCCGAAAATTGGTTTAAAACTTAAAAGACTAATAGAAATGTTATAGTAGAACACGGTCACAATTTTTTAAAGGAAATAGATCAGTTTTATAAAAGCTTGAGGCGATTTAGTGCTAACGCCCGTCTGCTTTAAAGCTTCATTTTTACCTGAAATTCGAGCTAACGCCCTTCTGCCAGCAAGGCGACGATTTCACCTTTAACAACTATCCTTCCATAAAATCCATACTTCATACAGCATAATACATACTGCAGTAATACTGCATACATGCACATCATATTGTTTGTTCAGAGATGGAAGGGTGAATAATTGTGTGTTAAAGCATATGACTTAACACCTTTCTGGCTCAAACGAACGGTATTCTAAGGGTGTGTTCAGCAAAACCGATTCTTCCTTCCAATACCCGCCCAGATATATTAATGATGAAATACATTGGTTGACTATGTGCAAAGTATTTTTAACAATGAAACAAGAAATGGCAAACTTTATTGCTAGCTCATTTATGACACTTGTTTGCAGATTGCATAGCACAGGAGGAGCTACATATTTCATTGTGCTACACATATAGCATGAGGTACATACATGTAGGAAATCCAATCATGGTCTCAGGTTTTTAATATCTTGATCGTAGTCCTGACCTGCGGATCTAGAAAACTTTTCTTCCTGCTTTCTGGAATCCCACGTCTTAACAGCAAAACCAACAAATCATTTAAGAGTATTAAGAGCTTGTATAAAGCCCAAACCATCACCCAGCTAGAGAATAGAGATAATTATGTTCACACTTCTCAAGATCTCCTGCTTCCTAGTGCTAATCCACCAAGCGAGGGCCTCTGACTAATGCTTGACCAGGTCATCAACATACGGTACATGTGACTCCAAGGTTAACTGCATAGTATAAACCCTCATTGGCAAGCTGCTTTCAATGCAACTAGAAAAGTCTGAGAAATATATGTGAGAGTTTGAGATACACAACTCCTGTACATGTAGATATTAAAAAATGAGAAAAGTTTTGTTTAGGAATCGTTGGAGAAATGATATTCCCCAGGGTTTTCAAGTACTGAAGGTATATGTGAATACCATTGTTTGGGCAACCGGGCCATTTATTCATGTACCATTCTGCCTTTTATTTTGGCATCAAGAATGCTGGAATGAAGCTTATTTTAATTAAACATGTTATGATTGCTATGAGTGTGCTAATTTCAGATCAATTTAGTAACTACTCTATTAAATACAGTAGAACCGGTCTACAAGGACCGCCCAAGGGAGGCAAGAAAAGCGGTCTTTATGGGCAGATGGTCTTTATGTACAGGTTCCTCTAGTAGTACATGTTTTAATGAGAAAACAATGTCAAGGGAAACAAAAAATGTGGTCTTGTAGACAGATGGTCTTTGATACAGGTGGTTGCTAAATGAGGTTGGATGGGAGAACATACACAGACATTTATAGCATCCAGGATTTAGATTCTTTCACAACTCGAAGTAACGGTAACCTCCCTTTCCTGCTGAGAGACAAGACTAATGTCCTGTCTACACATGGAGAGGGCATGGCCTCTCTATCTCTTGGCGAGGTATCCAAGCTACATGTAGACGTCCAACTCCTCGATGTGCATGTACACGTAAATGAAAAGTGTGATTAGGAGGGAGGGGGGGGGGGGGGGTCAAACGGACTATCACCTCCATTTCCTGCTCGGGGGATGATGTTTAATATTCATGTAGCATGGCCTCTTATTAGTCGTAATCTTCTGTGTACCACACAGATAATCTTTCTGTGTGGCTGTGTATTTATCATAGGATGGATATAAGAAAAGCTGGTTTAAATGTTTCCAGTGCAAGATTAGTCTATAGCTAATGAAGACCCGGGGAGTGTTTCACAAAGACAAAGATCGACTTTAAGTTGAACTTAACTATGGCAGGCCATTCATCAGACTGTTTGCTTTCACCATTATGATCTTTAGATAATATTTTTTCCTTCAATAGTGCATTTATGACCATGATTTGTACGTCTCTTGAGAGACCAATAGCAATAAATGGTGAGAGCAGACAGTGGCATGAATGGCCTGCCATAGCTACATGTAAGTCCAACTTAAATTCAATTTTAGTCTTTGTGAAACACCCCCCCTGAAATAGGTACATGTAGTTTTTCAAAGCCATTGTGTTTGACAATCGGTGACTATTATTTTGTGAGGCAATGTAAATGTATCATAGAACGTCATATCAGAGGGCCATCATATCTCAGTTGCTTGACCATAGGAAGTTAATGTCTGGGGGCCTCTCTTATATGCCATGGCCCCTAGCTGACTAATTCATGATTAATGTCCTTGTAACTACATCTTTCTTAATAGACTGTAGGGGTGCATTTGAGTAACTCCTTTACTAGCATGGTATGTTTCAAATAGAACAGCATCAAAAGCCCTTTTTTTTTAAAGGCAACAAAATATAAAAAAATGATTTACTTGCAAAGCTCCAACTCAAAAAATGTAGAGATTGATATTTTGAGAAAAGATAGAGAAAATATCTTCACCACCCATCCATACATGTACAATATGATGTTAGCAATTTCTTCTTCTTGATATTTTACACTAATAAACGATAATAAACGATTTGTAATATTTCTTTGAGTTTAGTTTATAAAAAACAGTAGCAAAATACTACATTTAACAGTTTGAAGCTGCAAGAATTCAATATTTCTTTAAATTTCAGTAATGAGAATACAACAATAATCAAGATACTTGGTCATGATCTAACACCTTTTATTTTCCTGTACTTTAATAAGACAGTGTTGTTTTCCCTGTCCCTGTCAATTTCTAGCTGAACTTAAGAAATTGGGTCTTTTTAAACAATTTATTTATAGCCAAAAGATGTACACAACTACTTTGTATAACATTATGTCAGCAATAAGACATCTGGGTTGGAAGTTCTAAGCCCCTGATGAGCACAGGAGCAGAATTTCTATTTACGGCAAGCCTCATCCATTCCAATATGTGGGGGGAAAAAACAAACTCTGCAACCACTCCAATGGTATGTTGACAAGGCTGTGAGGAGGATTGGGTGGGGTCTCTGCAAGACTTCCTGCTTCGCAACACCTTGAGGGTTGTGACCCGTCAGACAAGACATCCTCTTCCTCTTCTCTCTCTTCCTTCCTCTCTCTCATCAATGGATGCAGCGATGATGAGGTGAAAGAGAAGAAGAGTCTTCTCAAGACTTTAAAGGTATAGACCAGTTTTGGAAATGCCCCCCCCCCCTCTCAAAAAATGAAATGGAAGCTCTTATTACCAGTTGTACGTAATATGCTTCTGCAAAAATTGCTCCACTGTCAATATTCTACTTTGAACGAATTCCTTGCCCCCACCCTGGACGTACCAAACACTTTTAAACTTGACCTTAATCCTGACCTTAAATCTACCAAGGTACCCAATCGCTTAATTCTAACCCTATATTTGATGAAATAAAGCGTGGAGCAATAGACTGATTTACTAACATATTCAAATCTATTGATGTTTCTTTCCGGGGGACCTCGTGACGAGTTGTTCTATTAACCTGTTAAAATTGAATAGACTGCTATACTTGGAATCCAGTCAGCATACATTACGTGTTGCTATGTTGGACAATCCTTGAGCAAGCTTTCAGGTTGTCTAAAACAACCTTTGTTCAAAATGTGTGAATAAAATTTGAATATGTTAGTGAACGGGTCTAATGTCTGTATATCTACAGTTTAGCTATACTAGTGACATTAGACCCGTTCACTAACATATTCAAATTTTAATCACACATTTGTAGCTAGTGGACACAGTAAAGTGGCATTTTGAATTTGTTTTAAAATAATTCTTGAACATTTTATTCAAAAGCTTTAAGAGCAGAATATATCATATTTCACAATCAAACACGGTGTTTTGATTACAATTCTGTAGGTTATTTCCTGTAGGCCCGCTCAAGATTTCCTTAACTGTTCAACGGCCCCTTGCCATACCCTTATGTGACTGTGTAGGCATGAAAACGTTATGAATGAAATATGTTACTCAAGATGGTTGGCATATTGCCACTTCCTTTCTTATCAGGACCCCCTATCTACTAACTAGTTCAAGTAGTTTCAAAGTGAGTACCGGTAGTGATTTTGAAAATAACAAAAAACAAAAAAGGAATTATCTGATTGATCACTCTTCTGATTACCGGTAGTTAAAAAATTTATTTATTGTAGTCAAATTTATTAAAAAAAAAAAAAAAAAGATTCTCTCATATTTTTCAAGTAGACCTATCAACATAAAAAAAAACAGTTGGTATGGATCTAAATAGAGATTTTGATGTAGGGGAAGAATTAATGTACCGGTATGTCATGAATAGACACATTTTGAAGGCCTGAATTCTGCTCTGTAGAGGCTCCCATGCTGTGAGCACGGCAAGCCTGTCATGGGACGAAGCAATATCTATTTCTTGTAAATTCCAGTTAATAATAAAAACATTAAATTAGTGGCTGGCCTAGGGAGGAAATCCGACTAGGAATCAAGCCAGGATAGGGTCGCCCATAGATTAGACGACCTCCTTTCTGCTATTTTTATTTCTCAGAAATGATTATGGATTATCTTTTTTCCTTCATAAGTTCATATTCTTATTCAGTATCTTAATTTATGCTCCGGGCAGGGCCAAATCCAGTTTCAGAAATTAAGAAGTTTGGTGATAGTGTAGATTTGAGCAATTAGGATGCTTTATATGAAGTTTGGAATCGACATGTTTCGAAAAGATTTGTGGGGATGCCTCATTTATAGCATTTTATAGCAAATGATATCTATCCTTTCCATGATAATGTCTACAGGAATCATTTAATAGGGAGTTGGATTTCATTGAGTTGATTTGATGAAGCTTACTTGATTCATATGTTTCTGAGAACTGTTAGGGTGCTGTCCTTCAGCGGAAGATGACTAATTCTCATTCTATGTTATTGAATTCTGTTTCAATATGTATGGAATGGAATCAAATCTTCAAGCAATATCTGTTCAATAGATCAGTTAACTATTAAACATACTGTATGTTCAAATTTAATGCATACCTTATAAACAAAGGGTGTTCTTGACAAGCTTGTCAGACATAGCAACAAGTAATGTAAGCAGACTGGATTCCAAGTACTATAGTTCATTCATTAATAAGAGGTTAATGGAACGACTTGTGACTAGGTCCCCAGAAAAGAAAAAAAAAAATTTGTTTAAAAGTAACCAGGTCTATTGTTTCAAATGAATTATCTTATAAACAAGGGAATGTGAACATTTTAAAAAGTTTGCTCTGCGAAGCCAAATTCTTTTATTGAGCTCACAGTAGCAAAGTTGCGGATGGCTAATGCATTCCTAATTTCATATTATTAATGGTTTCCTGCGAATGTCATTATACAATCCAGGTGCTCCTTTGGTGCTGTGTTGTCTTGCTTTTTTATACTTAGCAAACTGCATGCATGTGTTGAATATAATACATGTACATGTACAGTAGGGTCAAAAGTTGTGAAATATTTAGTATTTTTAGAGAGACAATTTCAGCATGTTTCACTTTCAATGAATTCTGGGGGTGTTTCACTAAGATCCAAAGTCAAACTTAACTCTAAGTTGGACTTAATTATGGAGAGCCATTTGTAGCCTTAAAATAAAATATATTAAAAAGCGAAAATTCAAGTATTTTAGACTTTTTATAAATTGAACATCAAGAACATGAAATCTCCTTGATAATAGAAAATATGAATGATTCGAATCAACATTTTATGCCTTTAAAAAAAACTTTTACAAATTATTTTCATAGATGCTAACAGCTTTCCATAATTGTTAAGTCCAACTTAGAGATAATTTCAACTTAGGATCTTTGTGAAACACTCCCCTGGTACATTTGTTGGCCTAGCACTTGGTTGATTGTCTGTGTGTATTGCATTGTTCTATAGCTTGATGATATCAAAAAGTAATTTACCACTAGTGGTTTCCCAAGTGGTGTGTTGACAGAGTGTTGTCATTAATAATTTGCACTTTTAAGACAGAGAGGTTCATTAAATCTGATTTTCTTGGCAACGCACAGACAGCTTTAATTGGACAAGATCACAAACCTGTTTTATAAGCAATCATTCTTGGGTTTGTGCCACTGAATTGACATACATGGATTAGCCCATGGATGTTTAGCTGGGAGGTTACATCGTAGAATGGAAGTTAAATTGAGGTGTGGCATTTAGAACATATCATTTCCTAAATTAATGCAATGTAAAATCTATTTTTAGTCAATCATAGTGGTGAAATTAAAAATAATTGATGATTTGAAGAACTAGACTTGTGTAATTTTATTATTCAATGTTATACAAGAATAACCTGTTATTATATTTTGTTTTTTGTGTGGATTCCTGAATTAAAAAAAAACATATATAACCTGTGTTCCCCCAAATACATTGTTTTTGTGTATTATTTTTACAATTCTAAATGTATAGGATAATTTGCTGAAATGTTGAACTTTTATAACTAATTTTTAAACATTGATAAAGTGTTTAATTCAGTGATTCATTTACACTAGAAAACACTAAGTCCATCACAGGGCAAGGGTCTCTTCTTTAATATACCATTTTAGTTACATTATTAAATTAGGTTAAAGTTTCTATTTTTATTGCGAGAGCTTGAGCAAATATGTATTCAGTCCCTTCCGGGTTCTTGAAAATTTAATGATACCTTTGAGCAAATTATTGGCACCTGCCCTTCCGATGCTAATAATGTGAGGTCAGTGGATATTGAATTTATTTTCTTCCTCTGAGAGTCATTAGACAATACAACACCTGCCTTTGAAATCTCTATTTCACTTTGAATGTTAACAAAGACTTAAATTGGCAATCTGGCCTTGGGTTTTTGGCCAAGAGAAACTTACGGTACCTCTAATGTATCTGTTCACTAGTAACCAGCTTTTGAAGATTATTCATAGATGAGACACATCATTTATGGGTAAATTGTTAGCAATTACAAAAAGGTAAACAGTCAGCCCCCCCCCCCCCTCACACACACACTTTCCCCCGCTCCTTACAGCATATTTTGCTATCTTGTAAAAAAAAAACATGGTAATTTTGTTTCTTCTTCTATATTGATAGGTCAGATTCTTTATGTGTTTCAGAGGTAAACCGTTTCTGCTCCCATGCAATGTTCTGCTGTTTTTGCCAATGTTTGTCAAAACTTCACCTTGGCAGACAAAGCTCATACAATTAGCTCCACATGCGACCCTGTTGAATATCCAGTATAGACAATAAGTGATTATTTCCTACATGTATGGCAATGATTTCCTTGTGGTAAATTTCTTTTCAAATTTTCTGGCAGAGCAAGACCTTTTAAATATCTACATGTTTCTTGTGAAACATTCGTTGTTGTTGTGTTTGAAATGTTGATCTTGATTTTGAAAGTGAAGTTTTATGGAAACTGTACATCACTGTTTCTGCAAAGTATGTTACTCCTTAACATTCTTTTTCACAAAGACACAAAGAAAATAAAAATATTGGAATTGTTGAAAATGATTGTGTAGTGTGTCGTAGACTCATTCCTTTTTTAAATGGCTAAATTCATCACATATCAATAAATTTGGCTTTTTTTCTTTCTGTCTCTCTATTACATGTCTGTTGAGTGTAAAAATCTTATTTATGAAAGAGCCCATAATAAGCTATAAACATGTATTATTCTTTTCTGTGTTTCAGTATGGCAAGACGCCTTTCATGGTAGCAGCATCATCTGGTCATGCCGGTGTGTGTAAAGATCTTATTGATAGAAGAGCTGATGTCAACAGTCAAGATCATATACAGAAGTAAGATAAATGTTCCCATCATTCAAATCATTGACCTTTTTCTTCTCATAACTTAACCCTGACACTTAGTTTAAAAAGTGGGACTACACTACTTACATTGTACATGTATAGCTACTTGCGTCCTCTATACAGCCAACAATGCCCAAGCGGTACCCGTTGGTCCCCCATGATGCCCTTTTTCTATGATAATTGAGTGCTGATTTGATGAGATAACCACTTGCCAGTGAACTTGCTGGGTGGTCTAATCCCCCTGGCCAAACTAGTGCAGACGAGCTTTAAACCTGAAGCGTTGTTAAAGTCTGGCCTTATTAGCCCGTATTAAAAGATTAGAACCCTATGCTGGGTTTTTAAGGTTTTGTTAGAAATTAGGTCAATCAAAGGAAACTAGTCTGAGGTATTTAATTTTGTGATAGTGCCACTAGATTTACAACTGTATCACAGGTAGATTTGTAAGAAAAGTTTTCTGTCATTTTGCCTCTTTTTTCGTTATGTTCATCTCGATTGAAACATTGTTTCACGAACTAAGCAATGAGTCTTTGAACCCATTTTGAATTTCTAGAACAAACAAAGTTTTTTTATGAGTCCAAGAAGATTTAATACAATATTGCACCAGCTACAGACCAGCGAGATTTGGGCGACGTCCCCAGTTTGGAGGTGTAAAAAAAACGTTTAAAAAAAAGAAGATATATCCGACCGACTGACCCAGGTTCTGGCACCTAATGGGCAATACAACATCATTTTTGTTTTAGGCCTTATCACCAGTTATGATTAGTTTTATTATTATCATTATTATCATCATCATCATCATCATCACCTTCATCATTGCCATCAGCATCAGCATCATCACCATTATCATCATCATCGCTATAAAGAACGTGACTACATGTACTTCATACTTTGTGCATCTTATTCATTGTCTAGACCATAATCCTCTAAACATGCCAACCCCATTATGATTATATTCGTAGTCAAGGAAGCAACCTTCCAAACATTATTTTAAAGCCCAAAATATGTTGCTTCCTGAGTCATAATAGGTTGGCATTAAACGAACATGCTATTGTTGGCAGAAAAAAGAAAACCTTCAAAAATGTATGACTCATTAAAAGGAAAACATATGGTATTATAACATTGAAATAAAGGGAAATGAGCATGAAGAGGGCACACAGTGTATGGTTTACTATTGTTAGAGATGAAGGCATATAAGATATTGAGGTAATGCTATTTTTAAAAGAACTCAAGGAAAAGAACATGTATGCAGCAGTGATAGGATAATGAGATCTAACAGCTGCATAACAATAACAATTTTTGTGTTGTTTTGTTTCCTTACTCTATACATTTGATGAAAACCAGACAGAGATTGTTTAATTTATTACTTACCATGCATCTACATGGTACACAGAGCTAACAGAGTGCTTTCAGACAAAACACATACCTTACTAGTATTTTGGTTTATTCATTTGAGTTGCTGATATGAATTCTTCAAAAGTTATAGTTGTGACTTCTGTCAGTCCATTTTCTCTCAATATCCTTTATAATTTCAATCATGCAATCACTGATCATCCCAGGCTTCTACTTAAGTCAACAAAAGGGCCCTGGTTTTCATCACCCTTTTCTGTTAATCAATTTCATTTATCGCTGCAGTCAGCAGAAACAGGTGGTTTAAGCACCCGTCAATCAATGAATCAATGCATACATACCAGTGATGGCATGGTAATGAAAGACATCATTCAAACTTCCAATATTCTATGACCTAATTTATTGATAGGTTTTCCCCCACTTTCATCCTACATGTGTTGCATTCTGACAGTGCGTAGAGTGCTGCAAAAGGGAGCTTATCTGTGATATATGATGTTGTATGATTATGTATTTAAGAAAGAGAAGGCAAAAGACCCTCAAATTTCCATTTGCCATTTATTGACATTAAAATATGATTTATATTAAATAAATTGAATCAAATTAAAGGGATGATTGTATTTACATTATGGTAGTTGGTCTGAAATTAATTTGTGTCAATTAGATATTTTACATTCTATTTGGAGCCAGAATGACATTAATTTGTAAACTTTTACACATAGATAATGCTCATCTGGCTCTAAACAGACAATATACAGTGTGCTTGGATTCTCATTACTTCTATCTATTACTAGTGCAAACTTGAAACTGGCCAAGCAAGAAGAGACAATCCTTATTTAATAATAATAGGTCAATTTATATAGCGCAGCTACTATATGAATATACTCTACTGCGCTTTATACAAAGTTTCATATTGTTACCCTGGCTGTAGCTGAGCTGCGATGATAAGGCGCTAAAGCATTTCAAGGAATTAAATTCCTGCCTGGTACCTATTTACATCACATGGGTTGAGTGTCACAAATGTAGATCAATATCATGCCAAACGACATTAGTGCCGCGGCGAGACTTGAACCGCGGACCTTGTGATCGACTGTCCGGTATCGTATCCACTCGACCACGACACCTCTTCATAAGAATAACATTACATCTGAATGCATGATTGAAGCCTGTTCATCTGTCTCATCCTTAGTTAAGACACATTTTTGGAACAGTGTGAATTTGTATTGCCCGATGTGAAAGGGGAAGGCGTCTTTCCAAAATTGACAACCTTTTCTCTCTGCCTGTAGGACCCCTCTGATGGCAGCATGTGAGAACGGCCACAAGGACACGGTAGAGCTGCTTATCAAGAGAGGAGCTAGGGTAGATCTGTGTGATGCCCAGGGGTATGATGCCAAGTATTATGCTGAAGGCAGTGGACAGGACAACCTAGCGGAACTCCTGGACAGCGCCCCATCGGTAGCTACTTGGGATGTTCGTAAGTACCTACTGTAGTGATCATGATGATGATAGTTTGGTTGTGGGTGTGGTTGTGGGTATGATGGTGGGGATGATACCAATGATGAGGGTGATGATGATGGCAATGATAGTGATGATGATGACGTTGCCGATGGTGATGTGGTTATGTTGGTTATGTTGATGATGCTGATGATGATAACGAGTATTATGCTGAAGGCAGTGGACAGGACAACCTGTCGGAACTCCTGGACAGTGCCCCATCGGTAGCTACTTGGGATGTTCGTAAGTAGCGATTGTAAAAATTATGATGATGGTGTGGGTGTGGGTATGATGTTGTGGATGATACCAATGAGGCCTTTAAAAAAATGATGTTGTTTTGCCCTTTAGGTGCCAAAACATGGGGCGATCGGTCAGATTTTTTTTTAAAAACATTTTTTTTTTTTTTTTTTTTTTTTTTTTTGGGGGGGGGGGGGGGTGGGGGGGTTGGCCGCAAAAGGCAATGCAACATATTTTGTTTAAAGGCCTGATAAGGGTGATGATGATGGCAACGATCGTGATGATGATGATGATGTTGCCGATGGTGATGTGGTTATGTTGATGACTGCAATGATGATGATGGTGATGAGTAGAGGAGAAGGAGGGGGGTGAATAGAAGACAGCAATGATGATAATGAAGTTTTTATGGCTCTTTTTCTTGCACATCATTGCCTTAATAGTTTCAGTATAAATCCTCTACTACTATATAACTCTGATGGTCCACCCATCCTCCAATCTAGAATCTGTTCATCAATCTCTCTATCATTCTCTCTGTTGCTAGGTAACGAGGAAGAGGAAGCTTATGATGAAGTAGCCCCCGATGCTGTGGATTACATAGATACCTTTGATGTGGGCAATGAGAGAGCAGACTCGCCTCCCCCGAATAAAAATCAACAGGTACATGTATTCCCCAAAATGAAAATTAGTGTTGTGTAAACATAGCATATGTCACAAACAGAGTTGGAATCTCATTGGAACTACATCTTTGTCAATATATGCTTATAAATGTATAGTTGACTTGTGTTATGCCTTGACATCATTTCTTCAGTCACTATTTTGATGTAAGATGTAATAATGATAAAAATAGTCATATTCATGTAGTAGTTAATACTTAAGTAAATGTCATACAAAATATGAAAATAAATAGATGTAATGAGTAACATTTCAATTTTCATGTCTCAGACATTTTCTGGCCTTCTAATGAAAGGTCTGTATTTTCCCCTGTCAGCAGAGTGAACGAATCCCAGCAGATCATTGTAATAAAATCCTTGAATAAATAATCAAAGTAAAAGATTTCATTGAATACAGGACCAGATGAATGAAACTTTCATGTTTTATCTCATCTTTGTTACAGAATAATATTCCTGCAGACTTCCCAACTCCCAGCCGAGCAGTCAGTATGCCAGCACTCACTAATAATCAGACGGATGACCTTAAGGTGAGAGATCTTCTAATTTTTATTTGATTTTGATTTGATTCATATTTATAGCATACAGACAATGACAAATGCTCTAATTACAGCAAAATTTCTAAAGAAAGCTTTGTCCTTATTCTGCTAAGAAAGGCCTGGTTTGATTTGATTTATAACAGCAGCAATATCGCAATACATTCAATACAACGAAATTTGCATAACATACAAGAAGAAAAACTATTGGTTCGTAAAAGGGGCCAGATAATAGCACATGTGCTAGTCGAGCTTAACCACTTACAGCTAAACTATAATTAAAGTTCAGAAAACAAAACAAAAATAATGAATTTACTATTACAATCGATACTTAAAAAATAAGAATACTTAACAATGTCTCACAATATACAAACTAATAATAAGGAATAGAATTTTATTTACAGAATAAGAATTATAATATTTAATATTAATTTTATTTTTCTTGCTGCTTGTATGTTTGTATTTGTAGGAGTTAGAGGAAGAGAATGACTTTCTGAACGAAGAACTCTCCAAGGTGAATGTGGCACACAAGAAAGCACTAGAGAGGATTAGATTACTTGAAAGTAAAGCTAACGAAATAGAGGTAAGAAAACTAGCTATATTATCTTCATAAACACATGTTTTCTCAACTGCTTTAAAAAACATGTATCATACATGTACTTGTTGAATGACGTTTTAACCTGCTAATTCCCCAAAATTGCTTGTTAAAAAGTTAGCATGTTGACATGAAAAGGAAGGACAACATTTGCTTTTGATTTCAGATTTGGAGTAATCTTTCAAATTCTTTTGAGTTCAGCTTTAAAGACAAATGCTTATGAATTTGCATTACTTAAAGACCATCTGGACTAGTGTACAGGAGGGATTAGACCACCCTGCAAGGTCACTGGACAGGTGGTTATCTCATCAAATCAGCTCTCAATTAACATAAGAAAAAGAGGATCATGGGGGACCAATGGTCACCGATTATGCAATGTTTGTTATATAGAGGGCACAAGTAGCTACAAGTAGTGCAGTGGGGCTTTAAAGCAAATGTATTTCCCTATTGATCATACTGTTTTCTTTTAGACTATAACACTTTTTGTTCATTTCTGTGCTGCAACCTGTTAATTATATTTTTTACTTTGTATGTTATTAAGCAGGTGGACAGTTTTAAAGGCCCACTGCACTACTTGTAGCTACTTGCGCCCTCTATATAGAAATCAATGCCTAATCGGTGACCATTGGTCCCCCATGATCCTCTTTTTCTTACGTTAATTGAGAGCTGAGTTAATGAGATAGCCACCTGTCAGTGACCTTGCTGGGTGGTGTAATCCCCCCCCCCCCCTGGCCAAACTAGTACAGATGGGCTTTAAGCAATACTGTATTCTTTTAGACTATTACACTTTGTTTATCCCTGTGCTGTAATAATATGTTTTACTTTGTATGTTATTCAGCAGGTGGACAGTTTTAAGCAGAGGCTAGAGGGTGAGGAGATGAAGAGGAAAGAAGCAGAGAAAGAGATTAATGATCTCAAGAATAAACTCAGTTCCATGAAGGTAAATCATTATTTTTATACATGCTTAGCTAACTCTGAAGTGGACAAGATTTTATAGTTGTGTGGTTATGTTCATGTCCATTTGTGTTCTCTTGATAATGATGACGATGGTGATGATGATGATGATGATGGCGATGGTGATGATGATGACGATGACGATGGTGATGATAATGATGATGCTGATGACCATGATCATTACCATGACCATGACTATGAAGATTTTATAGTTTGGCTATGTTTATTTCCATTTCTGTTCTCTTGATAATAATGATGATGATGATGATGGCAACGACGATGGCGATGACGACGACAACGACCATGACCATGGCCATGACAATGATATGTCTTGTTTACCCAGGGTAGCCTCATCAGTATTAGTAACTGTTCTCCCTGAGGACCATGTCTTTTCTAAAAATGTTGACCGAGAGTAATGAGAAATATATTAGATCAGTTAGGAATAGTGGAAATCAAGTAGCATTGCATTGATAGTTTGTCATTACCTAGAATTTTAATTGTTATCTTGAAACATTGTGATGATTATATTAGGGAAAACTATACAATACTATTGAATACTAATTTTGTTTGATACATTTTGTTCTTTATCAGCTGAAGGAGAGCAAAGATTCCTTTGAAGAAGATGATGAAGATGAGACAAACTCTGTTGGAAGCTGGGGTGATAGTGAAGACGATCTCTTTGGTCTACCTGGTAAGTAATGAACAGTTTGCTGGTAGAATGCTGTTCAGCTATCATGACCAGGCAGTAGAGGATGGTAATTTTTTATATTTGTTTGATCTTCCTTGTAAGGCTTTGTCATGGTAATACGGACAATAGCAATTGAATCTTGTTACTATACTCACTTACCTCATCAAATTTAAAATTTGTTGCTTGGCAGAAATTATTTAGAAATGGTAGCACTCAAAAAGTTATGACACCATTCTTTTGGGAAGATATCCCTGATGGGTCTCCTGACAATTTTGAGGAGTCTAGAAAATTCAGATTTATGCATTCTTGAGTATTACAGCCTGGTGTTAAGTTTTGCTACCAGGTAATGCATTCAGATCTGGAATAGAATTCAGAATTACCAATGATCGAGTGCACAGTTATTGTGTACCACCTGTTGATAAGTTCTTTTCAATTCAAATTCAATTCATAGAAAAACATGATAATTAAGTAATAAATACATACAAAAAAATACATTAGAAGGACCCCTAAGAAAGCAAAGCTTATTAGGAGGGCCCTGTACAAATACACAGAAATAAATGAACACAAACAAAATTTAAATTGAATTAATCAACAAGCAATAGTAGTAAAATAAAAAACATAAACCTACATACTCATATTCATTACAATACCTTTACCACACTTGTATAAACAAAAACGTTCAGCAGCATATGTACACTGTAGTATATATTAAAATACATGTATGTATGATAAGACTAGTGTACATGGTATTACCTTACAGGAACCAAGAAATCTCCCGGAAAACCTCTGAATCTATCCATGGACATCAACTCTCCCAAACATAAGTCCGACACCCAACGTTTCAAGGCTGAGGTAGAGGAACTACGCAAAGAGAATGACAATCTCAAAAACCAATTAGAGGTATGTTATCTTCATTATCACATTTATAGAAGGTGTAGACTAGTCTGTATTCATGTTATTATTTATTGAAGATATATTATTATTCTTAATGTGTAATAACTTCCATACATATCAAGGCGTTTTAATTTGAAAGGGTTTTTATGATTACAATGGTGTTGAAAATGTTTATTAACCTGATAATATTAATTATAAGAGAGTATCTTTCCTTAAATTACATGAAACATCTTTAGTGATTCCCTGATCCTACAAGAATTTAAGATTATCTTTGAAGCAATTTAGTCTTATTATGCTTGCTTAGTGTTATTGAGTATCATCATCATTTAGAGTCATCACACAACTACAGGTGTACTTCGAAAATGGTGTGTGACGTGTTAGCAGGTTTACAAAGGATCTTGGAAGAACCTGACAGTGACCGCGACGTGAACGTTCCTACTATGGCCCCCGTTCGGCATTAAAAAAAAAAATATTGTATTGCCCTTTACACCCGACCCACAATTTTTGAAATCGATGGGCGAAGAAAAATGTATTGAAGCATTCAAAACTGAAAAATATCAGCCAAATGAGGGAGTTTTTAAAAAAAAAGTAAAAAAAAAAATATTTTAGACCGACCAACCCATGTTTTTTTTGTTGGCCTTATTGATGTAGCCAAGGGTAACTATTTCTCTGTTTGATTACAGTCCGGTGAGGTGACCCCAGCAGGAACAGTATCCCGGGCTGAGTTTGAGCGTCTGCGTCTCTCATCCAACGGCAGGATAGCAGACCTGGAGGAGGAGCTAGCCAGTCTCAAGGAGGAGCTTGAGGAGACGGACCGGGGTAACATGGTCCCGTACGAGGAGTATCGGGAGCTGAAGGAGGCCAACGAGGAGGAGCTTAGTGTCGTAAAGCTGGAGAACATCGTCTTGAAGGATGAGATCGGAAACGTCTCTCAGAGAGTGAGTTCGTTTATAACACTCTTCTGATATAATCTCTTAATGAGATATCGAGGGGTCAGTGACACAAAAACGTAACTCCATTTTGGCCATTTTGAGAAAAAGTGGTTTAAAGATAGAGGTCCACTTGGGCCTTAAGGAGTTAAATCTATGTTTCACTAGCCATTGACTTCAATAGGGTGTTGGGTGGAGTTAAGTCTTTGTGTTTCCTAGAAAGCCCACATTTTTCTGAACATTTTGATATCAAATACTAATTTTGGCAAAATATGGAGTTACGTATTTGTGTCACTCAACCCTCTATATTATCTCTACATGAACAGGTCAAAGGTTATTTGTATCAAATAGCTGATTTACCGAGACAAATGCTGGATATGTGCTCATGTAAATTAAAGTAAACATTATTCTATGCCCTAAATTGCATTCCTTCGTGTACAAGAAGCGGTACTCTTTTCAAATGGGAAACAAAATCTATTTGCGAAGCACCTCTATATGTAGTTTTTCCAGAGTGATTTTTACCACAATGCACAAAATACTCCGGGCTCTACATGTTTAATAGACAGTTCTTTATATATTAGGGGTCATTTGTAACATGCTAATTAAAAACTGGGCCATGTGAATTAAAGCTAAATGCATTTTGTTATTAGATTTAACAACTGCACATGGTAGCCAACTAATTTGGCATATGATTTTTCCTTATATGAAAGAGCAATTATTTTCTGTTTAGTATCTTTCCAAATCTTTTTATCAATGTGTAATTTCATAAGTGTGACATCCATGCCATAATTCAAAAATTCTTTAAAAGGTTCTTTTTCTTCTTCTTAATTCTCTTTGTCACTAGCTTGCAGAAATGACAGATAGAAAGGAGCGACTCCAGGAGCAGGTGATCGAGCAGCAAGAGCTGCAGCTGAGACCAGTCAGTAGTTCATCGGCTGACTTCAGATACAACGAGCTCGTCCAGGAGAAACTAGAGATGGAGGAGATCATCAGCAAGCATTCTGAAGTCCTGGCCAAGCAAGCCGATGACATCGAGTCCTACAAGAAGGAGATTGGTGTACTGAAGACTGAGAAGGATGCCCTGGAAGCGAGACTGGGAGAAGGGAGCGGGTCAGGGAGCAAGGAGGAGATGGAAGCATTGAAGAAGGAGAATAATAGACTCCAGGCTATGATTACGAAACAATCCAAAGCCATAGCGCAACAGACGGACAGGATGCGTAAGGACAAGATCAAGTACAGTGAGCTAGCGGCGGAGAGAGATCAGCTGGTCAAAGAGATGCAGGCGTCTCAGAGGACTGGGGTCAACGGGGACGGGGAATCGGAGGAGAGGCGGGAGCTGGAGAAAGAGAACAGGAGACTGATGGAGAGGGTGGGGATGCTGGAGAGACGGGCAGAGAGCGAGGAGGAGGAGAGCATGAGAGTCGAAGAGTTGACGGCGGAGAATTGGAGATTGCAGGATGCGGTGCGGAAAGCGGAGGACGAGATGCTGGTCAAGAGTGCTCAGCTTTCAAAGCTACATGCTGTGAAGACCCCTAGTAGCCAAGGACTAGAGGCAGAGAACAAAAGACTGAAAGGAAGGAACAAAGAGATGGAGATTGAACTCGCGAATAAGAGGGACGGAGAGGCCGCGTACTCCCAGATCCTCGCTGAGAACCTCTCGTTGAAAACGAGGTTAAGTCAGGTTCAAGATTTCGGGAATGGTCTTCAGAATGGTAGCCCGAACTCAAAGCAATCAGCAGAGGTCCTGGCTGAGAATAGAAGACTGAAAGAAACCATCAAGAAGATGGAGGGAACGAAGAATGATGGAATGATGAATGGGATAGATGATGGAGGAGGAGGTGGTGGTGGAGGAAAGGCAAACCTGAAAGAAGTAACAAGATTAAAGCAACAGATAGCTGAGATGGATGGTAGGCATAAAGAGACTGTCAACATCTACAGAGCACACCTACTCAGTGCTGTACAGGTAAGCTTATCATATATCATAACCCATTATCCCCTCCCCCCCTCCCACAAACACACAAACCAAATGAGGAAAGAAGAAGAAGAAAAAACACACAGGGGGTTTCCTTATTAAGCCTAGGGGGTCAGGTCGTGAAGTGTGCAGTAGTGGCCTTATAGAGAAGGTTGAGTTCTGGGAAGAGGTGAAGAATAATTCGTGAGCGTTATCATTGTATTAGTAAGTGTGGAATATTCTAAACATGGCATGTAACATCATAAAAATCGGGACAGATTTTTATGCCACATGTTCTTTAAGTCCCATATACATCTTTCTGTGTACATTGGTTGTAACTTTACCAAGACTAGGCCAAATTTCTGATCATTTTGATGATTCCAGAACCTTGCTGTACACACCAATACTTATCAACTTTTTCTGATCGATTCCACAACGTTTCTTTCACAATGCAATCGCATGACCAGAAGTCAAATTTATCTTAGAGAACCATAGAAAGCATTAGAAAATTAATGAATTGTACAGAAATTGATTACCTCACACATGATTTACTGAGAGATTCGTACATGTAGTTCTTGTCAAAATAGGCCTGAGAGTTAGTTTTAGGGTAATGGTTAGAGAACATTGCAATTACAAGTCAAAGCAAGGAATGCGCAGATTTCATAATCACGATTTAGACTTTCCAATTATTTTCATTGTCATTTTCTTTAGGATGAGATCAGTTCTGAGGTAAAGGAAGCCCTCCAACAGATCGTCAAACTTCGTCACGAAACACCGGTCACATGACACCACTACTATGCAATGAAGATTTGATATCTAGAACACTTCAACTCCTGCGTGGTTCATGTCAATGATGCAAAGTGGGGTAGCTAGAAGAATATGAAGACAATAGTGTGAAGGAAAGGATGATGACACATCGAGGCTCTAATTAGTGATGAAAGTGCAACTTGGAATGGATCCTAGTAATGGTGCCAGCTGATCGAGTCTGTCTACAGTTTGAGCCGGAAAGAAGTAACATTTTGAGACAAAAACTGTCTGCTGCCAGCAAAGATTCAAAGAGTAGAATGAAAAGTGAGAGAAATACCAAAAAATGAGGTGCTCATCCTGCTGTCAAGATGTCAAATGGAATACATCAGATGTTGATTTCTTTATTAAATTATTCTTGTTACTGTTGAAAGAGACAACATACAAAAATTTAAGGTCATTCCATTATCAATTCTAACCAATAGGTGTATTCTTATCTTGCCATTTGCGATCATGTACACCGTTTTTTATCCTGACTTGGCTGAGAGCCAGGAGAGGATAAGTCATGAAACTTGAGTTAACACCCTTCTCGCTGGTAGAGATGTTATTCCTTTTTCTTAACCAAAACACAAATGTATGTGCAAACTGAATTTATCCCACCATTTGTGTGCACTTTATGCAAACCTTCCATGCAAACCATTACTCCATTACCTCACACTGAATGCATTATACATATATTCATGATAAATGAGGCTTTATTTCCATATCCCGCAGGCTTTATAAAGGGGAAAAGACCATGTTTTGATTATAAATGTATTATAAATACGTATCAGTGTGGTTTCATGTATATACATGTAATGGTCTCCTTGTCAAAATAGTGAATACATGTACATGTACGGTAAATTAATCTGTTATATTCGAAATTTATTCAAATATGAATATGCAAAATGTTTTCTTCATCAAAAGGGGTATCTAAAAAGAAGTCACACGAAGGAAAAAATATTATGAATTATATTTAAATTCATATACTGCCAGATTCAGGAAAAAATCACTTTTTATGATGATATGAAATGAAGAATGAGAAATTTGTGTTATGAGGCTTAGTGTCCATACTTTTAGCATTGGAAATTTGTGATTATTTATATGGTAAATAGTTACATTACGATGTGGATTGTACATAAACAACTACGGTAGGTATATTTATCAATTGCATACTGAATATACCCAATGAAATTATGGTTTTTAATCTAGGTTACAATTATGTCGCATGCCAAATACCTACTAAAGTAATATTCACAATTTTTTTACCCTGTATTTTTCACTTGTGCAGTTCTAGGGGGATCTTTTACATTGCTTTGTTCATTAATTTCAGCTTGGATCACATCAAAATGATTTTTGATTGAATATGATAATTTCGCTCTATTCAAAATTATGCAAATTTCTTGCTTGTGTCTACTCATGGGTGTCATACATTTAACAGCTTTTGAAGATGTTAATTTATGTATTCATTTTTTAAAATCAAGATACAATATGAAATGGGATTCTCTTCCTGTTCAAGTTATAAATTGAATCTAACATTCGTCAAAACTTTGTGTAAACCTAAATTACTAGCATACATGTAAATTGGTAAAATGTCTCTGCTTGCACATGATCAATGGTTTAATTATTTTGATTGTTGTGCTGTTTTCAGTTCGGTAACAAATTTTGAAATTTGCTTTCATCAAAGGTATTTTGTTTTCTACTGCTCTTTATATGAAAAATCCAAGACACAATGTCATGACATACATGAACAATATTTTACATGCCATGTAGCTTTCTCAAAATATTTCATTACTTGGTATAGCCCATAGTGTGCGTGTGTGTGTGTATGCCTACTACTTCAATGAAATTGGATGTAACATTTTGACGCTGTTTAAGATGACATATTGGCTTCAACATTTCTTTATGCGCTTATTTAATTGTGTATCTAATCTATAATCTTGACCTAATGTTTAACAATGGTAGTTTGAAACTTCACTAGCTTATCAAACACTTACAGAGATGTATTTTCCTGTGATAAAGCAGACATAATTTGAGATTGATTGAGTACTATTAACCAGTATTCTGTTCAGTATTCTCATGGTCGGGCAGTGGGTACCGTAACTTGTTACTCAGCCATTTAAAGGGGAAGTCTACCCTGATATTGAGTTGGTTGTAATAAAAGTGGGGGAAAAGGAGAAACAAATTAGTGAAAGTTTGAGCAAAATCTGATTAGAAATAGGAAAGTTATGAATTATTGAAGTTGTCATCAGTGAAACACAAATTGGCAACACTGTGACATATCATGTGAGCTGGTCTCCAATCTGCTCTTTGGCATTGCTTGTTAAACCTGAGATGATGATTATCCTATAGCACCGTGAAAGCATTCAAACATCATGGAGCAACTTTCAGTATTCAATTTGTAATGTATAAGTCATGATTTACCGGTAAATCATGATTTTTACTTCCCCCTGTGGCGATACTATTGTAGTGGTTGTGATAGTCTTAAATACAGGTTATATGTAGGTTTAGCACTGTATTTCACCCCATTAGTCTTCCTTTTTCTGTAGATAAATATATCCAGAGACATGTTCAGGTGAAAATTGGATATTTAAGGTATTGTTATTACAATAAGAGTAATTTATATGATAAATTGATTGTTAATACATGTACATGTACTTTGGTATTGAGATAGCTTTAAATGCATATATTCATGCACATATATAAGACGTAGATTAGAAGGATAGAAAGATAGATGGGGGAGAGAAAGAGAGGGAGAGAGAATAAGTGAGAGAGAGAGAGGGAGAGAGAGAATAGAATGAGAAATAATTAAATTAAATTAAAGAACAGATGTTATTTGTAATACCTCAGTCATACCGATGAGACAGATGCCTGACCAGCACCAAACTGAACAAAAAGTAACATTGTGACGCGTGTCCAAGGAATGGTCAGTTCAGCGTCTGCTTCACAACGTGACCAAGCTAGGACCTACCCACACCCCTTGATTAAAATGATTGCAGGATCCATGTTGTGTTTACTGTCCATGATAAACAACACATGTACAAATATTAGAGGAAATCTCCTTTTTAAATATCTAGTTTGCTTGACATATATGCTCGTACTTACGGGTAAGCAGTATGTGTTTAGATGATTTACATGCAGAGAAATGTACAAACCACCAGGAAATGCCACCGAAAAAGACTTAACTATTTGGATGCATAACATTGTTAGACAAGGCATTTTTGTATTTGCTTGTCCTACCTATAACAACACTCAATGTGCATTAATTCTGAAAATTGAAATGCAAATATTTGTAACAGGTGAATTAAATTATTTGTAATGAGGCACTTAATACAACAAAAATTTGTGCATTAAATTTGATCATATTACGAAAATGACCCATTTGGATTATTAGGTATTTATAAAGTTACATTCCTTGCATGTTTTGAGAACTGTACGTATTGTAAAAATAGAATTAACCTTGTAGCTATATCCAGATTAGTTCATTCAGAAGTCATTAAGATCACTGTGTGATATATACTGTAAAAAGGAAGCTCATTAATACTTATTTTATTTATTTGTCATCACTTTCTGAAATGTTGATCATGTGATCTCTGGCAGCCAGTGAAAAGCAAGAAGCTGCTTTCTGGCTCAAGAGATGGGATAAGTGAATTAAAATATTAGATGTATGATCTATATCACAATGCTGTCTCTATGTATTTTTGTTTTCTTAAACAGTTTTTATTGGAGCTGTCTGTGTTGGTAACTGACTTGTGAAGAATACTTGCCTGACATTATACAGGCATCTCTTTATACAGTGCGTCCCAGAAAAAACAAAACCGAGAATTATCGATGTTTTATCATAAGTTAGTCACATTTATAATTAATAAATGACACATATTTGGAAAGCTTCGATCCTCCTCTTTCAATTCCATAGACGAAAGACTTCATGCATGGCTGATTGTCAATGAAACGAAGTTAAGTCTTTTGTCAATTCTGCTTTTTGCTAAGGCAGGCAGCCAGTGAAAATGAATTCATTTGATAAAATTATGGAATTGCAAGCACTACTTTAAACATACAGAACCTTGTTATTCCTAGCTCATTTTTCATGATTGAGGTCAGTGTCATATGAAAGGGCAGATACTCAATTTTCTAGAAATGTGACTTTCTCTTTGAGATTCAGATACCGTCCGCCAAATGACTTTTTAGTTTCCTCTCTTCAAATTCATTTTGATCACTCATACGTGACATATGCATCATATGAGTTGCATGAAATGAAAGAGGAGGATCTAAGCTTTCCAAATATGTGTCATTTATTAATTATAAATGTGACTAAGTTATGATAACTCTCGGTTTTGTTTTTTCTGGGACGCACTGTATATTGTATGGGATTGATAAAAAGGGTGTACAAAGTTTGGGACTTTGCTATGAGTTTATATCTGCATGTATAAATAATCACCATTGGAAGTGTACAAGATGCATAGAGCTGGGGAAGCAATTTTAATGTTGATGTAGGTGGCTGAGATGTCATCTGAATGCATAAAATAATTTGAATACTTAGGGGATCAGTTGAACAATGTTTGCTCCAGCAAAAAATGCTCCATCATCAAGCTCTTCCACTGAACAAAATGTTCAACTTATTTGACTTAACCTTTAGCCCTAACCCAACTTAGAACCCATTTAATCTCATCCCCAATGTCCGAAAATTAACCGAAAATCTAGAAAACTTGAGAAAGCTGGATAAAATGTACACATATAGGAATTATGATGTATGCACGTTTTAGGTGTGTGTGTGTGTTGGGGGATTGATGATATGCAAAAAGTATAAATATAGAGCGATCGATTGAAAATGTTTATGACCTTAATAGACAACCATCTGTAAAAGTTTGTATTGATTTATATCTAGGCCTATTCCTTTTTTCCCCTTGAAAGACCAGGGATAGGGGTTGGATACTGTCAATAGCCCCAACGTAGTGTCTAAGAAAACAAAATAAACATTTTTCTAAATGAAACCATGGGTATAGGCACATCTACTGATGCTGTGGGCATAAGCAGCTCGGCTCTCCTGCTACACCCCCCCCCCCCCCCCCCCCCCAATAGGATACTGAGATCATTGTATTTACTTGAGTTCTCAAATGACTTGACAGAATCAAACAGAATATTATTCGAAGATCCATTCTCATTGCCGATTATTATGGATGGATCGTTCTTTGTTTTTTTTTGAGCAACACAAATCAAAAACGTATTTGTAGGCATTGAATAAAGACTACTCTAAAATGTCAAGCAAGAAGAAAGTGCAGCCTACACTCTCACGTTTTTTTACAACTAAATCTACCAAGAAAGTCGATGACACGTCAAAGTCGAATGGAGGATCGGATGTAAGTATATTCTTTAAAAAAGACGGTGTTATGTTCATCTAATGAATGCTGTAAAGAGGGTATCTGACGTCCCGTAGCTGCCAGTTTTAGCTCAGCTTTAGACTCGGTCCCGGGTGTGACATTTTTTGTATGCTTTGCGGTAGGACGCGATGTGCATGTGCGTGTGAATGTAGATCTACTGATAGACCGAAAACTTCAGTCTCTCTAATCGTCGGTTGTTCCACTGAGACTACGTCTGGCTCCACTAGACCTCCGATTATAGAGACTGAAGATTGTCCTATCGGGACTGTACGGAACCAATGGTTCGGTTCGGCAGGACCGCGATGAATGAGATATGCTACGAGATTTTCACTCTTTACATCCTCACACATGCTGCAATATAGCCAATATGACAATAATTAGAGTCTAATTAAAAATAACATATAGACCTAGATCTATATAGCTTATTTGACTTACGATAGCTTGCTCATTTAGATCCTAAATTAATGATTAATCCGAGAAAGTCTCGTCGTCAACATTATCCGTCTTGGTTTTAGTTGATGAATATTAATTTTTTCTTTTCGAACGTCCAATAGCTACCGTAGCTACATACGAGTCGGCCCGGCTTGACCAACGAACTCGCACGAAACGAGTGCTCTGATTGGCCATTGGCTATGTTTTGGTAGGTGGACCCGGAAATATATCGGCCGCCGGGTAATATTTCGAATGCATGAACGTACTGCTTCGCGGTTCTGAGGTACAAATTGGATAATTCATATAGGGGTCTAAGTAAGTCCGTAAATTATTTATTTAATATTGAGTTATCAAATTTTGATAACTGTAATTAGGACAAATGACATATCGAGCTAATTTACATCTGATTTAGAAATCAGGAAATTAGATCTAAATAAAAAAAATCGGGGGAGAAATGTCGGTAACGAAAAGCTGTTACGCTGTGGCTCTAATTTACCCCCACGGTACGAGATCTCTGGGTTGCCATCTGTATTGGGGAATGACAACAAATGTCAGTTTTATTAAAGAAATGACCCAAATCAGATGGTTATTGCTGTCTAATCTACTGACAGCTACACTCTGGATGATGATGAATTGATGATCATTGATGATGATGATGATGATGATGATGATGATGATGATGATGATGATGATGATGATGATATTGATGGATGAGGACGATGATGATGATGTGACGATGATGATGGTGATGGTGATGATGATAATGTGATGATGATGGTGATGATGGTAATGGTGATGATCATGATGATGAAATTGATCATGATGGTGATAATAATAAGGATAATAAAAAAATGACAGCAACAAAAACAATAACAGCATTAATGAAGTTGAAGTTGAAGTTCCCTGATGACAGAACAATATGAAAATAATATTGATCTGCCATCCGGGTGCTTTGCTAAAGATACTAAATACACTGATTTATTGTTCCACTTGGAAGCCTTAACATACAGATAATAATGAATGATATTGCCCAAATTATCATAACTACTTATCCACATATGTGATATATTTCTAAATCTTATATAATATTGCTGTGTGATTTTGCCATTGTTATAATGTTGTATTGCTTTTGTATTTTGATATCTGTATTATAATTTGAAATATCTGATTACCTTGTAAACAGACAATATCAGCCTTGAGGCTTGAGATACATGTCATATTTTTTTTCTTCAATAAACCATTTCAATTACAATTACAATGAACCCATTCATTATTTCTCCATTCATTTTTTTCAATCTACAGATCATTTCAACAGACTCTCTTGCTGGTAAGCGACCTCGTTCCATAGGGGAGGATGAGGACTTCCAGCAGAATTCACCCAAACAGCTGAAATTAGATGGCAAAGTTCTTCACGATTCAGGTAGAATTGATGCTTTACACAAATAAAAAAAAATTGCATACCTAATATTTTGGAGCAGCATTAGTCCAAAAGTCTTGTTTGATGTAGGTGAGGGTAGGGACAGTTTGATACAGTAGATGATTATTTTATTTTAATTTCTTGTATTAGCAAGTTAGAAATACTGAGAATTAAAATCCGACACATAATTGATAGGTAAGGTATTAATCTATTGAAATCTATTATAGATATTTTTGTTTCTATGTTTAATATAAAAAATGTTCATCCAACCTTGTTAGTCGTTATTTATTGAGATGTCTGAGATGCACTTGTCGGCACACTTGTAGAATGGACATTTGCCCATTGTAGTCCCTGTTTTCATGAGCTTTTTCAAAATCTTTTATCAACCTTGCAAACGGCCTGCCATCTAGTGCATTATACTGCAGAATGTTTCCACATGTAAACATGTTTCAACATAGCTAAGCTATGTGATTATGGTTATGAGATAAACAATTATTTCAAACTTAACTGATGTTTGTGATATAATTTGCATTGTGCATTTTCCAGACAGCAGAGACATCCCTCCACTTTCAGCTGGTACTCTCCAGAAGCTCAATGCCTTTGCCCTTGCATCAAGCCATGCAGAGTCAGAGAGTAGACATGGGATGCATGGGGATACCAACAAACCCCCACTTTCACCTTCAAATATTTCGAGCCCTCTATGCCTTGCCGGAGAGACTGAAGGTCCACGCTCACCCGTGGGTCCAAAATCAGAAACTATTCAGAAAGAATCTAGGACATCAACTCCTGCAACTTCAATATCTAGTGATCCTAGGACTCCATCAAACGGTGCTCAGGTTACTCGGTGCAAAGGATCGCCAAAGTTAACAGCTCTCAAAAACAAGTTCTCTCGGCACTCAGGCAGTTCAACAATCTCGTCTCCAAGAGTGTCGTCAACAGGGTTCTCAGACAATGTCAGTGGAAAAACTTCAAGAGTAAAAAAGTCACAGTATACCCCTCTGGAGCAGCAGTTCATGAAGATCAAGGAGAGCTATACAGACACTGTCCTTCTTGTGGAATGTGGATACCGGTATCGCTTCTTTGGGGAAGATGCTGAGGTAATGCTTTTAATCTTCTGTCACGCAAGTGAAAAATTTATTACTGGTTTCACTAAGAGGCACAGGCATTTGTGACATTGGTTCTTGAAACCAGTGAATTTTTAAAAGTGCCCCCCCCCCCCCTTTAAAAAATTGATTCAGAACACTGATTATGATAACAGTACTATATCACAGAATTTTCAATCTTTTATCATTTTAGGATAAAAAAGAATATGACACATGCTGGCATTGATAGATTGAAAATGGTGCAGTGATGACAATTCAATAGTTATATGGAATGTAGCTTGCCTGAATGTCATCTCATCAAAAGTTTCTGTTTCTTGCCCTGTTAAAGGAATAGTTGAGTGTTGGTCAATACTCACATTAGCGAACGAAACTATGATCTAAACATAAAAAACATACAATAAATGTCTAAGAATGCATCATTGAAGATATAAATCCGAAATATTACATTAGAGTGAATTTATATGCAAAAAACCTGTTCGACTGCAAATGATTTTATTTATCAAAAATTTTACTTTCGAGGCGTGTTCAGTGTAATTGTATAGCGCCACCTCTCGGTCAAGCGGCAGCACACCGTGAATTTTCGCCAAGACGACGATCGGATATGGGCGTGCAAGTAATATCCGAACCATGTCTATAGCGCGCTGACTGATTTATATTGTACACATTATGGTATGCGAGGCCTGCACATAATTGCATGGTCTGTGGTACTGGTAGCGCTATTGTTTTTGAGCGCGATATGCGAATACTGTATGTGTATGATGTAGTGCGAGTACGCTCGACCTAGTAGTAGTGTATGTGTATGTATTGTACGTCGTATGACCCAGTTGATTACTTCTACAGTGTAAAGAAAGTGGCTTACTCTATCTATCAACCAATATGTGAGACAACGCAAGGGCAATTTTGTATTTCGTTTGTAGGAACAAAGCTGTGGAATGATCTCCCAGATGAAATTAGATTAAAAACATCGAGGTTATCTGTCCACCTACCTTCTATGTAAATGACGTGGGCCTTCGTTTTTCCTTTTATATTACTTGTCTTCCTTTTATAATATGTGAAGAGTTTCATTCCAAAAAGAGCCAAATCCACTTTGGGTACTTCTGAGTAAATTGCCTTTTTTATTTCTCCACTTTCCCTTTAGCCATGTATACCTTCATGTTGTTATATATGTTAAAGGTGTCACCCTGCATGGACCTGATTATCTGCCAATAATGATAAGAAAAAATCTTCCCTTCGGCTTTTCTGATGTTTACTAAATTTTTTGATTTTTTATTTTCGTGGATTTAGCTCCTTTTGGAATGAAACATGTTATTGTACCTAAAAAATAAAAAATAAATCATATTTTCTCAATAAAGTCACTGAAATTTTATTCAAATTTAGCAGCAAACCTTTCCTTTTAAATAATAATAGTGAAATCACACATAAATATAACCTTTCGAAAAGAAAGTAAACAACATTATTACAGTTTCATTCCAAAAGGAGCTAAATCCATTCAATTCCAAAAGAAGCTAAATCCATGTTTCATTCAAAAAGGAATTACTAAATCCACATTTTTTTTTTGGCACATATCGCACGACAACCAAATGCCCTAAGATGTTGATACCCACTTTGATAGAAAAATAAGGTTTTACAAAATGGAAAAATACTAGAAGAGAAAAGGTAAGAAAGAGTAAAGACGGATTGAGGACGGTAAACCCCAAACAAGAGACTCAAAAGATCTACCCCAGAATCCTCTCACCGGCACCAGAGTTGCCTAGGCCAATGATGGCCGAGAAGATTGCGCAATGTACCGCGCCGGTCTGGCAGGAAGGTGCCAATTGCGGTGAGGGGTTTTCATGGACCAGTAGATCTGAGATTATATTATCCAAAAAAAAAGAGATGAATATGAATTGACAAATAGTACCAAAAATAGAAGAAAAAAAAGAAATAAAGTGAAAGGCGTAAATATTCTAAAAAAGAATGAAACGCCGATAATACCAAACAACAACAACAACACAAAATCTAAAAATTTGATAGAAATCAGAAATAACTGGTGGATTTTTTGTCTTATCATATGTTATAGGTCCAGAGCGACACCTTTAACATATATAACATGAAGGTACATGGCTAAAGGGAAATTGGAGAAATAAAAAGAAATAAATTTAAAAAATATTAAAAATTGTTGTATCAGTATACTATAATGAATAACAGTAGTGAATTATAGTGAATTAATTTAACATCTTACTTGATTCATACTTGTCCATAATGCAGTGTTTTTCATTATTCTTATTTTGGTACTGCATGCAATTGTAAAGTTTAAAAAAAAAAGTGATTGTAACTTCTTGTAAATAAGTTGTGTTCTACAGTGCCTGTGTATTGCATGACCTACGTCAGTACGTGATAACTTGTAAATGTGTAAAGACATAAGATTTTAATATAATTATAGTAATGCTAAAATGAAGATACATAACATATTTTTATGGTGTACATTGAAAGCTTTATTCGGCCATAACTAACAGTTAAATTTACACAACATTATTGAGATGAATACAAATTATAATTGCTGTACTGAAGGCAATATTTAAACGTGATGTTGATTTCAACCATTGCATACAAACAGATCATGTGTATTAAAAAAGGCACATTTTTATTTAGCATCTATCGCTATGACAACTTTAACCGTCGTCATTAAGAAGGAGCAATATACTTTATTTGTATACCACCATGTCTTGTTACTTATTAGTTACTGCTTATTTATATACATCTTATCTTGTGTCTTTCATAAAAACTTGACATACTCTATAGGCAATGTGTAGATAAGTTTACCAAAGAAAAGTATCTATAACAGTAATGTTTCTACGCGCTTGACAAATATACTATTACCCAGGTCATTTGATTCAGTGCTTGCCCGCACTCAATGTTTTGACTAGTACGTGATCATACAAATTTTGCCGAGAAACTGCCTACTAATTGGTATATTTGGTAAATTATTATATCTATTTGGACTTGATAGATATAACGCATGTGTCGCGCACTTGTGCGTAGTCCCATATACATCTTTCTGTGTACAGTGCTTGTAACTTTACCAAGACTGGGCCAATTTTTTTATCATTTCGATGATTCTAGAACCTTGCAGTACACACCAAGACTTATATGCTAGATGATCAACCTTTTCTGATCGATTCCACAACAATCCTTTCACAATGCAGTCGCATGACCATAACTGGTTTTATCTTTTAAGTTTCACATCTTACTTTATATATAAATGCTTTAAAAATTGTCTGAGTGATTCTTTTCCTTAATGTGTACGAGTATACATGTATACATACTCTATATCGATCTCAAATCCTGAATCATATCAGTTTCAGCACAAAATTAAGTATAGTTAGGTACATATATGTCTTTCATCTTCCCTAATGCTCGACTATGAATATCACCTCAAGTGATTAACATCCAACATAAGGTTTTTCAAAAAAATAGCACAGACATTTCAAAACTGGTCATGTCCTATACGCACACAAAAGACAATTCTGCGTTGTGTGTACCGAGTTTCATATGAATCGATCAAACTACTTCCAATAGTTTGCTCACATACTTATTTTACACACTGCACATGCATTGAGTTTTATACTGTTATTATAATGCCTCATCAAAGATACCAAAACTATAAAATTGCTAAAACTTGGAAAGAATATGCTCCACAAGATTATTAAAACAAAATTGTATTCTTTGTGCAAAGCTTGGTTACCATGGAGGTACCTTAACAGACAGACACAACAAATGTGTCTTGCACACCCTCGGGTCAATCGGTATACCAAGTTTTATTACAATTTGCAAAAAAATTGGAAAATATTTGACCCAGTTTTTTACAATAGACCAACAGAAAGACTCGCCTGCCCAACTGTATCCTTATTCCTTTATACACCCTTTCAAACTACAAAGTAGTTACAGGCAGCATATCTCTTGATGGTATAACCTTGAACCGCAATACTTTGGCGTTGAGCTGATTCACGTTCATTGATTCAAATGATGCATGAAACCAACTGTTTTGCTGTCTTGTGATCATTTCTCTTTTTCGCTTGCATTATTTTAGTCACATTGATTGCATTAAACAAAAAATGAAGACTATTTACAATAAGATATTCTACAAATCTTTCTTCTGTCCATGTTGATTTTCAACAGGTTCCGAAGTATAGTCTTTTTCATGATCGACTGTCACCTCAGTTACATGCACAGTCACTAAAACCAAACACATTGTTGACTCATGGTTTGACCTCTTGGCTGTAAATTTTATAATTACTACCGTAACTTCTTCAAGGAATATAGGTTGCCAAATAGATACAAATTGAAATATCCACCATTTCCACATGAGCAAGCACTGATTTTATCACAAATTATGAATTGTATAAATCACATAGAGCTTTTATACACTGATGTCACAATTTGTCTTTTATATTCCTACATTTCTTCCATTTGTAAACTTGCCAACCTCTTATTGTAATACAATATACAAGTGCCAAGCATGGTGGCTAATCTAGCAACAATAACAATTTATTTCTGGTACATGTATATCATGTGTTATGTGATTTTTTTTCTCCAGATAACCACATCCCCATGATCCCCAGGGACACTCTAGTATCAAGTTTGGTGGTATTTTGTCAAAGGGTCTCTGACATATCAAGAATACATGCTCGTAATGCTAAGCCATGCAATCTTTCACCTCCGGACCACAAAATCATTAGCAACCAAATGAGTCCAAAATGTTAAGTTCCAACCAATCCTCAAGATAGCCTAAAAACATGCCACATGGACAAATTAAATCGAGGCGATTAAGAGTCTTGCATGCAATCATGCAACAATGAACCTCATTTGACCTTTGACCTACTTATGTGACCTTCAACTCCAGAATATCATGGAGGCCAATAAAGGGCATCTACCAATCAAGTATGGTTACAAACAGATGCAGGGTTGGAAAGTTAGCAACCCTAATTGATTTTTGCAGGTAAGATTTCACATTAGACTTCATTCAAATTTGTGTACAGTCACGGAGGATGGACGGAAGGACGCCATTTGGATCCCTTAGTCTCTGCTCGAAAAAAAGCAGTTCTCAAGTCAGACAATCCCAAATGTTCACTACAGAGGATTACATGGATTTCTCTAATCGGCCTAGTCTCCTGGCTAGGATCACATCAACTTGTGGTGGAGGAAATGGTGCAAGCCGGGGCCTTGTGTGTCTAGGGTCATCAGGGAGCAGAACAGCCTTCGAGAACAGTGGTCCTTGGTCCTGTTCTCTGCGTTCCAGTATCGCACCGATGAGTCCTTGTACATACATGTAGGGGTAGGTCTTGGGGACCTTCTCCTTCCGGGCCACGTAGTTGTTGGCACGCTTTGACCATACTGCAACATATCTGTATCATAAAATAAAAGAACATGCAAAATGTAACAAGTTGCATAATATGCACACTCATTCTTGTCAATTGGAAATGATTCATATCTCTTAAAGATAAACTTGAGTTCTGGTAAAAAAAGAAAATGAATTCTCACAGAATCTAACGAAACTTACACTGAATGTTCAAGATTACAAATAAATGTCATGTGCCAAACAATTTTGGAAGAAAATGTATACTGGCTGAGTAATGAGCATAGAAAGATAAGGAAATCAGGGTAGTACTAGCCCCGACAGGCCGACACCATGTGTGTTGTCCCATATACATCTTTCTGTGTAAGTGATTGTTACTTTACCAAAACTCTGCCAAATTTATGATGATTTTGATGACTCCAGAACCTTGCATTACACACCAAGTATATTATTACACTGAATCCAAGTCCGCATTTAGGGTCCAAAATCATCAGCATGATTGACAAACCATCAGCTTACAGTCCGTCATCTACATAATTTAGATGTGCGTCGTGTACAGGGACAACTTCTTTAGATGACGTCATATTTTGGCGATTTAAAAGGGGCGTTCCCAGGAAGGACAATTAGATATTTAATAATTTCCCCAAAATTGATAAATTTCATGGGAAAGAACGGCCAATTCGGATTGCCTTGTCCAACTACACAGGGAAAACAAAAAATCATGTTTTTTTTTTTTACTCCACCCACTTTGGATTGCCTTGTCCATCTAAAAAAAAATGTACAAATAAAAATAGGAAAAACAAGAAAGAAAAGAAAACCTTTTTTTCTTTCTTTCTAATTTCCACTCACTTTGTATTGCCTTGTTCATCAATCTGGTCGGGCCTGTCCTTGTGTGCCATGTAGTCGATGACCGCAAGCAAATTCCTTGCCCGGTTTGCTGGGTAGCTGGATGGATAAGACAAACAATTGGTATTACCACTACCATGATGAATGAATAGTAAATGCTTTAGACAAATCTCAGACTCATTGGCCCGTAGTCACAAAGGAGGTTTGTAGGAGGTTTGTACAAACCATGGTTTGACGATGGTTTACATCTATGGAATGCTGCTCGCATACCGTAAATTGTAAATTAACATTGTTAACAAGTATGGAGTTTACATTCCTTCTCCATCAGTTTACAAATGGCATTCCATAGATGTAAACCTTGGCCAAACCATGGTTTGTACAAACCTCCTTTGTGAATACGAGCCATTCACTTCAGTTCTGGATTTGTGTTGTAAATTATTGACTCTTAATTAAAGGTAGTTACATTTCCCTGCTACAACCACTCCAACTTGACTTAACATCAGGTACCGACACAAGTACGATACAAAGTCTGCTGTTTCAAGACTCTGCATGCATCCAAAAGTGATTTCAGCATTTATATAGATGTCATTCATAATTTCTCATTAACTTTGCTATTTGCTTCAAAATATGATATTGTAACTGTAACCGTACTGTAATAATATGTTTCAACTTTTCCACAATCTTACTTCAAACATACAAAATGATACTAAAAATACTTACTCAAAGGAATACCGCTTGGAAGCATACATCAGTATATGGTTGTGGAAACACTCGAGCATGCTGGTGTGCCTAAGGAATTATGAAAAAAAAAAAAAACTGATATAAATGATAGGGCATTTCATTATTTTCATACCACAAAATCAATATTGAAAATCCCATGTCATACACTTGAGCAAATAAGATGCATTATCTTGACCTGCTGATATGTCCCAATTTTATAGGTCATAACCGAAAAAGAGCTCAATCTTGCAAACATGTACGTAATGAACGCATTCTCATTAAATTCCTCTCAATTTACAGAGCCTTTTGTACATGTATACAGAATCCTACCTGAAGCGAGCAAATCAGCAGAGTAGGCCAAGTTCTCCATGAATTTGCGGTCAAAGGTGACTTGTACTATTCACCTGCTAATTCCCCTACTGCTGCTTGGAATTTCTTCGCTGGGGATGGATTGTGTTGTCTGTTCTTCATATCTGTAAAAAGTGAAGAAACAAAAGTCATTAACAAAGTAAAAAACATTCAGATTTTAAATCACCAAAAGAAATTATTTTGAAGATGGCATTCTCTAATAATTATCACAGCTAGCCAGATTTGGAATTTGCATGACTAATAACTGATGCATTGGTTCTCTGTCATGTATGTGAAGTTGAGACACTCTTTGGTAGAGATAAATATAGATGAGACAGTCACATCTCAAGCAAGCTATAGTATAACCTTGTCGACTTTTAAAAAGAGCAGGATGTTTACCCGGTTGACTAGCCCTGCACGTCATCATTACAAAGAAAACTGCAGTTGTAACGAGGGACATTAAAGGTAGGGTCTATTACAAAGTTTTGGGAAATTTTGAAAATTGGGTGGATAGTGATTCTTTACAATTTTGATATATTTGGATGCCCCTGTGAAAGTATTATAAGCACTAGAAAATTTAGCTCCTAAAACACTTCTGCTTTCGAAAAAATTGAATATAAAAATTTACCGGTGCTCCCGGTAAATTTTGATAAATTTAAAATAGCGCCTACGGTCGTACAACGGTAGCTGCTACCATAAAAATCCCGGAATATGTAGTTGTGATATATAATTTCAAAAAGGTAATAGCCAATCGGTCAATTGTAGCTTGTTGTATAGCTGAATTAATATATTGACCTTGAGAGAGAGTTATAGTATACCCCATAAAGAGATTATTATTTACAATTTCATCACTTTAGACTCGATTTCAACGCGACAACGTTCACTGAATATTGTAGGATCGCATATGCTTCCAATATTTTCATTTGAACCAAATTCATCCGGAGGTCTAGTGGAGCCAGACGTAGTCTCAGTGGAACAACCGACGATATAGAGACTGAAGCTTTCGGTCTACTGTAGACCTAGGCTAGACTATCAATATCATATGATTCATGAAATCTGAATTAAAAATCCAAGGCAAGAGATAACAAAACGTAATTTCTTAAATTTGCCGATTCCATGCATCTAGTCTCTAGACTAGATCAAATTAAAACGGTAGGCCTACCCAATGCAGTGGGGCGTATATCATTTCAACTTACCTCTCAGTGAGCTGGCATGTCTATTGCATCCTCTAGACTCGGCAACGAGAAGGCCGCCTGCAGCTCGCGAAGTTTCTCCGCCGTACCCTGGCCTTGTTCACAGCCACTCCCGCGCCTCCTCTGGGCCGGATGGTCGAGCTGCCATTGCTTGTTTCTCTCCTTCCTCTTACCGTCTTACTTAGTCTTATTCCGATTTAGCGTAGCCTTAGCCTTGTCCTTAGGCTTAGCACTAGCTGAGTCCGAGTCGGCCATCGTCCGTGACCTCGAGCTCCTTTTCCAATCTCGATCTCGTTATCGTATTTCAATCAAAGCTTGTCTGTAGCTGTCTAACGTTCGATCGGCGCCGGTGATAATCTGATATGAGCTGTGTGTGTTATACTTTACGTGAAAGCAGCGTATTGGAATTGATCAGCTGTACTGTATTACTAGCGCGCGGTCGGATACCCGCCTGCTAGCTACCTGTAGTACTGTACGTACCACCAACGAACTCAAACACTCGTTGTAAATACGCTGGTTGTTAAATGACATAGAGGGAGCTAAACACGTAAATTCAAAAAATAAACCGTCGAAAGTCAAAAGTGATGTCCGGACGTCAAACACTTTTATATAATGTTTTGAAAGCAAATTGCACAACAATTAGAGCATTTGATTTGGAATTATTATCATCTCCCATGTTTTTTTCGATGATCTTTCATATGGTACTGAAATAAACCAAATTTGTTTTGGAGGGGCACTTTGGAAATTACCAATACTCAACTATACCTTTAAGCTTTTAAAAACCATGTGTGATGAACACAACATTTTAAATGGTTGCTAGTCTGAGTACTATACTGTCAGTATAGTCATCACTAACACAATATATTGAATATGATTCAGAGTCATTTCTACCTTCCTTTGATGTTTTTGTGAAATGCCTCTTTAGATCGCATCCAGAGATCTCAACATCTTTTGTCATCTGGACCACAACTTCATGACAGCCAGCATACCAACGCATCGTCTCTTTGTGCACGTCCGTCGCTTGGTTGCCAAGGGACACAAGGTGGGCGTGGTCAAACAGATGGAGACTGCTGCTCTCAAGGCTGCCGGTGACAACAAGGGTCAGCCCTTCGAGAGAAAGCTGACCGCTCTGTACACCAAGTCAACATTGATTGGTGAAGATATCCCTTTTACATTCCGTCCAGCTACTGGTCACATGGCTTTCTTGTATGGACAGGAGAAAATTGAACCCATTGCCTTCATAAAGCAGAAGTCTATAGGTCAAAAACACAGAAATATTGACCAAAGAACTAAAAATCTAGAGTTCAATTGTCTCTGTTTACAAAGATATACATTAGATAACACTATAGTCTCATTGAATATCTTCTTTTTTCTGTTGATTTAACTTAGGTGTTCATTGCAACCGCATCACTTGGAGATGAATACATTTGAAAGATACTTTTTGTCATGAGACAATTCAGTGTTTTGAGGTGCCTATGGCGATTGGTGAACTTGTCAGTTAAATTCTGGTGCGGGATACTTTTACAGGTTGTAGGTCATTGTGTTAACCCTATTTTAACTGGGCTATTTCAGACCAGGTTTTTACTGGGGGGGGGGGTCAATTTGACCCCCCCCTAAGATCTCGGCCGTTTCACCGCCGATCGCCGCGAAAATTTGCATGCATGTCAAGTGAAGTGTATAGAATACTATGGTAATTTCAAATTTTTGAAAAATTCACTAATTTGCATATTTATGGTAATTTATGCAAATAAGGTCATAAAATTCACATTTCGGCCCATAAATCATAGATTATTCATATTTAAGTATTCTTTTTCACTACATATATTTATAAGACCATTTGGAATAATAATACAACACAAAAAATTGGAAGAGCCAGGTTATTCCTTATGTTATCTCTTGTTTTTATAATTTCTTATGTATTTCATTGTTTTTTTAACTTATGTATTTTATTGTTTTTGTTGTTTTATTTATTTATAACTACAATTCAACTATTTTTTACCTCAAAACAAACATGTAAACTTTAAACAAGACTGAATTACCAATGTTTTATCTATTTTTAGGAAAAATGACTTTTACATATGTTTTGTACACAAATCACGAAAATGAGCGATTTTCGGGCTGACATGCAAAGACAAAAGGTCACGCGACCTTGTAACCGTAGGTCCGATTTTCAAAAAAATTGTTTTAAAAGATGCGTAAGACTCGAAAGTAAAAAGTCATGAGAGGAAAATTTTACATCTGCCGCGGTTTCGGAGTAGTCGCAAAATTTTTACAGGGGGGGGGGTCAAATTGACCCCCCCCCCCCAGTTAACGTAGGGTTAAAGGATCATTTTATCAGCTTTAAAAATTTTTTTTGAAAAAGCTAGGTTCATTATATGGCAACAAACTCCTCTACTGATACAATAATATCACCATTTCCAAGTACAGGCGGATACCAAGAAAAAAATATAATAATAATATATCATTATCAAATAATGAAAAGATTCTGCAATACGTTGTTCATTCATTGTTCCTTGACCGGACCACTGATCACATCTGGAGCCGTCCAGTCAGAATGGGCAGTATGCAGAGGAACAGCCAGCCTTCTCATCATCTCCCACAAGTTATCTCCTGTGTGTATGTGAGCTCCCCAAAGAAGGATCCAAAAGCCCAAAGAAAGATCATATTCAGATTGGACTTGCAGTAAGTGTTCTTAAAAAGAATGCATGAGGTGTGTTTGTCTTTTCCGTGTAGTAGTATAGTTTCCTGTAGATCAAGTGAAGGAATTCATATGCAATACTGATTAATATGAATTTGAGTATTTTGGAAATGTGGTTTTGATTAGCCTATCATTCATTTTGAGAGGAGTATTGCTGCCTGTAAATTACAAATCACAGCAAAATGCTATGTGCCTTTCTCAATAATTTGATGCCTTGTGGTTGATAGCTCTAGATTTCAGAACATATATATATCCAGTACACAACTTAATTCAATCCAATGCAACTCAATTCAATTCAATTAATTTCAATTCAATTTTATGGTCTTACACAAAAATAAAAGTACGATTGGAATACAAATCATTTGCTGTTTCCGTCAAAATACAAATTGTCAAATTATACTATCATAGAATCACTCACAAGAGTATCACATGACAATAAAGATGTTTATAAGACATAAATAAGAATGCATTAATGCAGTATTAGAGGATCAAGATATTGAAAACATTCCACAGTTGAAAACAACAAAGCCCAGTAGACTACACGGATAGGGGATTTGATGACATATGTACTTTCTCCCTCTGACAGGCAGTTCAACCAGCTACGGGGGATGTCATCTATGATAGTTTCCATGACAACGGTCATCTGAGTGAGCTCGATACCAGGCTGCATCACATTCAGCCTGTAGAGCTGCTCCTGCCTGAAACCTTGTCAGACAAAACAGAGAAACTACTCAAGGACTTCAGGATGAGGTTTGTCCTTGTGTGGGTTTTTATGACTTATGCTCTAAGGGCAATTCTCGCTACCCCAAATAGCGATTCTGCCGAGATCCGGGGAAAATCCTGAAAACGCGCATTGCATTATGGGATAGCTTTTCGACATTACAGCTTCCTGTGCAGGCGTTCGTGATCACAACCCTCTCTTTCACGGTAGAGTTTAACGGCCTTTTGTGCTAAAGTCACTAATTCTGCCCGAAGCTTTCCATTGCATATTATAATCTGTACAAATTACACTGATTGGCATCGATTTTAGCGTGCGTGAAAACTCTGCACAGCGAACACAGGCGCTAGCGCCAGCGGGATGGGACTCTATACCGGAAGTTGTAGTGACGACCCGAGAGAGTGAAAATTACCTCGTCTCGCGAATTTCGAGATTTTCGTACCTATTTAGGGTAGCGAGAATTGCTCTGTGATCAATTACCTGGGCCATTACGTGAAATGGCCGATCGCTGCGAAAATGTGCATGCATGTCAAGTCAAGTGTATTGAATACTATGGTAACTTAAATCTTTTGAATAATTCATTCATTGGCATATGGTAATTTATGCAAATTTTACCCATAAATCATATATTCTTCATATTCAAGCATTCTTTTTCACTACATACATTTGTTAGACCGTTTGGAATAATAATACGACAAAATTTTTTGGAAGAACCAGGTTATTCCTTACTTGTAAAATCCTATCGTTATTCCACCTCACTTGATATACATGTATATTATTTTTGATGCATGACTATATCTTTGTTTTGATTGTTAATTGTTTATTTCTGTTTACTGTCATCTCAAAATTATTTTATTGAATTTTGAATGTGTTTATTATGTTTAATATATGTGAATCGCAATACCATGTAACACAATGAATTTCCATTGTTAAATGGACAATAAATACATGTATGAACCTTAACCTTATGAACCTTAACCCCTTATGTTATCTCTTGTTTTGATAATTTCTTATGTATTTAATTGTTTTCTTAACTGTTTTTGTTGTTTTATTTCAGCTCCCAAACTGAAGATCGCATCAGAATAGAGCGATTACCAGCCGATGTTTTCCAGTATACTAGTGCAGTAGAAGAAGTCTCATCTTTCTATGGCAACCAAACAGAAACCCAATCAGCAAAGACTGGAGGTAAGGTGTGATTGCAATACACAATTAGGTCTTTTACAGGCTTGTAACAATCAGATCTCCATGTTTTTAAACGAAACCTTTGATGATAAGTTTGAGTTTTGGTCATGCAATAAGATGGTGAAAGAAACTTTTTGAAAGCGATTTTTTATTTTAAGGTTTCGTAGTAATCAAATCGATGAGATTTTTACGTTGAATATTATGTCCCGTTCTTTTTTGTCAACAGCCAGAGGTGTGCTTAATAAACATGCACATATTTTGTATATGACCAACAAATTTTAGATATATTATTAGATATATTAGAATTTTTGCCACTCCCTACCAAGGTGCTAAATGGGTACCGGTAGGAAGTAATTCCTTGAATGCTGTGAGCGCCGAAATCGGCTACCTAGCAAAGCTGGGTAATAGTTAGAGTGCCTTGAGCACCATGCATGGTGGATATATGTGCACTATATAAATATCCAATATTATGTAAACATGAATTTGTACATGAATACTAAACTTAAAAAATCGTCAAACACTTTATAATTCAATGGTGTTACCAGTTTGCCTTCAGTTTGACCAAATCCTAAACATTCATTAGGAGCACCATCTGTGTCTTGCAACTTCATTAGACATTCATCTATACATGTGTTGTTCAATCCTTGCAGTTCTTCAATCGGTCTTGAGTTTACCCAAGCCTGTGATCTGTTGTTTAGCTGCTTTGCTGAAGTACTTGAAAGAATTCAATCTTCATAGGATTCTGCAGGCTACAAGGTTTGTTAATATTGCTTACTCTTAAAAATGAAAGTGATTTGAGAATTGGCTCTTTCTTCACAATCAGTTGGAAAATTACCTGTTACAGATAGACCTCTTCATACGTAATAGAGTGGTGAATTGTGAGGTCAACGAAAATCTATTTTTAGAATTTCTCAATTTTTTCTTCATTTTCCGAAAGAACATCAAAAATAATGAAATATATGTCCTATAGGAACTCAGTGCTATATGCTCTAGCTCCTAATGGTTGAGAGCCAGAGGATATAACACTGAGTTCCTATAGGACATATATTTATTTAGATGGTCATATCTCAGCCAATACTTAACATATTAAATTGGTTTTCGACATTTGGACATTATTTTTGATGCTCTTTCGGAAAATGAAGAAAAAAATTAAGAAATTCTAAAAATAGATTTTTATAACGTCACAGCTTCGGTACTCTATGATGGTTGTAGGATAATGGCTTAAATCTCCTGTTAACATGTTTAGTGTCTTTTAGCCATTTCAAAGCAAGGCAGGCCACTTCTGGGAGGATGGAATTTCTTGAATGCTGTGAGCACGAAATCAGTAGCTTTGATAGCTAGAGCCAGGCTAATATTAGAGCACATTGAGCACCTTGCGTGACAAATATGACCACTATAAAATATCTCTTTTTATCACCACCTTACCCGATAAGCCATTTTCTTTTTCATTTTTTATCTTTTTCCTCTGTATTCAGCAACATGAGAGCATTCAACTCTTCACAGGATACATTGAGATTAGATGCATGTGCCTTCCGCAATCTAGAAATATTTCAGAACCAAGTAAGTTTCCATAGTCTTTTTATCTTCCGATGTTATTATAGAATGTGTGTGTAAATTGATTCATTTTTTTTCTTCTTTTGATAATTATTTGCTTTGAATCCCAACTTGGAAAGTAATAAATGAAATAACGGTAAGTATCCATATTGACAGTAGGGAATATCATATATTATGAATGTTATCAGTCATACACTGTAGTCCCCTTTTGATTTAGAGGAAGAAAAACCTCATTACAATACATCGATTGACCTGTTTCTTATGTAAATGTATTTAAATTCATGCATGTTTCTCTCAAGAACCTGTGAATAGCAACTATCTATTTCATGTGATATGCATACTGGCATCTCTATGGATTGTATTCACTTTTCATACTTGAGTTATTGCTATGTCAGGCAAGGTTATTACAAGCTTTTGAGTTGCCAAGTGAAACTACTTTTCAAGTAAAGTAGTGTGTATAAACTAAGTAAACAGGTCTATTTGAATACCATACTAGCTTTAGTCAGTGTTAAACTGCTGTTGCTATGTTAGGCAAGGTTCTTATAAGCTGTTGAGTTGCCAAGTGAAACTACTCTTCAAGTACAGTAGTGTGTATAACATATTACTAAACGGGTCGATTTGGATATCTTACCAACTTTACTCAGTGCAATACTTTACCGATGAACCTTTCATATCACAGGTTGACGGCAGTGAGAAAGGGACACTGCTATGGGTGCTCAACCACACCAAGACACGCTATGGAAAGAGACAGCTCATGAAGTGGTTATCTCAACCTCTTACAGATGTTCAGTAAGTGGATCATTGCGAAAGAAAATGTAATTAGTCAAGAAATCATTCAATTATCTATTGAATTAGATGATACTCTTGTTTGATACTTGTAGATTCAATGGATTCTGAGAAAGGGATTATTTTGTTGATAGCAGCAAAAAAGAAGAAATTGTATTGTTCTTGTTACCTACTAATTTAGTCGCTTTGAAGGACTTTAATGATAATGATACACTCTAGGAATATTTAACTACTATAGAACACAAGGCAAGGCACTATGGGGCAATAGGGACATAGAATCCAGACTTGAGGCTGTGACAGAACTACTGGACTCCGATTCTCCATCACTAGGCAAGCTCTGTCAAGTTTTCTCCAGGTCTCCCAATGTTGAAACATAACATTCAACCCTTTTTAAAATGGCAGTATTTTCCATCCTTCTTTAATAGGGACATAGAATCAAGACTTGAGGCTGTAACAGAGCTACTAGACTCTGATTCTTCATCGCTAGACAAGCTCTGTCAAGTTCTCTCCAGGTCGCCTGATGTTGAAAGAGGGTTATGCTCCATCTACCACAAGAAGGTACTTGGCCCTGTTTCATATAATTTGCTACATTTCTATGACAAACATTCACTTAGCCAATCAAATGCGACGATTTCAGTAGCTTATAACAGCTATTGTTACTTGTTATTGATAACGAGTTTCATGAAACAGGGCCCAGGGGGGTGTTTCACAAATATCCTAAGTTGAACTTATCTCTAAGATGGACTTAAAAATTATGGAGAGCCATATGTAGCCTTATAATGAAATACATTCAAAAGCAGAAATTTACGTATTTTAGACTTTCTTATAACTTCCACATCAAGAACATAAAATCTCCTTGATAAAAAAAAATATGAATGATTTGAATCAACATTTTATACCTTTCAAAATAACTTTTACAAAATATTTTCAAAGTCGCTAACGGCTTTCCATAAATTTTAAGTCCAACTTAGTGTTAAGTTCTACTTAGGATCTTTGTGAAACACCCCCCAGGTGTATTATCTAATCATCAGAACGTACTTGTAAACGGAGATACGAACCTGAACCCTGTTTCACAAAACTTGTTATAAATAACAAGTTGCAGTAGCTGTTAGACTTCTTTTCATACTCTACATATTTCTACGAACTTTTTTTTGCAGTGTTCTCCAGGCTGTATTGTTGCAGTAACTGTTATAAGCTATGTAAATTGTTGCATTTGATTGGCGTATTTGTGATAGAATTGTGACACTTCTTAATGATAACGAGTTTTATGAAAAACCTAAAATCTCTGACCTGTAACAAGTTATTATACATGATTTAAGCTATTTTAAGCTTTATATTTGATTGGACTTGAACAACTTTGTATTGGGGATTATATGTCACTCAGTTTTTTATTGATATCAAATTTTTAAGAAATGGCCTGCTACACGTATATGTTATGTATACAACAATATTACATTTTGGTGTTGCATTCTGTCAAAAATAATTGTCAATACAAGAACCCGGGACTTATCTTCATGGTTACTTTTTTTATAGTTACTTACCCTGGGGCTACATTCTCCTTTAATCCCCTCATTCTATATTCTTCTCTATTCCTTCCTTTTTTTCTTCTTCCCTTTATCCTTATGTTTTATGTATTTTGTATTATATGTATTTATTGTTTATTTATTCAATACTTTTTATGCATTTGATATGATTGTATTTATATTATAAATTTGTATAAGTTGTGTAATGTTATGTATCATCACCTGGAAAGAAAGTTTCTTCTTTTGCTTTGGAAGAAGACAATAAATTATTATTATCTTATCTTATCTTATCTTACTCTACCTATTTCTACTGACTTTTATATTTTTTGCAGTGTTCTCCAGCTGAATTTGTCACAGTGACAAGAGCCCTGTCTAGGCTGAGCTTGACGGTAAAGACCTTGCGCGAGTCTGTTGATATCAAATCGGTTCTGCTCAAAGACATCCTCATCCAGATGCCATCGCTCTTGGAAGGAATTGATTCTTTCCTAGCTTCCATCAACGAGAAAGCAGTCAGGTGAGTGTTTCCCTACATTGTTACAAACCTCATACATATTCATGTACAGTCAAAACTGCTTTATTGACCACCTGTCTACAAAGACCACATTTTTTCCCCCTTGAAAATGGTTTCTCATTGAAACATGTACTAAAGGAACCTGTCTACAAAGACCTTTATTTGAGTTTCCCTTGGGCAGTTGCTATAGACAGGTTTGAGTGTATGTGTTAATTATGCGCATGGTCAGAATGAGGAGGTGAAAGGAGATTCATTAATAAAACCACCACAGTCAGAGTCACAGGTAAAAACTTGATTTTACTGTAGCTGCTTTGAGTATTTGTGTGTTGTGAGGTGCATGAGGGTTAATCAAATAATGTAAAACCATCTTGTTGTGATGACATGTACTTTCCTTTCTGATACTAGTGTAGAAAAAGGCATTTCATAATGCATTTTGGATTATGGATAGCTACTATGTACATCAGGAGGTGGGATACATGTAGCTCAGTGGTAGAGCAATGATCTAGTAGCCGGGTTCGAAACCGACCCCTGGTTGTTTACATACATGCTTTCTTAGCAGTCGGGTAAAACAATCATCATCGAACATCGATCATCAAATATTTCCTGAAACCAAGGTAAAACAGGTGGTTTTATCATGCATGGTTGTTTTTGGATGGGTATGCTTCCTTTCCTTCCAGAATCTGCTATATAGGAGGATTTTCATCCTGAAGTTTGTAAAAAAAAAAATCAGATAGTAACCCTATTTGGATAGCTACTGTAGCTTCCTTTTATAATCAAATGTAAGGAAAGTGACTTCATCAAGCATATAATTTGCCTTTGGAAAGCATACAGTCTAGTGTTAAAGAAGATTTTATTATTTCTTTTGGGGGGGGGGGGCATTTCGTAAGCTACTATAAACATCTTACCTAATGACATTGAATTCAGTCTATTCACCACCTATTTTCTGCTTTTTGTTTTGTTTTATCAGGGATGGCGATAAGACCAAGCTGTTTGCCGACCCTTCTCAGTTCCCATCGGTCCACCAATGCATGCAAGACATTGAAGCAGTCAAGAGCAAGATGGCTGAACACAGGCAGAGACTACGGAAAGAGGTTGCCATGCCAACAGCCGACTATGTGACGGTATCTGGAAATGAGGTGTGTGCATTTCTATGAACTCAACAAAGTTCTCAAGCTGCCGACTTTTGTGACATATTTTTTTTTCCTCATGTACATATCTTTGGAGACAAACTAAACTGAATGCCTGGTTGTCATTTTCAAGGCTCTAAAGGGCCCCACCTTATAAAAGGTTGTGATTGATGCAAATCAATCGCAAGTCCTCTTATTAATCAGAAGTTTGCAGTCCCCTATCTCTTATGTGCATAGTTGTGACTGATATCAATCACAAATGACTTGCAAAAAGTATCCACTCTTTACAAGAAGGGGCTAAGATTTTGATGTTGAGTTGTCTTCCATTTTACCCCAGTATATGATTGAAGTCAAGAACAGCCAAGTCAAGAAGGTGCCCAAGGATTGGCTCCAAATCAGTGGGTAAGGCTCATCTATATTTTGATTTTTTACTCTAAGAATCATCTATCATCTTTCACTCTGTATTATAAAACATCATTTTTATAACAGTTTCGAGATTAGATATTTATGTTTACTCTTATTTTGTTAAAGGGATTGGGTATCTTTGCAAAATACAAAATAAAATGAAAACTTCACACTTTTGTTTGTTGTTTATAAACCGCACATGATACAAGATATCATCGCCGGTTTAAATGAAAACACATTTTTCGTTTAAAGAAGATTTTAGTAATTTCAATACTCATTTAATAAGGAAACACAGAATAGTTTTCTTAAAAGATTATATTTAAAGATAATTTGTAATTGGTTTCTCTTAAATTGATAATTCATATCATTGGTAATACACCCTCCCTAGGCATACATGTATTTTTCGTTTCATAATGGCTATCCCTGTATTTCATCATTGCAGTACAAAGCAAGTATCAAGGTACCGGCCACCCTACGTTGAAGAAAGTTTCAAGAGGCTTTGCCAACTCAGGGAGCAGCTAGCGGCCGACTGTCAGAATGCATGGCTAGAATTCTTAGAGTAGGTTTGAGATTAGCTTTTTGCTATTTGCAAATTTACTTTAAAATGTGTTTATCGGTTGTATTTGTATGTATAGATTATAAATCCATATCAATGTTGATGTGGGTTCGCCTATGTTTAATACCAAAGTTAACCCAGTCAATCTGTCAAAACATTTTCCTCAGAACTACCTTTTACAATGTTTCTACATTCAGCGCATGTGATGAAGCCGTCATTTGAGAAGATGTGGATCATTACATATTGTATTGATTGCAAACCATGTCATTCTAATATCTTGGATTTTATTTTTTTTAAAAGGAAAAATGATAAGACGTGTCTATTGTTTCTGTTGAATTGATTATGAATAGGGGATTTTGTCAATTATTCAAACAATGGATACTTAATGCATCATCATTATTTAAATCTGTTCACATTTACATGTACGCTTGATATTAGAAAATGATGACAAAGAATTTAACCCTTTGGTTTCTTTCTTCACCACTCTGCAGGGTTGCTTGTTTGTGTCTTGTGACACATGCAATTTTACACTAAACAGTAGGCACCGATTGATGAAAGGATTGCTTTGTGCAACACAATGGCTTTTCAAAACTATTTCTAGTCTTGATAAGTTCTAAGTTCAATGACATCCCTTTAACACTTATTATTTACTACTTAGTATTTATTATAGATTAATGTTGCATTGGAAACAGTAAACTAATCTTGAGTACAATGTGGTACAGGGTAAAAGTTTGTATGGTATATAAAGAGTTGATATATGTATTCCTCAGGTCCTTTGGAGAGAATTATTTCTCATACCGCCGAGCAGTACAGCATCTGGCAAGCTTTGATTGTCTCCTCTCCTTGGCAACCGTATCTAAGCAAGATGGATATTGCAGGTACAGTTCTCAAATTTCTTTCGTGTTTTTTTTTTTAGTGTAAACAAACAGTTTAGATGGAAGGCTTAGAAATCTTTACACCAAATGAAAGGTTGTTTGAAGCCCGTCTGTACTAGTTTGGCCAGGGGGTATTAGACCTCCCTGCAAGGTCACTGACAGGTGGTTATCTCATCAAATCAACTCTCAATTAACATAAGAAAAAGAGGATCATGGGTGGACCAACAGGCACCGATTAGGCATTGTTTGCTATATAGAGGGTGCAATTAGCTGTAAGTAGTGCAGTGGGGCTTTAATTGATTTATATCAATGATAATGATTATGATATTAAGGATGGCATTATTTCTATATAGCCCCTAATTCATTAAAACAATGTCTCTATTCCCTTTCATAAATGATTGACGTAGCTTTCCTAGGGATGTTGGCACCCTTACGATTGAACACTTGTAGCTTTTATATGTTCCAACATATCACATGCTAAACAACTGTTTTTCTCACACCATTCTAAAGAGAATAAGGCTGTAACTAGTCTACTGCACATGGGTAGAGAGAGGCAGATCTAGATTGAATGCCCTGTCTATGTATTATTAGCACAGCATGAAGATCCAAACCCATGGTAGTTGAGAAAGAAAAAACACTAAGCTGGGCCCCATTTCAGAAAACCTGTCATCAGTGACAAATGACAGTTTTTGTTTTAAGCTACTGAAATCCTTGCTTCTGATTCATTACCAGCAGATTTGTCAATGATATTTGTCATTTGTCATTGAAAAAAGGATATGTGAAATATCCCCCAGGAGTGCCCCTCACCCATTGTAGTATTTTCTTCCTTTTGTTTTGCATTTAGACCGACTATCCACGATGGCCCTTGCAAGATTGACATTAAAGGGGGGCGTCACCCCGTAGTGAGCACGCTGAAGGCCGATGGGGATCAGTATGTGCCTAATGATACTTCTATCAATGTAAGTTAAGATTGCAGGCTGACTGTAGGCCCTGTGCTAGAGTTTGAATATTTAGTTTTGAGTATCAAGCAAGTTAAAATACTGCAACAAAATTTGCCAGTGAATGGGTAAACTTCGGATGAATTTGCTTCAGATGTTCATCTTCTGGTTAAACTTTGAAAGGAAGAGTGGAAGATTTCTTGTTTACTTGTATTTTGGCGCTAGTTAGGTACTGGCATGTATCTTTTCATTTTGTATGCATATCAAAAAATAAACATTGTTTTTTGTTTAGAACGTGATCAAATGAACATTTTTTTTAAATCTGTGGATGGAATACATTGTAAAGTGTAATCTTCAATGATCTGAATGTCAAACAAGTCACTTCATTTGTATATTTGGCATCTGCCTGACTTTAGTACCTGTATTTTTAAATTTTCTGCTTGTTGCTTGGGTTCGAAATCAAGACTTCTGTCAGAACATTATTTGATTATTGAGTCCAGCTGCTTGGAGAAATTGATGACTAATATGCATATCAACAATTCATATACATGTATTTCTATTTAAAAAAAACTATAACAGGTGGATGGGTTAAACTGTATGATCATCACCGGTCCTAACATGGGAGGAAAGAGCTCTTACATCAAACAGGTGGCTCTGATCACCATCATGGCTCAGCTTGGTTCCTATGTTCCTGCTGAGAGCGCATCCATAGGAGCTGTAGATGCCATCTTTACCAGGTAACCACCCCAGTGCACTGCTTGATTGAACTCTGACATTTAAGTGTACACATCACCAAAAAGGATATTGACTTTATCTGTAAAGCGCTTAGAGACGTACGAGATGTATTGAGCTCTATATAAAAGCTGAATATTATTATTATTGTTATTATTATTATATGTTAAAAGTTCAGCATCTCTATGCTTTGTTCAAAATATCAGCTTCTATCAAACAAAACTACTGTAAAGAGAGTTTGAATACACTTTCAATTAAGGTAAAATGACTTGTGAGTAGACTACTCGATGCATCCGTATGTGCATGCTTAAAGGCCGTCTGTACTAGTTTGCCCAAGAGGGATTAGACCACCCAGCAAGGTCACTGACAGGTGGCTATCTCATCAATTATCATGAGAAAAAGAGGATCATGGGGGACCAAGGGCACCGCTTAGACATTGTTTTCTATATAGAGGAAACAAGTAGCTACAAGTCGTACAGTGGGGCTTTAAAATTACTCCTTATCTGTTAGCCCACAAAATGCTGGTTGAAGGATTTTTGTCATTTTCATGCATTTTAGCTGTTTACAATTTTTGTTTAGGTGATTGGTACACCTTAAAGGTAATGTATACATTTTGTAATATCCTTCAGACATGAAATTTGATTTGGATGAATATTAATTATGCGCTAACAATATCTCTGTTCGGTCATAAGTTCTGTAGTATTTAAGTGAAAATTTAGGGCCAGTTATGGAGGGGGGGGGGGGCTAAATGTATCCCTTCTTTTTTTTTTTTTGTGTATGTGAACAAAATAATTTAGAAGGAAAAAATCTATTATTTGGTGACAGATCATGGGTGTTGCACTTGACATCCCATAGCCAAGAGACATTTGGTGACTCACCTAAAATCCCTTTCAAAATTCTAAGCGATTATTCCACAAAAAGTCAATAACCACTTCATAGAGTGGTGAAGTGTTCCTATAGGAACTCAGTGGTATTTTGCTCTTGTTCATAACATTACGAACCAGAGCAAAATAACACTGAGTTCCCATAGGAAATCTATTTATTCAGATGGTCATATCTCAGCCAATACTTAACATACTCGGTTTTCAACATTTGGACATTATTTTTTATGCTCTTTCGGAAGAAAAAATTGAGAAATTCTCAAAATAGATTTTATGATGTCACAGCTTTGGTACTCTATTCACTCTCAGGGCATTGGTTCTATTTGACCTGCAAAAGAAATACAGGTACATAACTTTTAAAATTCTATCAACGGTGCTCTAACTTGACCTTTACCCTCAACCCTCTCTCCATCTCACCGTGACCAAGGATGGGAGCTTCTGATGACATCTTCAGGAATCGCAGCACCTTCATGTCCGAGCTCCTGGAGGCGTCGGACATCATGGCTAAGGCCACCTGCCGCAGTCTGGTCATCATGGATGAACTAGGGAGGGGCACCAGCACGCACGATGGCGTAGCTATCGCCTTTGCAACGGCAAGGCATCTTATCGAAGAGGTGAGGCGCAAGATCATCTTTGATGCTCATGATGATTTTGAATAGTTACAAAAAATTATTATTGATCTGATTAATAATTATTATACTGGTGGTGGTATTGATGGTTTTTGTTACTACAATGTATAGATATTGTGAATAATATTATGAGAACATTGCAATTATTGTTTTTAATAACCCTTGCAATTTATTCTTCAGATTATGAGAATGGAATTTCAACCATAAAATCGTCTTTTTTAATCAATTTAAATACTATTAGTGCTAAAAATTATTAGGAGGAATGGAAGTAACCATGAATCATGTGATCCACAGTCCGGTGATGTATCCACTAGACCATTACCCAAGTCTAAAATCATTTTTGACTTTACAAAAGGTCAACCATCTCTTGAAATTACCCTTAATTGTGACACTTTCAATTATCACTCCTGTTCTACTTTCCTTTTATCTAAATATTGTTGTTAATTTCTCTTAATTCTCTTAATGAGCAAAGTCATAGTTTTGTTGAAGCCATACATGCCTGTTTCGTCTAGACCAATTTTCTAAACACTCATTCTTTCATCGACCTTGAGACTATTTTCTGTGTTCTGGGGTTGTATCCATGTTTTATGTATGTTAATGTCATAACAAATTGTTTTCTAAGGTCTCTTTATCTCCACCTCCTATTCTTTTTCGTCTGTCTTCTTCTCTTCTTTCTTGTTCTTCTTCCCCTTCCTCTTCTTCCCCTTCTTCTTCTTCTTCCCCTTCCTCTTCTTCCCCTTCCTCTTCTTCCTCTTCTTCCCCTTCTTCTTCCCCTTCCTCTTCTTCCCCTTCTTCTTCCCCTTCCTCTTCTTCCCCTTCTTCTTCCCCTTCCTCTTCTTCCCCTTTCTCTTCTTCCTCATCTTCCCCTTCTTCTTCTTCCCCTTCCTCTTCTTCCTCTTCTTCCCCTTCTTCTTCTTCCCCTTCCTCTTCTTCCTCTTCTTCCCCTTCTTCTTCCCCTTCCTCTTCTTCCCCTTCTTCTTCCCCTTTCTCTTCTTCCCCTTCCTCTTCTTCCCCTTCCTCTTCTTGTTCTTTTTTTTTGTTCTTTCTCATCCTTCTTGTTCTTCTTCCCCTTTTTCTTCCTCTTCTTCCTTTTCCTCTTCTTTTTCTTCTTGTTCATGTTGTCTTTGCTGTTCTTCTCGTTCAATCTTCTCTTTTCTTTCCTTTATCTCTAAACTCTGTGCTGTCTCTGTCTGTTTCTTTCTTTCTCTCTCTCTTTCTCCTCTCCTATTTCGTCTCTCGCTTCCTCTAGACCACTCCTAAAGCTGCATGGTAATGATAGCTCCAAAGAAGAAGAAAGAAATGAAATACTTATATCTCATATCTATTGATTGACCTATACTGTAATTCACTTAAGTTTGTATCTTAACATGTTAATTAAGATCAAATTTGATATCTCATTTTATGAGCAGGTAAAGTGCTTGACCCTGTTTGTGACCCACTACCCACCTCTTGCTGAGCTGAGTGATCACTATCCTACTCAAGTTGGCAACTTCCACATGTCTTTTCTCTTGCATGATGCAGAGGGTATGTTTGTAACATGTTTTTAATATTTTATAGCATCTATGTATTGACACATATGGGGCGTTGCAAGAAAGTTGCGATTGATTGCAAGTTGCAAAATTTGCAACTAATATTTGCAATCGATAGCAACTCAACTTTCTTGCAACGCCCCATTAGTCTCCTCAATTTCCTAGGACTTTGACAGGATTAAAGTTTTAACGATTAAATTAAGTTAACTAGATGCATCTTTTTATCTCTCCCTTTCTCTCTCTTTTTCTTACTAATGGGGCGTTGCAAGACAGTTGAGTTGCAATCAATTGCAAATTTGCAATTAATCGCAAGATTTACGCTTGATTTTGGGGATTTGCAATTGATTGCGACTTTCTTGCAACACCCCAATAGTCTGTTTGAAGCCAGAATGGCATTAACTTGTATACTTGAATATAAATAAATACTAACTACTAAATACTAAATAAATTTTCTCAGCTTGGGAGCTCTCGGCAAACTCGCTGATTATGCAGTGACATATCTATTCATTTTCTTTCTCACTTGAAACAGATGAGGATCCTGTAGAGAAACTGACCTTCCTCTATCAGCTTGTCGACGGTGTGGCAGGCAGAAGCTATGGACTCAACGTGGCCAGGCTTGCAGACATACCAGACGCCATCTTGGAAAAGGCATCGAGCAAGTCACATGACCTTGAAAAGTCTGTGACTGTGATGAGGTGAGGGTACAGGAGATTGTAGAGTGATGTGTTGCAAGAACTAGTTTGTTGAGAATCCTCTTTAGGCTACTAAGTGGCAGTAAAATGAAGTATAGATTAATATCTTGGGGAAGGATAATATTGGCACTGGGCTTTGAATCAAGGTTAGTTTTTCATTGAAACATGTGCTGAAATTGATGCATGTTTGTATGGATTATCCATTTCCTTACGCTTATGATGGTTTTTGAGAAACTTTCCCCTGAAAGACGTTTACTTGCTGCTGCAACTGGAATGATAAATTACCATTTTTCTTTTTCTTTTGTTGTAAAACATCTATATCTGAGCAGGGGATATCTTTATTGAAAGGCTCCTCATATGAATTTCCATCCTTTGTTTTATTTCACTGCCAGATCTGCCAAAGAACACTTCACAAACCTGTGGAGGAAACTGTCATCCGATCCTGTTGGACCATGTGATGTTAAACAGGTTTTGGCCTCACTCAATTAAATCTGATTAATGGAGAGACAATAAACAAATTTATGGATCTTTCTTTCCGGGGGACCTAGTGATGAGTTATTCCCTTAACCTGGTATTAATGAATGAACTACTATATTTGGAATCCAGTGTGCATACATTACTTGCTGCTATGTCGATCGAGCCTCTGACAAGCTTACATGTTGTCATAAACAACATTTCTACAACATCGGTCTATTGCATGCTGGGACAAGTTCCAAATGGTTACAAGAGTACTCATTAGTAACAGTAGAGGGCTACGTCGCAGTTGTATTTTACATATACTGTGGTATACTATTCTTGACAGTACTGTGTGTACCGGGTGACCACTGTATTAGTCTATGGGAATGAATGAACTCAGTAGTCAATGGGGTAATTGAGCGAGGCAGAATTATCTTTGCGTGAGATCTACTTTGTCGTTACAATCAAAACAGGGAATAAAAAATAGGAAAATGCGAACTGAATCCTCCTCCCACAAATGAATGTGTTTTTATCATGTTCATAGTGATGTTAGCAAAAGTGTGAGTCATTTTCAGTGACAGACCAACTTGAAATTGAAATAATCAGTATTCAGTTAACGTGTAACACTGATCTATTTACACTCATTTGTATGGAGGAAAATCTCATTTTCAAAGACAGAATGCGTGTTCTCATTGTATGAAAGTAAACAGAAGTAAGGGTGTGAACATGTCAATCAAGTACTAATGTATTATGAATGAACAGCCAGTATATGAACTCAAACATAAGATTGAGTTCTCTTAACCCTATTTAGCCCGGGGGGGGGGGGGGGCTTTAGAAGCCCCCCCTCGACATTTTTCGCGATAATTTTTTAACGCAAGAAAATCTTGCACTGAAATTTTGTGACTTTTTTCTTTCAAGTCTTGCGCATCTTTTGAAAGAAATTTTTCGAAAATCGGACCTACCATTACAAAGTCACGTGTTCTTTTGTCTTTGCATGTCAGCCCGAAAATTGCTCATTTTTGTGATTTGTGTACAAAACATATGGAAATCTCATTTTTTCAATTAAAGAGATAAAACATTGGTTATTTGGTTTTGTTTATAGTTAAGATGTTTATTTTGGGGTCAAAATAGTTGAATTATAGTTGGAAATGAAATAAAACAACAAAAACAATAAAAAAAAAAAGTTAAAAAAAAAAAGAAATACATAAGAAATTATCAGAACAATAGATAACATAAAGAATAACCCTGGTTTTTCAATTTTTTGTGTTGTATTATTATTCCAAATGGTCTAACAAATATATGTAGTGAGAAAGAATGCTTAAAACTGAATAATGTCTGATTTATGGGCAAAAATGTGAATTTGATGACCTTATTTGTATAAATTACCATAAATATGCAAATGAGTGAATTTTTCGAAAAATTGAAATTACCATAGTATTCTATACACTTCACTTGACATGTATGCAAATTTTCGCGGCGATCGGTCATTTCATGGCCGAGATCATAGGGGGGGCCTTAGAAGCCCCCCCCCCCCCCCCCCCCCCAGGCTATGCAGTTTCAGAATAGCCCGGGCTAAATAGGGTTAAATCATGATATCAAAATACACCTGTACATACAAACAGGTTTAATTAGATCATTGATTCGAGGTGCAATACATGCAGGCCGGTCTTGAAAGTGTGACTTCACACGGTGCAAACTAAGTTGAATTCCTCTCTAGTGCCATTAGGGATATGGTAATTCACTAATAAATTTCTTATTACCCCGAAAACGGGGCTTTGTAGCTTCATATGTAGGTCTGGTGTACAATTGGGACTCTATTTTTCTAGTGAAGAACAGAATCCATTTACAAGGAAATGTATGTGTACGACAATATAGCTATGACATTGGTTACTTGTACACATTGTGAAATATAGGCATTATTGTAAATAATGCTATAGACTTAAAATTATACCAAATTTAGTGAGGACATTGTTGTAACAAGAGCAATCATTTATCTTCAACAAAAAGTAATGTTGCCATTTTCCAGATTTCCCTGGACTCTATTTTTCTAGTGAAGAACGGAATCCATTTACAAGATTTTTTCATGTACAATTAATACCTACAAATGTACATGTGTTATCAAAAAAGTCGTCTAGATTGTTCAAAACTGTATTCATCATGTCCAACAAAATTCAATCCATTGAATTAACTAATTTTATTCCACATAAAGTGGTCATAGTCTATCAGCATGAGATGGACATGTACAATGAAGGCTCATGGTAAATTTTATATAATGAAGTCTTTCAAGGTTTTACTAATTTTGATAATTCAACCCTTCCTGTTTATTTTTTAACTTTCCCCTAATTTTGTTTTTTCTCACATCAATTGTTGTGATCACTTATACAGCTCAGTCATGCACATGCATACCTAAGTAATATTTAGATGTCCCTGCATTAGTACATGTATTTTTAATTCTTTTAATGTAATTTTAATTAATAAGTAAATAGGGGAGGGGGCACAAAATGCATTTAGTCAATCTACTGTAAAATAGGCTTTGTTACAATACAACACAAATGCACTTTTGCATTATAGCAAAAATTATCATTGTTTAACCAACATTCACCCTACCGGAGCGCCCCCGTTGGCGTGTGACAGGACAGGACAGCCAGATGGAACATTCTAAATTTAATTTTCCTTAGGGTGCGTTCAAGTGATTTTTTAAAGCTAGAATCACTAACATAAATCCCAAATCAAAACGCCATTAAAAAACACGGGTACTGCGGGAGAGCGTTCTAGCGATTTTTCATCAACGCTGATTCTCGCTCATTTCAAGTCCAGCCACTGCTCATCACACTGTGCAGTTTGACCAAGGAAGTGTAGGTCAACTTCACCGCGTACGTGTTCTCTGCCGTCTGCGTTTACGGTCGACTGTCGGTCAAACCGGAACAGGCCACGATAATGACGTCATAGAATCATGATTGAGAATTTGTTCAAGCGAATTTTAGTGAATCACAATACAAAACGCATCTTTTTCAGCGTTTCATGTTTGTGTTTTTAAACACATTTATTTTTACGACCGACAAAAAATTGCTTGAACGCAACCGTGTTTTGAACAAAACATCTTTGAAAACCGTGATTCTAGGGTGAAAAAATGTCGATTGAATGCACCCTAATTGTCCTTAGAGGGACCAAGTCTGTAAACATGTATTGTGCTAGATACCCCCCGAGAGAAGAATCACTGGCAATTTCCTAATGCAGTTTACAAATTTCATTGGATTACAAATGAACATTTCTTAGATTGAGAAATATGCCTCAAGCCCTTTACCAAAATGGAATTTGATGGAATGCATAATTGTGTATTCCATTTACTGCAAACACCTGATACTGAGAATGGCCTGTTTATGTATTGCACAATTTATGAGATGAGATGTATGTAATAAAATTAAATCATGGTGTTAAAAAGAATACTGTTGTTGATTGCCTGCAGGAAGGCTTTTACTGCAATTTGAAATACATATACGTGTCATGTATTAAACTGTTAGGGCCTTCTTTTTGGCAGGAGACAAATTACTGATTCAGATAATAAGTTTAAGAGGTGTCCATGGCAGGTACTATCTGATGGAACTAGATTTTATAGTTATAGCCAAATTCATTATACTGACACATTAAACCATGGAATTGGTTTAATGTTTCAGTATACACCATATGGACAAACGTGTAAAATACTTGTATATTGACTAAGCAATACGATTTTGTTTTAGCATTTTCTGTTTATTCTATAGTCTAATAAGATTATGCAAATGCCCTTGGAAATTTGGTCACTAGTTCCATGCCGATGCGGTAACTGGTAACCTGTAAAAACATGTGCCTATAGAAAGAGAGAAAGGACAATGGCACATAGGAACATTATATCGAGGGTTCAGTGACACAAAGACGTACCTCCATATTTTGCCAAAATTAGTATTTGATATAAAAATGTTCAGAAAAATGTGCGCTTTCTTAGGAAACACAAAACACCCCATTGAAGTCAATGGCTAGTGAAACATAGACTTAACTCCTTAAGGCCCAAGTGACACATAAACCACTTTTTTTCAAAATAGGAAAAATGGAGTTATGTCTTTTGTGTCACTGACCCCTCGATATGTTGTACATGGCTGAATTACATGTAGCTTGATGTGATGCAGTCAGTAGGTTTCTAGAGCTGTCCATTTTGCATCTAAATGAAGTCGAACCTTCTTTCCAATACACCTACCACCTTGCCTGTCCTTGCATCCTTTAATATGCATTTATACCAGTGTACGGAATAAAAGATATCGTACAAGATGTTGAAATATCTAGGACTCTAAATGGACATTCAATCAATTTTGTTGCTGAGAAAACAAATGGATTTTATTTACATTAAGTCTTTTGGAAATAGAAAACCTCCATTTTCTTTAAATCAGTTTCCAGCTGTCCAAACATGCCATATAGTTTTCTAGAACATGAAACCAAAAATGCAGAGGTTCAGGAAAGTAGACCACTTTGTATCTGATGTTTAGAAATTCACTCAAAGTAAAGGATTTTTTTCTTTGCCAGTCCTCTAAAAGCCTTTGAATACCGGTAGATTAAAGAGTGACATTTCTAGTTCTGCAGGATGGTGATGAGGGTGATTGAGATTTTTTTTCAAGCCAAAATGAAGATTGAAATCCCAGTGGTATAGATTGCATCACACATTTTGACCCAGAAAAATAGGCAATTTATGAAAATGAGATAAAAATTTGAATTCTAGGAGACAGAATTATCTTCCGTTTCTGGAGTGTGGGTTTGTAAGTTTTCATTTTTAAACCTTTTATAAAAAGAAAACAGGTCATTAAGCAATAGTTCACTGCACTTAAAGATAATACTTAATCTTTGATATGTTTGCTTAATCTATTTTCATATCCCGACGTATCGTGTCCTGATTATGGATGCTTAATTGCTGGCTCTCTGTAAATGCAGATCTGATGATTTCAAGCAGAACATTTCAGTAAATAAATGCGTACACATTGCTATTTTAGTGTAGGGAAGCAGTGTTTTCTCTAATTAATCCAAGAGAATACTTGAAATAAATTATATGCCCAATGGATATAGAGAAAAAAGGGATATAAAAACTACAAAGTGGATGATATTGAATATTTCAGACATTTTTTTTGTTAGTTTTGTGGTGCCAAGATCTTTTTAAAACTTTATTTTTTCTTTTGTAATATTTTATTGTACTATTCCAAGTTTATGTCCTGGTAATTACATTAATGAATGTTCCTGTCTGAAAGTATTAAGTGTTTGACATAGATTTGTTCATATTTTTAGTCTTGAGATCATTGTTACTTTTTGTTTGTTAAAGATTGTTGACTTTTGACCTGCATAAATGCTGATGAAGCTAGTAATTATGAAGCACCTGCCACCCTTTCGCTCTGTGAGGAAAATAGGAAGTGATAAAGTACATTTATCTATCTCAGTTAAACAAATATTGTCCAAACAATAATTAACACTATCACAGATAGCGTATGGTCGAGTATGGTCAAGTGCAGTACTGCGGCATTCAGTGACTTTTTTCCTTGATTGTCTGGATTATTCATATTAATATTTGATATATTAAGATATCACTGGGCGGTACTCCGCATCCATTGTAGGCCAGTATGTACAAAGGTCATTCATGTACATATTGACCCTTATATTCAGATGTTATATGTACCGGTACAGGGTATTGGCATAAATGGCCTTTCTGGGCAGGTTGTCTTTTCATTATTGAAGCTAGTATGGAGCAAGTTTGACTACTCATCTCGTGAACATTGCTTATAGATTGTGAAGCATGTATTGACCCTTATATTCAGGTGTTATAGGTATAGGGTATTGGCATAAATGGCCTTTCTGGGCAGGTTGTCTTTTCATTATGGAAGCTAGTGAACATTGCAAATATAGATTTGACATTGATATGTGTACTTGTAGGTTTACTGTCTTTGCAGCATTACTGTCGTTTGTCAAAAGCTCAATTAATTAAAGAGTAATACTTTGCCAACATTTTATTATCAGATTATTACATACAGGTAGATCTCCATGCATCAGTTATCTCGATGGGTGTTACCGTTTTGTACAAATTACCTTTATCTGCCCATGCGTAGACAGTATCTCCCAAGTGGCTTATTAATTAAAGGCTACGCCCTGCCCATCATCAGATTTTTACATGGCATCAAAATATTGATGGCAGAAAAGCATTATGATTCTTCAATAAGAGTGGGGGAGAAATTGTTGGTACAATGTATTACTTTCTTAACATCATGTATCATCGATCTTAGTCCATTGTTGTTCTCTCTCTCTCTCTCTCTCTCTCTCTCTCTCTTTCGCTCACATATTAACATTCTTGTTCAGCATCTTCCCTTTCTGTTTCACACTTATCTTCCTTGTTTTCACCTCTTCGTTTTTTAAAAGTATTTTATTTTTCTCACTTAAATTTTCTGTTGCTCAACATCTCACTTCAGATGATTCTCTTTTATTATGATTTTCTCTGTCTCTCCTTTCCTTCTCTATCTATTCATTGTCTTCCTCCATATAGTATGTACCCTATCTACTGTATCTAATCAGATTTACATCAGCTGCCTTTGTAAGATAAAAACAAACTATTTGCCAAAATTTATGCATTTTTTTTTTCGTTTTGCATCATGTATCATTGAATTGTATCCAGTTTTAACAAGGTGAAAAAGTACTATTTTGAATAAAATATAGCATTTTTTGGTGCTACAAAATGACAAAAGTTCTTTTGTTTCTTTTTGTACAGTCTTGTATCTCTATCCACTGCATGAATATCTCTTAGATAAGATGCTTATGTATACTTTGAACAAACAAAATAGAATTTAAGGTAATGTATTGAAATCATTTTAAATTGTGATTAATGAACAGAAGATAAAAACATGTCCTAAGAAGAAGAACAAAAATAAGTTTCAGTTTAAGTTTAATGTTTTAGATGTATGGAGGGGTCTAAAATAAAGACAGAACACTTTAGTCATAATATATTTCTTTTCAACATATAGTATTCAATAAGTTTTTTATTCAAAAAAAATAAATGAACTTTTTTTTTAAAGGAGCAAGTTTTTGTCACATATGACAAAAAGCTACCAACAACTGTGTTTGATTATAAATGATATATAATAAATGCTGTTCAATACTGGTATACAATGTATAACATGCATGTAGCATTGTAACTTGGCATACAACATACATATTTACAAACACAGGCAATTGCACAGTGTAACTCTAAAGGGGGGGGGGGGGACACATCTTACTTTTGTTTAATTCACTTCACATCTTTCATTAATGTAGTATATATTCAAGAACATACACGTATGAGTAGCATTTTCACATCATTTTAGTTTCATATAAACTTTCTTTATGGTAGAAAATCAATCATATTTTATCACCTACCGAATGCTTCCCACCCACCTACACAATCGATCTAGACAATCAATATGGAATATCATTTTCCCTGAAGCTCTCTCCAAGCCAAAATGTTATTTGTATTTATTACATCTATTTGTTGATTCTTAAAATATGACAAAAATCAGAACAAAAAAACAATTATGGCATGCCTTTATATTGAACTTCCTCTTAGAGTAAGTGGAGAATAAATGGTTGATTGATTTACTCAGTTAGCAGGCATGTATTGTTGCTATATCGAACAAGCCTCTGGCAACAATGTCTATCGCCTGGTGTAACCTTTTCAACATGATATATTGTATTTTTTGACATATATTTGTGGATTCTCAACAACAACAAAATATATAAAAATGGCATATCTTCATTTTGGACCTCCTCTTAGAGTAAGTGGAGAATAAATGGTTCATCGATTTAGTCTCAGTTTGCAAGCATGAATTGTTGCTATATTGAGTCATGATTTTCATCAATAATGCATTTTGTGTTCTGAACGCGCCTTTTCAGAGCCACTACATTTCGCTATTAATTACCTAAACTGGTTATTCCCTTTAAACAGTCGTCGGTTCAGTGACGGTTAAGATGCATCTACCCTTCTCGAATTACGACTGTCCTGCCTGCATAGCATTGTATCACTTGGTCATAGCTATTTTAAGGAATCTCTGTGGTTGCACTTTTACATTATCTACTGTCACGTATGCATGGCTGTGGGTAAAACACAGGATTTGTTTAAAAATGTTCATTTCTTAAGAAATCCATTAACTGAGGAAATACAATGTGCCTCACTTACAGACAATAGTATGGCGGGGGGGGGGGGGGGGGGGTGGGTGTCCGCACACTTAACAAAGCTAAAGACTTCTCATTTGCTTTTGGATTTAAAAGAAAATGATCATCAATTCATCATGTCTATTGAATGGTAAAATCCTTTACCTAAACTCAAGATATCCCAAATGAACCCATAAAATGTTTGAAAATCTATCATCCTTCTTATTTATAACTTGTAAATAGCTACAACTATTTTGTTACATTAAGTAATAAAACTTCTTGCTATGTACATTTTAGGCTTAACTGTATCATGTCTCTTCAATAAATATTGCACAGTGATATCAACTAACTCTACGGTATATATAAAAATATAGTTTTTGTTTTACATACAATATTTTACATGATATGCATTTCTAAAGCAATAACTAACACGCACAATATTTCAAAGTTCTGCACACAACAGAGTGTTACAGATCAAAACTGAGAATGCATCTCAATGGTTAATTGCCCTAGAGACAATTGGTAAACCTTACCCTAACCCTAAAACTTTACCTAAACTTAACCCTAAACCTAATCTATAACCCTAATTACAACCTATAGTCCCATACCTAAAACTAACCCTAAACCTAATTTTAACCCTAATGCTAACCCTAAAACCAACCATAACCCTAAAGCTAACCTTAACCCTAATCCCAACCTTAAACCAAACCCTAAAGCTAACCTTAACCCTAATCCCAACCTTAAACCAAACCCTAAACCTAAATCTAAACTTAATCTATAACCCAAATTACAACCCTTAGTCCCATACTTAAAACTAACCCTAAACCTAACCTTAAATCTAATGCTAACCCTAAAACCAATCATAACCCTAAACCTTACCTTAACCCTAATCCTAAACCTAACCCTAAACCTAAATCTAAACCTAATCTATAAACCAAAGTATTAACACATAGTCCCATACCTAAAACTAACCTTATACCTAACCTTAACCCTAAACCTACACCTAACCCTAAACCTAAATCTAACCCTAACCTAAAACTAACCCTAAAACTAACCCTAAAACTAACCCTAAACCTAAACCTAATCTAAAATCCACATTGCAACCCATAGTTCCATACCTAACCCTAACCCTACATCCTAACTGTGACCAAATGGCAACCCAAATCCTAACCCTATATCTTTCACAAAAGAAAGCCATGAAATTATCACCGGAGCACTTGTTACATATAAAACATCACATTTGCAACACTGCAGAACTAATGTATTTCATGCTGTTTAGTCCATTTCCTTTTAAGATGCACTACTGGAACTTTCAGGGTCGTCATACAATCCTTGCCGCACCCCGTCAGCCAAGATATCGGGGATACCCCCCTCTGGAGGCGTCGCGTTTAGAAATGGATCACTTTCGAAAACCATGACGGGCTGGTGACTGCAAAAAGAGACAATACAAAAACTTTAGGAAACCATTCAAGTGTCACCCATGTCACCTACAGCTTGGCTTGAATTTCACATTACTGTGCTGTAGACGTATGAGATGAGTACTTTACACTTGACTGGAGGTTGTGGGTTTGATCCCCCGCACAATAGGCCTGTCTTCATCAGCTCGAGATTGCCAAATATCCAGCTATTTGAACTATCCCGATCGCAGTTAATTTGTGTCCAGTTAATTTGCATCTTAATCAGCCCAAATTTGCAATTAGCAGGATATTTGGTCGAGATAAACATCCCAAGATATCTTGGGCTAGTTTGCAAAATATCCCACTATTTGTCCGGTTCGTCCTCACCAGCCCGAAGACTCGCACTATGCATGAACGCTGAGCAAAATATCTTGAGCTAATTTCTCGTGCTCGAGTTTCAAGGTCAAGTCTCGAGCTGATGAAGACGCGATTTGTAACTTCTGGATTATTTCCCAAATCAGAAAGAGTGTAATATTTGGCGATCTCAAGCTGATGAAAACAGGCCTATTATGTCCTTGAGCAAGGCATCCTAGCTACATACATGTACAATACTTCTTTCCATCCAGGTGTTAGATGGGTACCCACAGTAGAATGGGAAGAGCACACTTGCAAAATTGCACTTGGCTAAAGTACTCCCAAGGGAGCAGAGTGTGTGCATTACTGGTATCATGTATGGAATAGCAATTGAATTCAATGACCGGGGTTATAATAAAAATGCAAAGCAATTGAATATTGTTACCATTATTATTATATTATTCTCAATCAATAATAAGAATGTGAGCTTTTGCTAAAACTGACCATTTAAACAAATGAACAAATGTTTATCATACCTTTCCTTTTCTTCAAATTTTAGCATGATAATCACAATGCCTGTTATTTGTTTTCTCTACTTCATTCTCAGATATTTGAGACAGGTTAAATAGCAAATTAAAAAAACTTTCACCTTCTTTTTGAGATCTTCAAATTTTATTTCTTTCATCTTGGAACTCAATTTGATCCCATTTTAATATATAGGCTATATCGATTTTAAAGTAGGCAGATTTGTTAATTACATGTAAAGAACTGTTGTGACATTTGTATTACTTTACACAGGCGTTTAAAACATATGTGGAAATACAAAAACTCTTTCCCTGGTACAAAGTCAAACTATAAGAACATTAGAATACATACAAATGTTTATACACAGTGAAAACATACACAACCCAAGTTTCTTTTATGAATAGATGTAGATTGTATATACAGGGTTGTAGGTAACTTTGTTACATAAACAGTAAATCTCAAACATACATACAATTTATTTTAGTATGTTGAATTGACAAGGTAAAATGTCAATGAGAAGTAAGCACACCCCCCAAAAAATGATGTTCACAGAAAGAAAAAATATGACAATATCTATTTTTTTTAAAATTAAATGCAGAGCTCTTCTTCATCGAATGCTGTAGGTAAAGTCTGCCACTAAATCACAGATACATTATCGGTTCAGCCAATTTGAAGAACCAACACCTATAGTGATTGCAAATGTTTAAAATTCACAACTTTCTTATTTTTTGTCCTATTTCATTCAAACTTTGACCAGTCTACTTCTCTGATGTTTTTACTTTCTTCTAGAGTTGTTTGCTATCAAGGTTGGATTTGCCTACAATGATGAACTTGTAATGTATATGCTCATGTTGTACAATGTGCACGTAATCATGACCATTTCATATCTCTCCATCAGAGAGTAATTAATAGAGGAGCAGGAAATCCAAACAGAATTTTGATTTATTTCCTCACATAAATATTTAATCATTGTAATAAAGCATTCATAGAGCAGCAGAAGAAGACTTTGATTTACATGTACATGAATTTCCACACTTGAAAAATGCAATCATTGTTTTAACGAACCATATTGTATCTCATATTTACATCAGAACAAACATATCCCTGTAGTTAGGAAATAAAATGAAAGTTATTCTATTATACACCTGTAGCACTGAATCCCATCGCCCATCGCCTCTTAATTAGACTCAACGTTTATGAATAAAACTTTTATTGCAGTTCAGATTTACAACTATTAATAAATAAGGGGGATAGTAAAAGTGCTCTATTTATAAACAGATAGCTAGTAAATCAGAGTAAAGGCTTAGTTGAGGGGCGATGAAGAGTGTTCCACTTCAAGCCAATACAAGTATGGCTTGTTTATCAATGAAAGTGTGATGTTTTCTAATACTTCCTGCCTTCAATCATCACTTTTCATCGATGATGCACGACAAAAGCATCACAAAAAATGAGAATGGTACAAAAAGCATAAAATAAGGATGACAAATTAATCACAACTTGGTCTACGGTGAGTTATGGTTGTGGTTTATATGTGGTGCCAAAAGTGGTGATTCCTACGCAGCACATACTAGTGGATCTTAATGAAAGAATACCATGTCGTAAATAAAACACACCCTTGACATGTGTTTATGGAGGAGACGAAGATAGGTGAGAAACTGAGCTCAAGAACAAAGCAGTATGGATGAGAAAATAAAGAGAGGGGGAGAGAGATACATGTAGATGGGCAAGCAAGAGAGAGGTGAAACAGCGCAGCCAGGCAAAATTTCGCAATGATTCAGCCAGCCGCTGAATAAGCGGGGGGGGGGGGGGGGGGGGGGGGGGGGGGGGGGGGGGGGGTAAGAGGACACTTTTTTTTTTTTTACAAACATATCAATGCAAGCGATATTTGTTTCTCACTTGCTCCATCCCATCGAAATTAGAAAATCACATCTGGGGGGTGTTTCACAAAGATCCTAAGTCAAACTTAACTCTAAGTTGGACTTAAAAATTATGGAGCGCCATTTGCAGCCTTAAAATAAAATACATTCAAAAGCAAAAATTCAAGTATTTTAGACTTTTTATAAATTCCACATCAAGAACATGAAATCTCCTTGATAATAGAAAATATGAATGATTTGAATCAACATTTTATGCCTTTAACAACAAAAAATACAAAATATTTTCATATATGCTAATTGCTTTCCATAATTGTTAAGTCCAACTTAGAGATAAGTTCAACTTAGGATAGTTGTTAAACACTCCCCAGATCTATTAGAACAGGCAAAAGGAAAGTTCCTCTATTTTTTATAATTCAAATGAAATCAAAAATGATTATGAATGATAAGAAAAAATCATTTGAAATCACACTGAATATTCTAACACTTAACCCTGGATTCCTGGGTGAATACTATACAGTATTTCTTGTAGTAGCAACCATGACACAAAAAATGCTTCTGTTTAATCAAAATGAAAGGTTTGGAGACTCTTTCAAGGTAGTCTGTCCATTTTGCAGGCTGAAAATATAAATTATGCAAATCCTATGGTAAACAAGAGATAATACCAACTAAAAACTCCTCTTTAAAGATTAGAACTAGTAATGTGGAATTATATCGACCATTAAGAACTTTAAAAATGAATTGCAAAAATAGGCCTAGAAAGTAGTTTGATTTTCAGACCCTTGTACCGCATAGTCGTACATTTTGTGTTGAGTAAAGACTTGATAAATTTAATTTTGGCCACTGATGTGTACAAATGACAATGAATCCATACTGTAGAAGTGTCGAAGTCGAGTGGTTCAAGCACTTGAATTGAGATTCGAAGGTCGTGGTTCGATCCCAAACACGGCACTAATGTCCTTTAATAAGGCTACTCCATCCGTTTGAGGTAAATAGGTACCTGGCAGGAATTAATTACTTGAAATGATTGAGTGCAAAATGGCAGCTAGGCTAAAGCCGAAGTATTAAATAATTTGTGCGCCTCAGAATAGAAATGTCTAGATAGACGGTGCTATATAAATGCCTATTATTATTATTATTGTTACTACCCTTAACAGCTAATTTTATCTATGTTATTAACAAATTTAAAAAAGCATCAAAAGCAGACCATTGTTAGACGTCCATACTTGTAAGTTACATTTTACTTCTGCAAGAACATGTCTATTTCATTCAGTGAGATGAATGTTAGTAACATGATGCAAGTTACTTATGATACAAGTAAATGAAGAATAAAACAACAGAAAGCTGCCAAATCAATGTTAGCTGCATGATGATGAATCTAAATCATGGAGCAGCTAGTTTTAGATATTTGAAAATATGAGTGTCACTCATGAGGGGAGAAGAAAACAAATAACTCAGTTGGATGAAAACAAATCAATCAGTTGGATGAATGTTAGTATTAAACATGATGCACGTTACTTTAAAGATGAAGTTGAGTTCTGGTCATGCGATTGCATTGTGAAAGAAACGGTGTGGAACCGACCAGAAAAGGTTGATCATCTAGCATATAAGAATTTGTGTGTGTTGCAAGGTTCGGGAATCATTCAAAATGATAAGAAATTTGGCCAAGTCTTGGTAAAGTTACAAACACTAGCACAGAAAGATGTATATGGGACTACACAAACACGTGGCGTAAAAAGCCGCCCCCCCCCCCCGATATTTACGATGTTACATGCATATTTAGAATATGAAGGCATTTGAAGAGCCATGCTTTTCAGGGAACATGTCTTAACTGATGTTCTTCCACACTTGCATAATAAGAATGAGTAATGCTCACAAATTATTTTTCACCTCTTCCCAGAACTCAACCTTCTCTTTAATGATTGCAATTCAAATGAAGAATAACACAACAGAATGCTGCCAAGTCAATGTTAGCTGCATGATGATGACTCTAAATCATGGAGCAGTGTTAGATATTTGAAAATAAGAGTGCTACTCATGAGGGAAAAAATAACCACTCATTCAGTTGGATGAATGTTAGTAACATGATGCAAGTTATTTATGATATCAAGTCAAATGAAGAATACCAAAAAAAAAATGCTGTCAAATCGATGTTAGCTGCATGATGATGAATCTAAATCATGGAGCAGTGTTAGATTTTGAAAATAAGAGTGCTACTCATGAGGGAGAAAAAAATGTAAGTTACATTCTACTTCTGCAAGAACATGTCTATTTCATTCAGTTGGAAGAATGTTAGTTACATGATGCAAGTCACTTATGATTTCAAGTAATATGAAAAAATTAAACAACAAAATGCTGTAGGGCAAAGGTGCAAAATCAATTTAGTAACTAAATAGCTGCATGATGATGAATCTAAATTTAGAATTTTGAAAATATGAGTGTTACTCATACTGAGGGGAGGGAAAAAAATAATAACCACTCACGTTGAAGTTTCTTTTATATCTAAATCATCCAATGAACTGTGAGGACAAATCAAAATGATTAAATACCACGTTATATATTCAAACAATAGTAGCAAAGATGTGTTAAATGCAAATTGGACATGCGGGATCGGAAGTATACCAGTTAATCATCATGATAATGACAGTTGTTCTGACAGCTTTTAATCTGATTAGTCTTGGGCTTAGTAACTAAATGGCTTTATAAAAATAATTGCAAGTGTCAAAATGATTTAATCTTTAAAATATAAACATAATAAAGCACTGACAGATTGCTCAGTTAAACTAGAAAATTGAAAAATAAGAATAACAACAACAACACAAGTTTACAAATACATTTAACAACACTAACACCAAAGAGATAAAAATACAGCATAATTTTCAACAACAAAAAATTTAGCAAGTCAAATGCTGCACATTCACATATCAAGTGTAAGTTAATGAATATGTACAACAATTTTTGTCCAAATAATACACACAAGGGAGAAAAAAACAAAAAGGCATGAAGTTTACAGGTGTACATCATGATTATGGTATTACACATGTAGTAGTCCTTTTTTTACCCGACTGCTAAGAAAGCAGAAATGCTTGTTATGAATAGCTTCTCCAGAAAACCCCCACTTGTGCAAAGAGTTCTTTTACGTCCTTCCCCCTAAATATAATTTCCTACAAATAGCCACTATATGTAGAAATGGGGAAATGGAACAAAATCATGTAATATATGCCTTGCAAAAGCCCACAGGTGGAAAAGCTGACATATTAAAGAAAATAGGGAGAGAGAGAGAGAGAGAGAGAGAGAGAGCTAAATTTAGAGTCCCAAGTTGTCTCTAAGTTGATTACAAGCTACATGTACATGTACATGTAAATCTTTTGTTTGAGTCAAGGGGTATACCTTGATAAACAAATTATAATAATGCTTTCTATTCTATTTTGATCAATTTCAAGATCTAAAATAAAATAAATTCAAAGAAATCAGAAAAAATAATACTAATACGGAAAAAAAGAAAGTAGGTCAGGATATGCTATCTTATATTCTTGCTAGTTGCTCTGCTTCTCTTAGTTTGTAGATCATGAATATGAGTTACCTTGCCCTTTGTGGGCTGTATACCCAAGAGATAGAACTGTGTTTTCTTGTTTTCTCTGATTTCTTTGAAAAATTGCATTTTAGACGGGGACTCGATTAAAAATAGAATTGAAAGCATTACAAAAATAAAAATAAAATCCCTTATATATCTATTTTCTCTCCTGTTCTCTCCAACAAAAAACAGCACGACTAGCTCCGACACTTTGTGATACACCCAATCATTGATTCTAGTCCAATTATGTGCAATCTTAGAACCGGCAAACTGTAAATTGGATAGTAATTTGAGGCCCGGCCCAGCCCTGGTTAGATTCCTTGATCTCTCAAGGGGCTGAGTTAAATACGATTAAGGGGTAGCAATCAGTCATCTATTCCTTCCCTTGTGATTTTGTGTCCACCCAGAAAAAGATTAAAAAGTTGACCATTTCTAGGTCTTAGACATTCTACTGGTTAAAAGAAGAAGAAAAGGGTTGGTGAACAATTCTGAAGAGGTATATTAAATCTAGAAGTACGAGTTGCAATGGGAAGGTTGTCCATGTATTGATTTCAGGAGTTGTTAGCTGCTGTTTTCCTCTTTAAAATAAAGGTACTATTTGCAGGCCCCAAAAAATGAAAAGGTTAAATTCCAATGGCATTTGAAAGATAATACTAATTTAGAACTTCCCTCAAAACAAAAGGGCTTGAAACTTTCTTTACCGTAAGTGGGAAAATAACGGGTTTCCTTGCATAGTTTGAATAATAGGACTCTGTTAACGTTAACATTTCAAAGATAGGACATACATGACATATTCATAATTCCTGCAAAGTTCTACAGAATTTGATGTTGGCTGCAAATGGGACATAGTACCTTTAAAAGAAGAAAAAAAGGGGGGGGGGCAATATCGTTGGTGTACAATTTTGAAGAGGTATATTTTAATTTTGAAGTGCGAGTTGCAATGAAAGGTTGTCCATGTATATTGATTTCAGGAATTCTTGGCTGCTGTTTTCCACTTTAAGACAACAAATATTTGAAAGCTTACAATGTTAGGACTAATTACACCCTGGGGAGTGTTTTACAAAGATCCGAAGTTGAACTTATCTCTAAGTTGGACTTAACAATTATGGAAAGCCGTTAGCATCCTTGTAAATATTTTGTAAAAGTTATTTTAAGAAGCATATAATGTTGATTCAGATCATTTATATTTTCTATTATCATGGGAGATGTCATGTTCTTGATGTGGAATTAATAAAAAGTCTAAGATACTTCATATTTCATTATACGGCTAGTAGGCTACAAATGGCTCTCCAAATATTTAAGTCCAACTTAGAGTTAACTTCGACTAGGAATCTTTGTGAAACACCCCCCAGGTGTAAGATCATAGAAAATAAGTACAAGTTGTAAAACAGAGAGAAATCTAGAAGAAGATAAAAAAGAACTTGAATACACAGGAATAGTAAAATCGTACAGGAAAACAAAAAACAAGAAAACACACTGATGCAACAACAATTGAACATGTTCTTTCACTTTCTCCAGAAATGGCATCTAATTGAGTAAATGATTAAATTAAGGTAGGGGCACCTTTCACACTATCAAATAGTACGCTTATTGCCATAACTTTTCACAGAACTACAAGCAGACCTATAAACATGAATGCAAACAGTGAATACTAATTTCCATTGATGTCCTTTCACTGAATACACCTTATGCTCATTGATAAAATGCTTTGGGGGGATTGGGGGGGGGGGGGGGTTGAGCATCCCTCAAAATGCAGACTCCATCACATGATTATATTATAGATGCTGGATATATGCAACAGCAGTGGAGAATAGTACACTTATCAGGCTGGTTAGAGTCTAGATCATGGAAGTGGCACAAAATAACTATATAAGAAAGAAAAAAAAAGAAAAAAAAAAAAAAAAAGAAAGAAAGAAAGAAAGGAAGAAAGAAAGAAACCTGATGGTCCATATTTCATAAGGCTACATCATTATCGAAACATGAAATATAATTCAATCAATTCAATGGATTAAATCAAAAAGACACATTTCATTACTCACTCATAGCTAACGGCTCTGAAATTCTTCACACGCAGGAATGTTAACAATGACTTAGGAATGGAGTCCTTGTCCAGTAGGCCCTATGATAAATGAGAAAATAAACAATTCTATTAAATTGAAATTAAAGAGTGTAATCATGCTGTTATTAATTATAACTCTCACAATATTACCCTGAAAGTCTTTATATAGCTAACTGTGAATCAATTTAAAATTGTGGAGTCATGCTAATGTGCTTATATAAATTTCTGTTTAACATCTCCATGCAAGTATTTCAAGCAAACCTCATGTACAATGTAGGTCAGTTCTTATACAAAATATTTAAAAAATAGTGAGAAAGGGAATGAGAAAGAGAGAGAGAGAGAGAGAGAGAGAAAGAGAGGGAGGTGAAATAGAGATGAGATAGAGAGGGAGAGAGAGAGATAATCCCTTTTCCTGGCAGACAGTAAATGAAAACAATACATATCAAATTGCACACAGAACGCAATAGGCTGTACTAAATATCAGTATTCACTGCATTCATAATCGTGATCCAATATTAAACTAATTTTACTCACTAAAATTTCACCATTTTGGCTGCATAGTTAGCAATGTTCTGACAAGTATAAATGCATGTTTTTGCTTTTGCATGAGCCTAACCCTTTTAGAATGGATGGGAGAATAACGATAATAAAAGATATATTTTGAAGTGATATTATTTGCAAAAAATCCTCTACATGTGCAAAACATGTAATTCTAAATGTGAAAATGTAATAAGTTAAAAAATTATGAACATAAAGAAGAGCGGCATTAATTACATGTAAATTGTAAAGTGGTATGCAACCTTGTGCTCCCTTTACTTGTAGCTACACATCTTCTACAGTGGCCTAATTAGGGCTGTCTTCATCAGCTCAAGATTGCCAAATATCCCGCTATTTTAACAATCCCAATTGCAAATTATCTAGTTAATTTGCATCTTCATCAGCTCGAAGTTGCAATTAGCGGGATATTGGTCGAGAAAATCATCCTAAGATATCTTGGGCTAGTTTGCAAAATATCCCGCTATTTGTCCGGTACGTCTTCACCAGCCCGAGGACTCGCACTAGCGCAAATGCTGAGCAAAATATCTCAAGCCAATATCCCGGGCTTGAGTATCAAGTTCCGAGCCGAGTCTCCAGCTGATGAAAACGCGTTTTGTAACTTCTGGATTATTTCCCAAATGAGAAAAAGCTGGCTATTTGGCAATCTCGAGCTGATGAGGACATACCTATTGATAGACAAGTTTAATTTATAATGTACATGACTGTATTCCCTCACCTGAAGGTAAGCTTCCAAGGTGACTCTCCGATGTTCCATACCTCTGGAGCTGAGCTGCCGTACTTTCTTTGGTGGAAAGTCAGGTGTGTCAAATTTCTTTTTCACCTAAGAATTGATCATAACAAATGGGAAATGCAGTGAACAGCATGAATGCAGCAAAAACAAAGAAAGATTTTAAAAAGGGCAAACAAAATTGAAGAATAAACCAACCAAATCAAAACATACAAAACACACAAAATACTCCACTCAAAAAAACAGTATAAAAAAAAAAAAAAGAAAAAAAAAAAAAAAAAAGGGATGAGCAGTCAAGCATTGGGAAGTAATGTCATATCTTGAGCATTTTTAGAAGACAGTAATGAAGCAAAATAGCTAGTTAGTTCATTTCTTTTGACAAGAAATTATGCTGGTCAAGAGACTCAAGACTTAATATGGAGTTTTACGAGTAACCCTCTTCTTTGAAAATTCTACAACAACTTAGGATAAAGGTGTAAACAATCTTCTAACATTGAAATACTAAATAATTATTCCTCCATGAAATATATCATTATGTCACTAGTGTTTATGACAAATTTGTCATCACTACAAAATAATTCTGGTATATGCAGTGTTTTTAAATTACTATACTTAACGTAACATAAAAAACCCTCCTGTTACAACTAAACTTCTAACAACTTGACATAAAGTGGTGAAGTGTGACGTCATCAAAAATCTGTTTTTAGAATTTCTCAATTTTTTTTTCATTTTCCGAAAGAGCATCAAAAATAATGTTGAAAGCCAATTGAATATATGTTAAGTATTGGCTGAGATATGACCATCTGAATAAAACGATTTCCTATAGGGTCATATCTCAGCCAATACTTAACATATTCAATTGGCTTTCGACATTTGGACATTATTTTTGATGCTCTTTCGGAAAATGAAAAAAATAATTGAGAAATTCTTTTTTTTAAAAATGATGTCACAGCTTCGGTACTCTATTGAAAGAACAGCCAGGTTTGTAATTCAGCTCTGTAATTCAACAAACCTGTTTATGAAGGGCATGGAACTCTCTGTACCTCTTGTCAACCGAATGAATTCGTCCAGATACTTTAACATTGATCTGATACACCTGTATGAAAAATAAAGCAACTTATCTATTACTTGTTTTCTGCAGCAAATTATCTAAAACTATAATATCTATCTTTAAAATCACATATTTTTGTTAATGAAATAAAAATCTGATTTCTTGAGCCATACATGTGTACATGTATAGCATATTTATTTGATTTAGAGAATGAATATGGTTTCATACATGTAACCCCCTTCAATAGCCAGGAATCTAGGATTTTTGTTTACAATTACATGAATGACAGAGCTTTGTTTACCTTGCACATGAATCATATTTACACAAAAACCTCTAATTGTGGTTTGTGATGTCAAGCATCACCAGAAGTTCATTCAAGGCTGGGGTGCTCTTTCAATTAACACTTGCATACATGTACATGTAAAAAGGAGCAGGAAGTATTGCTGAATTCTGCAACAGTCAGTGACACTTTCCACACCTTTTTTTCCAACAGTCAGCATCAAATTAATCAGCTTTTGTTGTCCACTGAAAATCAAATCCACTCAAAATCAAATATCTGCAAAACCAAGGAAATTTTCACCAACAAAACTTGTAAGTTCCATTCTTCACTTATTTGTACTATTGACAGTCTAGGCCTAGAATCTAGATCTATTGTAAATTAAACAACATTGAACATCACTCTAGCAAAGCACTGATTAGACAGTCAATGCTAAATGACGTGTGATTGTTTATCATAACATTTGAAAGTATCATAGTCTATGGCAGGTTTTACAAAATATTGCGTGAATGTACTACAGGAGAGTGATACCCGTCTTAATGCACAGCCAGGATAGTATGCTGCTATGTGTGTAGGACTAGGATTCTAGGAAATTATCCCTGCAACCAATTCTACTCGACACACGAACTAACACAATTTTTAACGCCTGGGACTGTACACAAATTTACAGTCCTCCAAAAACACCTTATTTTCAACATTTAGACTTTATAGTTTCACTAAAGACAATATCTCACCGTATAAGGCCTCTCATCATCGCTGACAACCTGCCGAAATCCTGGTATTGAGACTTGAATCATGACTAATAATTGGATGTTCACTTTAATAACATCGAGGGGATAAAAAGACGATACCCGATTCGATCAGTATCAAACGTTCGAGGTGGGGTGGTTTTTTTTTTTTTTTTTTTTTTGGGGGGGGGGGGGGGGTGCATGGGACCTTCTTTTTCCTGGTTGGGTGGGGCCTGGGAGAATGGTAATTATATCCCTTCCCCCGGAACATTAACAGATAGTTAAAGCTCGATCTAAACAAATATTCTTCCTAGTTGACTCTTCTGCATGGAGGGTTGTTGTTGTTGTTGGGTAATTGTTTATTGGCGTTCATATATACGCCATAATTATTTTTAATTTTATAAGGAAAATCAGTTATAAATAAGAAAACTGAGGATAAAGATTTGTAATGATATAATTAAAAAGTAACGCAATTTTTTTAGGAGTCTCTGGATGGTTTGCAACTTCGTGTTTCTGCTTTTTTTTTTTAAAGTTTCATCTGGTCAGCCCGGTTTCGATGGCATGGAAAAACTAGCTTTGCCCGATGTGAAACAGGCTTCTCGGCTACTCGGCGTGCGTGCGCAGTGATCTTTTAATTTTATAACGCACGGTGCCTAGACCACTCAGAAACACAGAAACACTATAAATTGAGACACATCGTACAGGGGCGCTCCTGAAACCGAATTTCCAATCCATTCAAGTAAATTGATATACAAATCTTATCACATTATCACTATTTGTAAGCAAACATTTAAGTGGGCTCTTTGTTAGTATCAATGCATAAAAATAGAACAATTGAAAAATTAACGTCTTTATTTAATATTATATATGGCCTATATAGGCCTATATATTACATACCTACATACATTATATTTCTTTATTTATTCCTCCTTTTATTCTCTTTATGAGAATCTCCTAAAGAAACGATAGGGAAAGAAGTACTTTTGGCTTATTTTACTTTACTTGTAGGTAAACTTATTAGGTCTCTTGTTTTATTTGAAGCGACCTGTTCTATGGATATATAGTAGGATGGCATATTGAGCCTTCTGTGAAAACTTGAAAAGTATTCTTTTTGTTTCTTCTATTGTTTTGGTGTCTAAATCTGATAAAAGCATTGCTCGTTCAATGATATACTTATTACAATAAAATATAAAATGTTCTTCTGTTTCACTGATGTTACAATAATCACAATATTCTGTTTCACTTAAACCCACTTTAGCCTTTTGTTGGTTCAGTTGAAGAACACCCATTCTCAATCTATGTAATATTACTTCACTGTATCTGTTTACCTTGATTGATATACATGAATGATTCTCAAATCGTTTTAAAGGTGATTCTATCGTTTTCCATCTTTCTTCCCCAATTTCTCGTACTCTTTTACTCAGTATTGATTTCAGTTCTTGTACATTAAGATCATTGTTAATTTCTATGTTTTTCTTTAATGCTCTCTTAGCAAAACTATCTACTACTTCATTCCCTACTAGTCCACAGTGAGATGGGATCCATTCTAGCGTTATGTTTATACCTCTATAATGAAGATGTGTTATTTTTATCAGTATTTCTATTACGAAATTTTCTTTTATCTGCGATTCTATTGCATTTATTGTACTCAGAGAGTCTGAAAGAATAACTATACCAACATAAATATTCAAGTTTTCAATCCAATCTAATGCCATAATAATGGCTACTTGTTCTGCCCTGTATGACGATGTGTCATTGTGTAATCGTTTCTGTTCATGAATTTTCATCGCTGGTACGTAGAAGCCTGCTGCTGCGTTGCCTCTTTTAGGATCTTTAGATCCGTCTGTGTATATATGTAGGTGTGTTTTATATCTAGTGTTTATTACTTCTAAAGATTTGGCTTTTTGATAGTGTGGGTTGTCATTCTTGCTGATTAAAGTATGTAATTCAGTGGAGATGGTGGGTGGAATGTAATGCCATGGTGGAAATGGTATTGGTCTGTTTTCTTCAACTTCATCCGATTCTTGAACTATTTTCTCGTTTAGAATTCTAAAACCAAAGGGCTTTTTTCCTTTCTTTTTTTTAAGATTTTCATACTGCCAACAGTTGATTGTACATTTTCGGACTGGGTGTTCGGGAGTAGATTTCACTTTAAAATAATATCTATTCGTCAGCATTTTTCTCCTTATATCTAGTGGTTCTTCTCCTGTTTCTTTAAGCAGGGATTGTAATGAAGTTCCAATAGGGCCACCAGTTATAATTTTTAAAGCCTGATATTGTACTGAGTTCAACGTATTCTTTACTAAGTTTGAAGCTGAATCGTATGCTTCACATCCATAGTCAAATAGTGAACGTATTAATGCTTTATATACAATAAGCATAGAGTGGGAGTCATTTCCCCATGATATACCAGTTATTTTCTTCAAAATATTCAATTTTATTTTACATCTTTTTACTATATCCTGAATATGTGGTCTCCAACTTAATTTTTTATCAAACATTAAGCCTAGGAATTTGTGCTCCTGTACAAAAGGCAAGGGTACTCCTTCAAGATTCAGTTCACATTTTTTATTACTATTTGTAAATAGAAGCGAAACTGTTTTTTCATGAGATATTGAAATTCCCCAGTATTTAAACCATTCATTTAACCGATGTAGGTATGTTTGAACTTTGTCTTGAACAAACGTTTCATTTTTACCTGATTTCCATATAGCACAGTCATCTGCAAATAATGATAAATTCACTTCCTTTTCCAATGGTATATCATGCATCATAATGTTGAATAAAATTGGGCTAAGGGCACTTCCTTGTGGTAATCCATTGGCTAGGGTAGATATTTTAGATAATGTCTGTCCATTCCTCACTTGGAAGGTTCTTTTCTGTAGTAAGTTCTGAATAAATGTATACATGTTTCCTTTCACTCCTAATTTGAGTAATTTATATAATAAACCATTGTACCACAACTTATCGTATGCCTTTGTTACATCTATAAAGCAGACTAGAGTATGTTCATGGTTCCCTAAGCTTTGCTGAATACTATTTTCAAGTAGTATAATATTATCTGTAGAGCTTCTTCCTTTTCTGAATCCGCTCTGTATGCTCGGAAAAATACTTTTATTTTCTAAATACCAATCTAGTCTTCTATAAACCATCTTTTCCAATATCTTTATAAAGATGGGAGTTAATGTTATTGGTCTATACGATGATGGTTTTTGTGGATCTTTACCTGCTTTTAGTATCGGTATCAAGATTCCGTGTTTACACTGTTGGGGGATGTTTCCACTTTCCCAAATCTTATTCATAATTTTTAACATTTTATTTTTAATCTGTACTGGTAACTTCTTGTAGATTTCATATCCAATTTTATCTTTTCCTGGTGCTGTATCTTTTTGATTTTTCAGGACTTGATTGAATTCTTGCATAGTAAATTTTTGATTCAAAGACTGATTTCTACGTTGTTCTTGATCGTCATTTACATTTTCTTGCATAATATATTCTTTAACTATATTTTCGGCTTCATTGTTTATTATTGTACTCTCACTAATATTTTCAAAATGATTAGCCATCACATTTACAACCTCTTGAGGATTTATTATTTCTTTCTCTTCGTATATTATCGATTTAATGTTTTTATTTTTCTTATTAGTCTTACTATTTTCTATTTTACGTATCATATTCCAAATGTCTGTCATTGATGTGAAACGAGTCATTTCCTTACAATAGGTGATCCAATAGTCTCGTTTTGCTTGTCTTTTGATCTTTTGTGCTTCTGCTTTCTTTATCAGGTAATCTTCTACATACTCTCCAGTTTTTCTTTTCTCTGCTAAATATCTTAGGTGATTTCTTTCTTTTATACTTTGTGAACATTCCTTGTTCCACCAGGGAACAGGATTTTGTCTTCTTTTTGATTTCACTTTTCCTAGACGTATCATTATGTTATTCAAAGTTTCTACAAATATAATGTAAGCTTCTTCTACATTATGTTCGTCTATATTTATCATCTCTTCTTCACATGCTTGTTGGAATGTTTCCCAATTAATATTAGCAAGTGACCAATTTATTTCTTCCGGATCAATCTTTGGAAGATCATTTTGATTTCCTATTTCTATCAATATAGGAAAATGATCACTTCCTAAAGTGGTAGATTCTACGTTCCAAGAAATCTTATGGGAAATATTAGGAGATGAAAAGCATAAATCTAATGCTGAACGCTTTGTCGTTCTATGGTCAATTCTTGTACCTTCCCCAAGGTTACAAATCGTAAAATCATGTTTCAACATGTATTTTTCGATTATTTTTCCATTTCCGTCGGTCTTGTCACTACCCCATAAAGTATTATGTGCGTTAAAGTCTCCTAATATAATTTTTCTTTTAGCTTCTTTTGCATTTTTTGTTATATTATCCAATATCTGTGGTGTTATCTTTTTACATGGGTTATAAAAGTTCACCACTGTGTATATACATTGATTGAAATATATATTCACCGTTTGACATTCTATGTCTTCATGTTCTGTAACTTTGTTATGTCCTAACGAATTATGGAAGTATATAGCACATCCACCTCGTATGCCTGTTTTTCTATTTCTATAAACTCCTTCATAATTATTTATATCAAAATTTTCGTTTTCTAATAGCCAAGTTTCTTGCACGCAAATTAAATGAATTATTTCTTGTCTATTATTAATGTGAAGTCTCAGTTCGTCTCCGTGACCATTTATGCCCTGCGCATTCCATTGCAGTATATTTAGGGTCACGGAGGCGAACAGACTAAAATACCAGGTCAATAACATTTTGTTCATTTAACATTTCTTTAGTGAGATTGAAAAATTTGAGAGCTGCTCCTACAATCAGGCTTATTGGATTATCTTTCTTTTGATTAAAATTTGCAAGAATATATACAATAAATGAAATTATTTCTTCATTACTGGCATTGACAACGAAGTTTTTCTCATTTTTACAAACTTCTCCTCCTTCATGAACATACTGCGTGGTTCCAGAATAATCTTGGTGTGCAGTATTTTCTTTCGTATTTCTGTTTTGTTGTCTGCCTTCGCTTTGTTTTAGTTGTTTGGGATAAGTTTTAATTTCCTTCTCAGATTCTTTTATCTGGGGTGTTTGTTTGTTTATCTGTACCGGAAAGTCTACCGCTTGTCTTTCTTGTGAAAGAGGAGCGTGTTGGATTTGGTTTGTATCCATTGCTTGATCTTGATCATTCTTCCAAACTTTGGCAGCTTGAGCATAGCTTACTTTTTTTTCTATTTTGATTCTTTGCACTTCTTTTGCTTTTTGGGCTTCTTGACATCCCAAATATGCCGCAGAGTGTTCGCCTCCACAATTTACACATTTTGGCGTTTCTTTGTGGGGACATTCGTCGAAGGAGTGCGTCTCCCCACAGCGAACACATCTGGGCTTGGATTCACATTGTGCTATTCCGTGGCCGAAACGTTGGCATTTGAAACATCTGAGTGTGGGTGGAAAGAATTGTTTAACCTTAAATAATTGGTAACAAAACGTTATTTCAGAGGGGAGGTTGGTGCGGTCAAATGATAGAATGATATTCCTAGTGGGAATTGGTTCTTTTATTTTGTCTTCTCTTCCTTGAGAACCATTTTCTTTTTGTCATTTCTTCTACTCATCATTCTTTTAACCCCCACAACTTTCTGTTTAGTCAGTTCATTTTGGATTTCTCGTTCTGTCATTTCGATGGGGATACCATATATCACTCCTTTCACCCAATTTCTCAACTCTTCCGCCTTCACGGGGATATTTCCGATGTTTTCAATTTCTTTCACACTTCTCATTTGCTTGGAGTTTTTACACTTTACCATGATTCCATTCCTTACATGCTTCACGAATTCCACTGGATTATTGCCCACCACTGCATGTATAGCTTTAGCTATCACTAGGAGATTCAGATTGTTTAGATTTTTCGTTTTGTCTATTGGGACTAAAAAGCATTTTAAGTCAGGTGGTTTGGGGGTTGAGAAAGTATCATTTTCTTTATCCGAATTCGAAGTATCGTGCATTTTAAGTGTTTCCACTTCTCTACTTTCTTTTCTTCGTCTTTTTGCTGATTGTTTTTTCCCTGGACTGACAGTCATAAAATTATCTTCTGTTTCGTTGCCTAATTGCTCCGGAGCGGAGGCCGCCATGGTTGCAGTGACGTGGCGCCACTACAAAAAGGCGGGAGTTTCAAAAAGATTCGATAGTTTTTAACAGTGTTAGTATAAACAATTTGCCCACAAAATGTCTGCTTACCTTTGTGATTCCTTCTTGCGATGTAGGTGTTCACTAGATATTCCAAATAATATGTGATATAAAGGAGATTTTCTATTGTAAATCCTGATATTTCCTAAGTGTAACAAATTTGCCTACAACAACACGATCTGCATGGAGGGAGTAGGGCAGGTTTTCCCCCTTGGATGCATCCCGGGGGATGCATATAGAGGTGGGGGAGGGGGGGGGGGGTAGGCCTTTATAGGCTCTATTCATTGATGGGAATTGTCATTAGAGACTCAAAAGGGTCGCAGGCGATTTCATTCATTTTCATGGAGAATATGATTTTTTTTTTAAAGCTCTTATCATGTGGGCCTTTATTTATTATTTTTTCCCGCTTGATCGCTTTCAAATTTCAGTGTATGTCCACTCGGTGATCATTATTAGTTATTACTGATTCATAGATTCGTTATCATTGGTAAATTGGCTCAAATTCAAAACGCAAACTCATTGTCGGAGTGTTCATGAATGAATATGATCATGGTAAATGTTTGGGGCATATATATGATGAGTCAGATATTTTTTTTTTAAACGGAAGTATCAGATAACAGCTGAATTAAACGTTTACGAGGCTGTGACTTTCAGTATTGTAGGGTCGTGTACATCATTCCGTGATCCGGGCTATCACTTATCCTATTATCCCTTACGTTTCAAAATAGTCACTGCATTTATAGCATAATTCATTTATCAACACATTTTTGAAGATGCAGCGGATTAGATTTATCATGCGTTTAAATGTGTGTTTGTTTATCGTCCGTTAGTCATGTTAGTTCATTAATTGTGTCCCAACAATCGAATGGCCAAAAATAAGAGGTGAGAGAAAGGTGACGCAATGAAGGAAATGGAAAAAGAACGTGAGATAATATAGATTGCCCGAAAACGCTCGTCAAGGATTATAATATGTGAATCAGTGACGTGGGGCAACAACACGATCTGTTGTAAGAGGTGCATTATCCAAAACGTTTCAACCCCTCAAACGCTGATATAGACATATTATGTAGATATAAAGACTGATGCCCCCACCCCGCCCCCCCCCCCCCGCCCAACCTAATGACTGAGCCCAAGCTACGCCACTGTGTTAATCGTAGGCTTTGTTTTCTATATAATTTATATATTTTCTTCTTTGTAAACATATTTATATATTTTCTTCTTTGTAAACAATTTATATATTTTCTTCTTTGTTCGATATATTATTTGAGATAATTTGGCCAGGGGAAATTTCACTGAATGTCATCCTCGGAATAACAAATGATTATTCGCTTTATTCATCGTCGTCTTGCTTTGTTAATAATTATGTTTGATAAATAAGTAATTATGTTTGCAACTTCGCTTTATAGTTTATAATAAATGAAATAAGTTAACCACGGAAAGTTCGGGCTGCATATACAGAAAATGGTTTGATCATTTATTATTTGCCCAATCCCTCTTATAGCTAAAGCACAACAAAGTTAAAAGGAAAAACTTTTTTTTCTTTCTATTCGACTACATGAACATATAGGAAAAAAACATATCCCTAAAAGTATGGATTTTTAGAATCATATACGTTTGCCAGGAAATCCAGCCATGTTATGGATATGTGATTACTTGTTTAAAAATCCGATTACTGATCAAATTACATATCATACGTTTTTATTTTCAGTAAATTAAAAATAAATCGGTCTTTGTGGAGGGAATTGCTGGGAATTCTCCTAAACAAATAAAATAGTTAGCTCTGTGTGTGACGACATAAAGCGCTTTCAGTCCCCCCCCCCCCCATGTTTGATTGACTTGGCTGATAAATTGATAACTGTATCGATTAACTGATTAATTTAATCATTTATTTAGGCCTATTCTATTTATTCATTGATTGATTCTTTTATTTACTTATCTATGTATTCTTTCCTTCATTTATATGTTAGTCCTTATTGAGTTGTTAATGTTTTCTTTAAAAGTAGAGACTATTTGCATATTTGTTGAAATTTTTTAAAAAATTGTGTTTTCAAGATCTAGTACCTTATATGATTTTTTGTTAGATGAAAATTGATGAATAAGCTAATCCCATTCAATAGGCCAATGTCTGCTTTTCCACACAAAGGACCTATTTATATCATTATGTTTATTTAAGTAGATAACATAATTTATTTACGTTCATCATAATTATAGAGACCAAGTTCGTTTGTATTTTCTTTGTTGGAACGTCAAGATATGACATAAATTTACGTAAGTTACTGAAAAGAAGAACAATCTTTGCATAGTATTCAAGTCAAGACACAATGGAAATTATACCGACGAAGGCGACGATCATATAGGGGTGTATAAAAGAATACAAAACCAAGATTCATGACATTTGTCATAATGTTTATAATCCGCATCAAATCTATCACAATTTGTTTAGTGACGTTGGATAACGAATTAAAATTATTATCTTTGCCATTTAGCAAATCCCCATTTTTTTTAATGGAGGGTCATGAGCATTGTCAAGGGCAATTCCTAACCCCTCCCCTTATCTATCTGTCCGTCTCTGTCTGTCTCTTTCTATCTCCCCTTCATTTGTTCAAATTGTTATTCTCTCTCTCCCCCCCTCTCTCTCTCTCTCTCTCTCTCTCTCTCTCTCTCTCTCTCTCTCTCTCTTTCTCTCTCTTTCTCTCTCTCTCTCTCTCTTTCTCCCGCTCTCTCCCACCCCTCCCCCCCCCCTCTCTCTCTCTTGCTGTGTTTAAAATAGGGTGCAGGTATAGAGATTATAATCTCCATAACCATGGTAACTGCAAATTATAATTAAAAATAAACTACAATTCAGGAATATCACAATATTATAATTCAGTAATAATATGATCTCATTCCACAACAAATTATCATTTGTTCTCCCCACTTATGTCCACCCTCCTCTCTCTCTCTCTTTCTTCATTTATATCTGTCTGTGTTTCAAAACGATGCAAGTAATAATTCAGTGATATATGACATCATTCCATAATCACTGTCGTCCTAAGGCGAGGCAGGTATACCTTTAATACTTTAATTGATAATCCGTCTAATGGTTAATCGCAAGCCAGCAGGTCCAAATAAGAATCTCTTTGTAATGATTAAACCAGAACAGTTATTTACACAAGGCTGTTCACACATTCTTTTAAGCACAACGTAACTGATTTTCGATACATTTTGTTGTTTTAAAGATGACATTATAATGATATTATGTTGCTTTTATTACTAAAAAATATTATCTATATCAACATCATTATCATCATTATTACTATCACCATCGTCATCATCATAATCATAATGAATATCGTTTTCATTATTTCGTTACGTCTTCTCTACTTAAAAGAATCAAAGTTCAATTGAATTGAACATGTTGAAGTAGGTGCAAATTTTTCCACCAGTAAGCAGAGAATCTGTCCGATATTAGTTAAAATAAATAAAGGGTATTTAAAGGACCTTAGCTTTCCAACGTATGAAAAATGATATGAAATTATAAATTCCAAGCTCAGATCACAATCAAAAGTTAAGTGCCAACTTTGACTTTTATACCGTCATGTGATGCCTACATCATTTCCTAGTACTAATCGAAATGTCATTGAATGACTGAATCGGAAGTATGAATGTGTGAACACGGTGATCGTTCCCTACTCATAGTGCAGGAACGCGTTATATACACCAACCTTAAAGATTAGAGCACAGTTATAAATGGCACAAGTGTAACGCACTTTGAGACCTGATGAACAAGATTAATTATATTTTGTAAGTTCGATGTTGATAACTCTATATGGCCAACATTCTGAAACCATTTGGAACAAAATTCAAGAGTGGATAATACACAGGGAATTGTAGCGGCGTATTAACTCTGATTGGTGCTCTTTTCAAACAATCCAACTGTAATTACGGACCATCGGATACTTCTAGAAGTTGTAAGTATATTACCTTTACTAGGTTTTTATGTGATCATATTAAGAATGCATTCGCTTTACGATTGTAAAGACTTTCGGGAATTCAACGTAAGGCAATTTCTTCAGCCTTATTTGTGCGTCATCATGCAAGGCCTACTGAATGCGGTATTATGACAGATTACATTATCGGAACATGGTTCACATAGGGAATAGAATATAGGGGATTGAGATGCTTATAATGGCTCTAAATTTGATTTCTTGAATGTATTTGTGATCTTGTCATTTGCTTAATTACTTAGCAATCACTGACTTGATTATAAACGGAGGTATGACACTGAAAGTGTGTAAGAATCACACATTATTATTCCCAGGCCAAATTTCTTTTCGATTTCTTTGTAACTGAAAACCAGAAATTTTAAACTACGTCCAAATGACTATTCTCGTATTAGGCCTTGTAGTAGGTTTAGCAGTATCAGCAACTACTACTACTACTATTACTACTACTACTACTACTACTACTACTACTACTACTACTACTACTTCTACCACTGCTACTGCTATTACTACTACTTCAACTACTACTACAATTAATAATATACTATTACTACGACTATGAAGACGACGACGACTACTACTACTACTACTACTACTTCTTCATCTTCTTCTTCTTCTTTTTTTCTTCTTCTTCTTTTTTTCTTCTTCTTCTTCTTCTTTTTCTTCTTCTTCTTTTTCTTCTTCTTCTCAATTTCCTCCTCCTTCCTCTTTGTTGTCCCCTCCTACGAGAATCAATCCAATCTGCTCCATAAGGTAATTGCTATGGCATATTGTCCACACAAGTACAAAGCAATTCTCAAAGTGATACAGTCATGAACAAAAATAAGACATCAAGACAATTTGAGATGAGCCAGCAACATCATAATGATCCAGGCTTGCGAACAAAATAAGTGGGCCTACAAAGTTTCTTGAACTGCTCCTCAGATGTATCAGTTTCAGGGTGGTGAGAGGGAGTTAAATACCCCCTCCACATCGCTCTCCACACCCATACACACAAACACACATACCCTTAAGGCCTTAAGAATCAAATAACGTTAACTGATCTCATTATGTGGTTATTTGGTTTCATCCATTGTGGAAATGCTTCGCACAAGTTTGCTTGACCCTCAGCCAGATAAGGCCCTAATTACTAATTAACACAGACAGGATCATTAGATTTGAAGCGCTTTGTTTGGGAATTAAGATATGCCTTTCTAACGAAAACCTCAATCATAGACCTTAAAGATAAACTTTAGTACTGGTAATGCGATTGCATTGTGAAAGAAAAGGTGTGAAAGGATCAGAAACAGTTGATCATGTAGCATGTAAGTTTTGGTGTGCACTGCAAGGTTCTGGAGTCATCAAAATCATAATAAATTTGACCGAGTCTTGGTAAAGTAACAAGCACTCACATAGAAAGCTATATATGGAACAACACACATGGTGTCGGGCTAGTACTACCTTGATTTCCTTGTCTTTCTATGCTCATTACTTAGCCACTATACATTTTCTTCCAAAATTGTTTGGCACATGTCATTTATTTGTAATCTTGAACATTCAGTGTAAGTTTCGTTTGATTCTATGAGAATTATTATTTTTTTTTTTTACCAGTACTGGAGTTTATCTTTAATTTTCGCGAAAAGGGCTACAGCAGATTATTACGGGAGGGGAGATGGGGGAGGGTGGGGAGGGGGGGGGGGGTAACAAAAAGAAAGAAAGATATTCCGTCAGAACTTCCAAATGCACTTAGTGGCGTCAACGGCGGAAGAAAGGCTCCCTCCTCTTTAATGTAAATCTTGAAATATATTGACCGAGAAAATATGGGCTGTGGTCATTTTCGGGATGTTTGATTTCACAGTTAGATCAAACATTTGGTTCAAAATCAATAATCAAGCAAGGCCATTAAAGGCCCTGAATGTCTGATGTTTTACAAGGGTTGAATAAAGTACGTGACATGGTGGAGAGAAAAAGAAAAAAAGTGTGTTATCTACCACAAGCAGTCTGCTTGGATATATAAATCTGGAGCTTATTTTGATGGCTGCACGTTTTATTCCAACGGTTTTGAAGAATCGCATCAACCCTTTTGTATTACAGTGAGATGCATTTGGTGAATACTAGTGGAACTTAATGGCTCGTATGTTCTAGGCGTAGTACTAGTTAGATCTGGTTTATATTAGTCCTGGCGATTCATGGAGCGCTATGTTTCAACTTAATCATTCCATAGAAAAAAAACTGTAAATTTTGTTACAAAAAATTAAAAGAAATGAACGCAGTAATAAAACGAAGGCGAGAGATTAATTTCATAAAGAAGTAATTTTTGTTTGTTCGTTAAGGCCTCTATTTACGGTTAAGAGGTTGGCTCCGAGCGTTCGATAAAATCATTAAACTGAATCTACCCACTTAATCAGGGGGTGAAACGGACCTAAGCTAAAATAAATCTAGAATGCTTTTATGAATAATAACACATTTAACAATTATGTCGAGTAAAAAAACAAAAACAAAAAACAAATGGAGTACCGGCCGTTACTTCCATGATTAGTTTAACCAGTGCCCTATTTTTGTTGACAATGTTGATAACAATGCTAATATGGGAGCAAATAAGGGCTGGTGACCCCTTTTTGTTGTTATGCTCAGGTGATAACGGTACGGTGTTGCCTCTAAAAGACTTGTTTGCTCACGCACCTTTATAAATGACGCATTTTAATGAAAAGTCGTAATTAGTTTTACATTGTAATGATGAATGATTGAATAGAACGAAGAGAAATATCGAAAAGGGTCAACGTATCGTGGGAAACATAATACGCAGCAAAGAAATGGTGACAACCAGAAAAATTATGTGTGCGTGTGAGAGAGAGAGTGTGGGTGTGTGTAGAAAGAGAGAGAGAGAGAGAGAGAGCGAGAGAGCGAGAGATGAATAGATAGAGAGAGATAAAGAGAGAGAGAGAGAGAGAGAGAGAGAGAGAAAGATATGACCTATACTGTATGAAAGCTTTGCCATAAAGATACAATGTCCCTTTTGCAGCCAACCTCAAAATCTGTAGAACTTTGCAGAATTATGAATATAAATAGTGGTTTTCTCATCAAATCAGCTCTCACTTAACATCAGAAAAAGAGGATCATGGGGGACAAATGGTCACCGATTAGGCATTGTTTGCTATGTAGAGGGCGCAAGTAGCTGTAAGTATAGTGTTTTCAAACAATCGGGCTAAGCTAAATAAGTTTGCGAACACGTACTGAACGATTGACGATTTGTGTGCTCATTACGTAATTGTTAGCCTAGTCCTACCACGTAGGAACGGCCTTGGAATGTAAATAAAATTAAAACACACCACTCAACATGTGTAAGGCTCTGTTTTCTTACATCAAGTTCGTCTGTAGATACCTGTATATAGCCTTAACTGTACTGATCGTTATTGATTTAAGACAAACCCATATGACAAGGGTATCCTGCTAATATATGGAATACGTCCTTCGTCGAACTGCAAGGACCACTAGTAAACGATATCTAATCAGGTGCAATATAGTAGTACAGGTAAGTTTTACTATTATCTTAACTTCGAATAATAATCATTCAGTAGAGCCTTATAGTTTTAAACATGTATTTTTTTCATTTGATTCATTGATTTTACATGATATACAAGATACAAAGTAGAAGAAAAGACACTATAGGTTGCTAAAGGGCCCGGATAATAACACAGTAGCTTGTCGAGCCTACCTCTTTACAGCTGAACAGTTAAGTTAAGTTTATTAAACAAATTTTTAAAAATTGATTTACTATTACCATCGATACTTCAAAAAATAAGAATACGTGTAAATTTCCTACAATATACATGTAATATGAAAAATAATGTATGTACATATACAGACTATTTGCATGGATTTATCACTTAAACCAGGGATTTGTGATAAACTACCTGTGCTAAACTATCTTCGTTCAGTTACTTTAAGAACAAGGATGTGCTATATGTACAATTATTTATCGTAGGAGAAAGTATATGGGGTGATGATATCGTACCGTAGATATCAATAATGATAAATCAATAATGATAAATCAAAATCGATTTTAGCAACTGTCCACCAAAAAAAGACTCTAAGGATATTTGTGAAGGGAAAGTTACAGAGAGGGAATGTATGGCAGTTTTGAAAGAAATGAAATTTAACAAAACACCAGGTAACGATGGTTTAAGTGTTGAATTTTATTCATTATTTTGGCCGGTAATAGGAGACGTAGTGGTCGATGCTTTGAATGAATCCTTTTGTGAGGGAGAACTCTCCCACTCACAAAAACAGGCAGTAATTACTTTAATTCATAAAGAAGGCAAAGATCCGTTACAAATTAAAAACTACAGACCCATTTCCTTACTTAATGTGGACTACAAGATTTTAACAAAAGCTCTTTCAACAAGAATTAAAAAAGTATTACCAGAAGTTATTTGGATTGATCAGGTGGGATATCTAAAGGGAAGAAATATAGGTGAAGCTATTCGGTTAATTGACGACATGATCTTTCATACAACTCAAAATAAAATACCTGCTTATTTGTTAGCGATAGATTTTGAAAAAGCGTTTGACTCGGTTTCACACATGTTTTTACAAAAGGTCTTAGTAGCCTTTGGTTTTGGACCGATATTTTGTAAATGGGTGAAAATAATTTATAATAAGGCTCAAAGTTGTGTTTTCAATGGACACGTATCAACTGGATATTTTTCTATTCAGAAAGGTGTAAGACAAGGTGATCCTTTGTCTGCATATTTATTTTTACTTTGCATTGAGATTCTTGCTCGCGCAATCCGCAGCGACTCGGCTATTCATGGGATTCCCTTTGATGATATTCACGTTAAACAAATTCTTTATGCAGATGACATGTCGCTGTTTGTTCAAGATATTGAATCTTTTAATAGACTAAACTCATTGTTTACTAGTTTTGCAGATATGTCAGGATTGAAAATGAATAGAGACAAAACCTTTGTATTATTGTTGGGTCCTAA